AGTTCCGCGCCTCCTCAGACCTAAAGCAGAAACCACAAAAGTCATTTCCTCAGGACCCCTGAAGCAGCACGCGCGAAAACTGCTTCCCCCACTAAATTTTCTGAGCGACAAGACGTTTCATATAGGGTTCGGGGTTGCGGCAAGGTCGTCGATGCGCAGCACGTCTCACGCCTGTCTGCACAGTGCATAGCTCTCAGGTGGGAGCCCTAGATGCAAGCGCTTGCCAGCCCTCCAGCTAAAAGCTTGGCCATCGGGGTGGCTCCTAGGGGAGCTCCGAGAAGCTGCGCCACCTAGCGATTCCGCCACAGAAAGGGCAGCAAGAGAGGCTGCACATAGGTCACTGTCATCCGAATCGCACAGAGCATCCTCCTCGCCGTCTGCTGGGAAAGTGCCTTTAGGAGGGGACCAAGCCCCCGCTGTTGCTGCACCCGTTGAGGCGGCCAGATCCGTGTGGCTCGCGCAAGACGCCCCTTCTTCTCCTGCTTCCGAGGAACCAGCGGCGGCGGCAAAGGCAGTAGACGTGATCAAGTCACTCGGCGGGAGGTCCCCCCCCGTGGAGGGTTCCTCGATGTTTACGGGAAAGAACTCGGAGAGGCCTTTTGACTCAGTCTCCCTGGGAATGCTGCCCCCAGGGATGCACTCTCCGCTTGAGACGCTAGATCGCTTCCGAAGAAGGAGAGACCGCAGTCTGTTGCGCTTTGTTTCTGCTCCCGATGAGGGCGTTGTAGAGACACCCACAGCTGAGGGGCCCCCTAATATGCTTGTCACCACCTGGCGGGAAGCGTCTCTGTATACGCGCACGGACCCCACAGCGGCTGTCTCTGCCTGCTGCTGCTGCTGCTGCTGCCGCTGCACCAGCAGCTGTTTCCGCTGCGGTTGCTGCTGTGGCGAATGCAAAGGGGCCCTCGCCAGAGCCGGGGGGCCCCTTGACGGAGGCGGCGCCCTCGAGGGAAGCGGGTGCACAGCCAAGTAGGAGAAAAGAGACGAGGCAAACGTCGAAGGCGCAACAACAGCAAACGTCAGAAGCTCGTCAAATGCTGAGGAAATGCCATGCAGCATACATACACACTTCACGCAAGTGAGCGGACAGGCACGGAATCCTGAATCTCAAACCCCTCCTGTCTTTCCAACCCTTTCTCCCCCTCTTTCTCCCCCGTCTCCCAACTCCTTGACTCTCCCGACGCCACGTGGTGGGCAGTCACCCTTAAAATCTTCCATCGACGTGTTTGTGACTCTCTTCCAAGAAGACAGCCGAGATCTGCAGCAGCACACGCCACCACACACCCTTAGGCCATGACTCCACACATGAGAACTCTCTCACAGCCACACCACGATCAAGACTCGCAGAATCTGACGGGAGCAGGCGCAGGAACGCGCATGAAGGTGTAGAAGGGAGGCCAGTCAGGAGCTAGAGAGACACACCGGCAAAGGACGCTTGGCAGGAAAATATTCACACACTGGCATGAAAGAAGCGTAAAAAACATCGCTCCTCCCCCCACGCCAACTCCCCTCACGGCACATCCCTCTCCGCTTGCCCACCTGGTTGGGATCGTTTCCCCCTGAGAACCTGCAACCTTCCAGTAACAAACGCGTCCAAACTCGCTACCGCACAGAACTCCCAAGCCGTTGAGTCTGCAAGCAGAGAGGAAGACAACAGCCAGTGCGTAAATAGGCTTAAAGCGTATTGAAAGTAGAGCACTAAAGCGCATGAAGCGCTTGGAGCGGTCCTAACGCCGCTTTATAACCACGGCGATCTATTTATAAATATATATATATACACACATACTTCTACTACGCCCTTTTGCATGGGTTGCCCTGAACGCTATCCCGTTGCGAGCCGACTTACGTGTAGCTCGCTTTCAGCATGATCTGGGAATTAACGTGGCCTTTGAACTTATAAATACACGTCAGGCTCTGTGTTCACGCACACGTGCCAGGCTCACACACGTCGAAAGAAGGTTCGAACTTCCCCCTACGAATCGTGGGGAGCGAAAAAGCGCTCGAGAGAAAAATATTGCCATCAGCATTTAGCGTCCACAAACCGAGCGTTGCTGCTAATGAGAGCTACTGGGTACAGAAGAGCCTTGGCCTTACTGGCACGTCAAAGATGCGGATGCGGGAGTCGTTGGTGGCAACGCAGAGACATGAACCATCGGGAAGCCACTCCAAGCTCGTAACCTGAGAGACGGCAAGCCCCTAGACAGGAACGGTACATCTCAAAGCCGCAGGCCCGCAATACGGGCTCGAAAAGGCATAGATTTATATGCAAATGCATATGTACATATATATACATGTATATATATATATATGTATATATATATATGTATATATATATATATATGTATATATATATGTATATATATATATGTATATATATATATATATATGTATATAGGCATGGTAGGTATAAGGTCCAGAAGGAGCAGAAAAGCCTCAAGAGGACGCCAAATGCATGCAGCAGCCAGCTCTGAAAATCCCCCAACGCCCCCCTACCTTCCTTCCTTTGGCGAACTTGCCCTTCCTGTTCTTGCAGTCGACCTCCGACCGAAATTTGAGCGTCTGAGAACACACAGGAAGCCGTGAACCGTGCAGGTAAGCAGCAAGGGGGTCAGGACGCTGAGCCTTCCTTCACCCCTGAGGGAAGGCACCCGTAAGTGCGGCGGAGTGTAGGCGGCCTGAGGAAGCCGTAAAACGAACCCTCGCGTCGTAAAAGGAGATGCTGCCATTTCGAAATCCAACGGCCAATATGCCGCCGCTGCGCCCAAACCGCAGAAGAGCACCAATCGTCGATCTCGAAACACCCCCTCCCCCAAGCCCAAGTCTGCAGCCTGCACTCTAGGCAACACCCTCCGCGAACGGGCAGCTGAAGCCCCTCAACAGCCCCTCAACTCTCCTCAGCTCGAAGCAAGTCGCTCCTCTCTTTCAGCCCCTCCCCGCCCCCCAAGCGTATAGTAGCAGCTTCCAGGCCCACTTGGGTGAAATAGACAGCGCAGTGACGAGCTCTGGAACCTTGAGATACTCCACAATGCGGGATTCAAACTGCTCGGGGGCCCCCCTGGGAGCTCCTGCTGACCGCGTGGAGAGGAGCCGCCAGACTTGAATCGTGGCATCTAGGCACCCCGTGAAAACGACGTCCTGAGGACGAGACGACGAAGCACGACAGACGAATTTCCGCGTCTATGCGGCGGTGAACTTGGAGAGCTAGGGCGTGTGTGTTTAGCGCGTGTCTAGGGCTTGTCGGGCGTGCGCGTGACTACCTTGAATACGGGGTGAAACGATGCACTGGTCGGCCAGTCTGTACACCGCAAGACGGCAATGGCGCTAAGGCTTTTGGACGGCCTCCACAGCCGCACAGTCTTATCCAACGAGGCGGAAAGCAGCAACGAGAGCTTCACCGTGGGGGCCCAAGACAGCAGAATCACGGAGGCCCCATGGCCAGTTAGACACAAATCGGGGCGGTCCCTAATGAACCAACTTCCTGGGGCGCCTCCGCAGCCAGCGCCTCCCGAGGGGGCCCCCGGCCGAGGGGCCCCCCCCCCCTCACATGCAGGGGCCCCTGCCCCCGAATTCGGAGCGACTCCAGCCGCCGACGAAGGGTCCCCGGTCGCCTCTAGAGGCCCCCCTTTGAGAGGGCCTTCTTTGAGAGGCCCCCCTTTGAGAGGGCCTTCTTTGAGAGGCCCCCCTTTGAGAGGCCCCCCTTTTAAAGGGCCCCCTTCGGCCGCCTGCTGAGCGCCGTATCCCCTAGTTTCCTTGGCACACGCGCCGGAGTTGCCAGGGGTCCGGTGGCTGCCCCTTGCGCCGCGAGGTCCCGGTACTGCCCATAAGAAAACGACTCCCGTCTGTCCTCCTGCTGCAAGCCACTCGCCTTTGGGAGATATAGTCGCCGACCAGAGGGCTGCTCTATCTCCTAAGGATCACAGCATGCCCGCACCAGCTCACACAAACGATGCAAAAGCAAGCGCGAGGCCGACCCGACGCTCGCTACGCCCGAGAAACTCGTCCCCCACCCCTGCCGCAGCGTGGGCGGCGCAGCAGCACGATTAAAGAATTGGAGCGCTCCTCTATTCTTGGCTCTCCGCTCCCTTTCGACGCATACCCGTTTCGACTTCGCGCAGGCACCAAACCGGCGAGAGAGCCTGGGCATTCTTCAGGCTGCGGCCCCTCACAGGCACTGGGAACACTCCCGGCTGCGAATGCGCATTTTCGAGCACGCAGGTTGAAACGCGCTTTTTAGGCGAGACAAGCCCCAATCCCTCTAAACGAAGGGCCTTTAAAAACGGATTTGCAGCAGTGAGGCTGCTCACCACATTCGCACGGCCTCCATCACCCAATCCCGGTTTGTTGCTCTGCGTCACCCTGAAGAAGAGCAGCACCCCAACCTCCCATGCAGCAGCAATCGTAGCAGATTTGGCAGGTGCAGGCAATTTCTGACCCCCCAAGCCGTGTGTGTCGCTTCGCCTGCGCGTTTGGCCAGGGATCATATCTAAGAGTTTGCAGCTTTGAAGTCGAAAATACGATTTTCCAGGGCCGTGGCTTACGTGCTCATACACGTGCTAATAGAATGCCCTAATGATTCAGCGCATTGACTGGAAGCCTGAGCAGCACTGCCTTGCCTCCGGAAGATGTTGCGGGTCCATTCTGCAGCACCCATAGCATACCACTCAATCCGAGAGCACACTCAGAAAAGCTCAGGCCTAAGTCGACGGCCTACAGAGCGCTTGGCCCCCTGTTCTCTTGACTATTTAATCTCCCTTTTGAATGCCTACGTTTCTTGAGTTGTTGTTTCGGCTCGGGATTGGCAGTGACACCGCGCGACCAGGCGGAGGCTGCACACGACACAACACAGAGAAACGGAAGTCTGTGCTTTTAGCTGGCTGCTCCTGCCATCCCCCGCATGGCTTGGCCCTCTACCCGAGGCAAGAAAGTACGCGCGTCAAATGCGCAAGGCCCTTCAGAGGGCTCTTCTTCTGATCGCAGAGGCTACTACAAGACAAACTGCACTAGACGGTGGTATTCAAAGGCCTGCACGGACTCGCTTGTGCCGGGGAGTCTACAGGGCGAGGGTTCGCAACAGGCCCTTGAACTGGAGGGCTTTGGGGAGTTGCATGCCCGCTGCCCGCAGCGCCAGCTTGCCGCAAAGACGCTGTAGAGAGACACGAGGTGCTAGATCGCGGCATTGCTGCCGCTTTAAGTTTGACCGTCGCTGCAGCAGCGGCCCCCTCCTCCGCGGCTGCTTCTGCTGCCTCTGCAATTGCAGCCACCCGATGAGCCGAGATCGCGTAGGCAGACAGAAACTCCGTCTGGAGGTCGTCTTTAGTCTCTAGAGCCCCCCCTTCAAGGATCTCCTCATCTGAAGTATTATGGTCTGTCTGCTCCCGCTGAGAACCTGAAGACGCCCTTGCGGGGAGGCCTTTGACTCCTGCATCCGTGGAACCCCCAGGAGGACCTGCTGAAGGGCTGTCTGAAGGAGTCGCCGACACAGACCTACCTAACGCCTTTGCGCCTGCATTGGCGCCCTTTCGCTCTGCTTTCTCCTTCGCATGCCTCCTGGGGGAAGCCGGCAAGGACCCTACCATTTCGAGAGAGTTTTCCACATGCAGGGCTTCCTCAAGGCCGATCCTCATGGCTCTGCTGTTGCTGGTCCTGAGATGCATGCTGCCTTGCAAATCTCTAAAAGCAGCCGCCACACATGCCGAGACGCCCTGACGCCACTCCTCCCCTACGGGGGGCTGCGCTGATGCCGGTGGAGTCACACAAGGGCCTCCCGTGGATGCGGACTCGCACGAGGATCGCAGGAGCATCAGAGGCAGTTCATCGAATTCTCCAGAGAATGGGTGCTCGCAGGCCTCCTCTTGGTCGGGGGGAGTATGAAATTGCCTCCGACTCGCGCTCGAAGCGGGGGGGGGATGCTGGGCAGCGGTTGAGGGTTCAACAGAAGAGCAGGACGTGAGGGAAGGAGGCTGCTTGGAGGCGTCGACAGGGGTCTCCACCTCGCCTTTGCGGCAGCAGTTTTCCGGATTCTTTTCCGGTGAAGATACAGATTGGACACTGTGAGAGGGGTTTAAGGGGGGTGAAGGGGGTGCGCTGGCTCGAGCGGCAAACGCTTTCGCCAGAGCCGAGGCGCCATCGTCCCCCGCTGGAGGCAGCGAGTGCGTGGAGGATTTCCCGGGAGGCGGGTAGACCTCTAAAGCCTTCTCAGCACTCATTGGAAGACGCAGGGGGCCTCCTGAGGGTGCATGGGGAAGTAGGCGGAAGGGGCGCGTGGGCAAGTATCCTGTGGTGGTCTTAAGGAGTGAGCATTGGCAGTAGCGAGGCAGCCGGCTTGTGCAAGAGGAGCTCTAACTAGTCGGAGAGAGTTGCACAGTCGTGAGCTCTAAGAAAGCCCCAGGCTTTCTCCGTGTAGTGCTTGCAGTGAAGGCCAGCACGCCGGCTCCGGTTGATGGCAGTGCACTAGGGAAGGTACTTCGCAGGGACGGTTTGGATCGGAGGGCTGCGCAGGGTTTGGAGTGTTGCGCACTATTCGAGGCACCTCAGAAATCGAGGAATGGGCAATGTGCGTGAAGCGGCGTTAGGACGGCGGAGGAAGGACGCCAGAATAATTGACGGCTAGGTCCCACGGCGGGGGCACGAGCAAGCATCTAGATGGGAGAAATAGGGGGTCGATATTTAGGAAATTGTATATTATGGCTTGATATGCTCGTCTGCCCCAGGAGGCACTCATTTCAATTCCCAAGCATGCTGGCTGCCGAACTCTGACCCGCCGCCTCCCGCTTTTCTCCTCTCAGTGACGCTTATGTCGCAATACCCGCTTCTCCGAAAGCGGCTGTCCACTCGAAGTTGAGGCAAAGAAAGCAAGGTTTATATAGTGAAAAGAGACAACACATTAATGAACCATGATCATCACTCATCGAACAAATCTACCGGAAACACGTACCGCTGCTCGTCGTCCCAATGCCGCACGAGCGCTGAAGTGCAACTTTGCGATTCCGCTAGCGCATCTCGATATCTACGTTTTCATACATGAATTCTGCTGGAAAGATCATACACTGATCTAGGGGGCATACTGCGCTTTACTTTCCGTTGCATTATCGCAGTTCCTTGATCACCAGACCCGAGTCTGTGCAACTTACGCCTTGCGTAAAATATCCTGGTCATATGTATGGTGTTTCTAGGCTCTTTGCAAGTAAGGAAGTATCGCGCGACATGGCCTAGCTTACTAGAATCATTTATAGAAACTTTTAGGCCCTGTTTATGCTGCAGAGCGTATCTCGTTAGATCTTGGAAGAAACACCACAAGAACTGGAATACTTACCCTGGCGTGTATGTCTTGCAAACCTCCGGAATTGCACAAGGATAAGCCATTGCATAGGACCCGATTATACCCAACTATTCTATAGAAGGAACGCACAAACTTGTATAACGCAAAAGAACGAGATTCTGAACTTTTGTTGACTTAGGAATGAGTAGGGGAGCGGAATCGGAAGCTCTCAATTTAAAATTTTCTTGCATCAAGTCTGAAATTAAAGTGGAAGCGACATGTGCTGATTTGTTTATGAACTTTTCCAGCTAGGACGTCCCGCCAATGTACGGTGTACCTGCACCCTTTTAGCGGAGAGCCCATTATGTTCAGAAGGTGCAAGTTCAGGCCTTCCGCCACAAACCGACTCCCCAAATACCTGTGATGGAACGCTAAAAACGATTCCATTTAAGCTATGAAGCCCTTTTTGATAGCTGATAGCATTTCCTGCTGGATTTCCCTTCTTCTCATGGGAATACAGCAATGCACTTCCTTGCGGCACGCGCCTGAACTAACCGACTACAATAGCAGCTCGCTTTCAGCCTTGCCCGTCATTGTAGAAGAAGATGACCCGTATGCGTACGTTCTTTGATTTAAATACGCGCTGTTCCCTTATTGGTTGCAGGCAGATCGCTCTCATCTTGCACTTTTCAGGGAGGCTGTGCGCGTTATTTCGGATGCAATTAAGCGCCAAGCCAAGCGGAATGCCCGTAACGGCCATGAAATGCTGAAATCAAAGGCTAAGGCCTTTGAATCTCACGAAAAGGCTCATGCAGGGCACTTCTCAGGGAAGCTGGCAGAGCTCGACTCCAAGTTGCAAGAAACCGAGGAGAAAGTAGAAGCAACTGAGAAGCAAATAGATGAAGAGAGGCTGCGCCATGCGAAGGCGAAAGAGCACATAGCGGAAAAAGTTCAAGAGGAACTCAGCGCACTGCAGGAAGAAGAAGAAAAAGCCATCGAGCAGCAGCATAGGGCAGAGTCTACAATACAAGCAGCGGAAGCTGAACTCCACAAGGAAGAGGCAGAGGTGGAATCCGCGAGACAGCACCATAAAGAAGCAATCCGTGAAGCCAACAAGGAGGAGAAAGAAATCCAAAAACTTGTAGAGAAGGAGAAGCAAAAGGAATTAGAGGATGAAGAGGCAGCAGATGCCCGAGAGGAAAGTGCGGAAGGTAAAAGGAAAGCAAAAATAGGCGTATCGAGCTCAAAATATCATCTAGGTCCCGCTTTCTGCAGCGAACTCGTAGAAGAGATGTACAAAGGCATTAGGTATTGGCTGCAGCAACATGCCAATGTCTCCTGCCTGGTTACATGTGAAAGTATACTTGAAGTGGCCCGAGAGATTTCGGGGCAGCGGGGTGCCGCTGCAGATACTTTTTTTTCCAACACAACTTGCAGTGCACTGGTTGTTACACCCTTGAAATTCCTTCCCGCAAACTCATGACCCAGTTATTAGTGTTCCCTAGACTGCATCCGGCTGCCCCTTTGCTGGCGCCGGTACTGAGGACTGCAAGGCTTAGAAAAACATGCCGATTTTACGGAGAGCTTCGCGTCCACAGTGTGTGCAGTACATGAAAAGCCTCCGGCTCATGCTTCCCGCAACTAGGAAGCAAAAAAGGTCACTTTGATGTCTCCCATATCTCAGTGGGGCTATTGGCTTTCTAGGTTGGTTAGCTTTCATGGGATGCTGCTAAATAAGCCTCTGCTTGATGGCGTACATGGAGCCCACGACGCAAGCGTATGCTACCCACAGGACGACAAGGAACTTGAACAAACAGCTGCCCAGGAGCGTCCTGAAAAACCCAGGCCTTCCTTCCCCCGTAGAGATGCCGCTGTTTGAGTGCGAGCAGTGCAAAGGCTGCGGCTGGTGCTTTTCTGCACTCAATATGTAAGCCAGCTCGCGCTGCATGGCGTCCTGTCTTCCCAAACTCTGCAGCAGCAGCTGAGGGGCGCTGCCTCGCAAAATCTGTTGTCGCATCACTTCCCTTTCATATTCCATTTGCTGCAATACCATGTGCCGCTGATATGGCTGCATCTCCTGTTGCAGTGCGACTGCATACTGCTGCTGCAGAGAGGGTCCCAGCTGCGGCGGGATGGGCGCCCCCCTGCTGATACAAGCGGTGCAACCGGTGCGTTCCCTAGCAGAAGACACAAAAAGAGAATAATGGAGAGTCTTGTAAGCGTAGATCAAGAGCCAGAGGAAAGCGGTTACGGCCACAATGGTCCTCCTGCAGAAACACCCCGTCGCCCTCAATCCCACACATAACGCTTTTTCGCTGACAGGGCAGCGGGTTAGGGAGTGATACGTGCACCTCAGGTGTTATCTGCAGCTCCCCAGACTCTGTACTACAGAGTCTGTGGATTGGCATGCATGGGCTCTACCAGTGCAGGCTGTGGAAGAATGCGTTAAGGACTTGAGCGACGACTTGCGCAGCAACTTTGGTGGTTTCGCCGTGATTTTCTGGCACTGCTAGAAGGCAGGCGCGCCACTCTTCGCAGGGTCCCTTGAGATACGGTGGAATGGGGTCTAGCGTCTCGCATCCATTATCCCGATGGCGTTGCCTGCAAGCCGCTGCTGCTGCTGCTGCCTCGGCCTGCCGTTGCTGCTCCTGCAGCATAATGTCTGTTAACAAGGAATAAAAGAGCAAGCATGCTGAGCCGCTGGCCACAACCACCAGAGACACGCTCAGCGAGAAGCGGCAAACCGACGAAAGAGTGTCTAGACACCTCCCAATGCGGGCAGAAAAAGAAGAGGAGACCCCGTGTTTCTCGCCTCCAGCAAACACTAGGTCCCCCGGAGCCAACTTCGAGGGTGGCAGATGCAAGTTTGCCCCTTGCACTGCGGTTGGATTCTGCAGACGCTGCTGCCTGAGCTGCTGCTGTGACGCCTCAGCAGGCAACGTGGCGGCAGTGCTGATCTCACCCTCCCCCTCGTTCCCCCTCGAGCTTTCAAAGAGGCGCTGCTGGTCGGCGCGCCGTGGCGAGGGGTCATGAATACAGTCGGGAGTCATAGGGCCCCCATCGTGTGGCTGCGATGCAGCCAAAGAAATCCCTGAAACTGAAGGGGCCCTCGGTGCTTCAGAGGGTTCTCTGCTGCATGCGGCGGAGCAGGGGGAAGGAAGGCGGTTTGCTGGAGCTCCCAAGAAGCCGCCCAAGACAGCCCCCCGCCCCCTTCGAGCAGGCAGCTGTGCTGGCTTTCCAGAAAAGGGAAAACAAGCCTCAGGAACGCGTCCAAAAGCCCTTCGAGCGCTCTTAGGGTCTTCGCTAACGTCCAAGTTGCTCAGCTGCTCCGTCAGGTCCAAAGCGCCCCCCCGCAGGGGGCCCCTTGGAGCGCCTTCCGTGGGTTCGGAGGAGGCAAGGACGTGCTGCTTGACTGCCTGAAAGCCCGAGAGTCTGCGGGCTGCCCGGGGATTGGGGAATGAGGGCCCCCCAGGCTTTGAGCTGCAGTAGCTGGCGCTGCGCGCCGCAAGGGAGGAGGAGCGAGCGCCTTCGCGGTGCGACTGGCTCTGAGCAGATGCAGAGCCCAAGAAACTCCAAGTCCGCGGCATCTGCGGCGGGGAGGGGAGCAGCTACTTTTCTTGCACCGCTGCGGAGGGGTGGTGGCATGGGCGCCAGTCGGCGGAACTGGCAGGGAGGGGGGCTGAGCCGAAATGCAGGCAGAGGCAACCCGACAAAAGTTACCGCCAGTCACGAGAAGAAAGGCTGAAAAGACTCAAGCCTCTCGCGTTGAGGTCGCACGTCACGTCCTGTCTTGCCCACCGAAGAACCTGTGAGCCATGGCAGGCTGCGGTGTACAGGCACGTGAATGCCTGAGCAGACACTGCTAGGCGCCGATTTGACTTTTCCCCTGTATGGCCCTATTATGGAGAATTCTAGGAGACGAGGCGTGCCTGAGGGGCCCTTGAGTGGTGTTGAGCCCCCCTCTCCCCACCCCCCTGCGCTCTCCCTGCAGCCGGCCGGCGGGGAGGGGCCCCCACCAGCGGGTAGGTGGGGGGGCCCTCTGGAGTCAGCGCGATGCAGTTCGATGACCAGCAATCCGCGCCTGCTCCCTTTCTCCTGCCCTATTCCCCCTTTCCGACTTCCCTTCGGATTACCACTGGAAAGACGAGACCTCTTTCTTCCTTGAACTTCCATCTCGAGCTTCCCAGATCGCTGCTGAATGCGTCCCTACGAATTGGTGTCGGCAGATCCAACGCGTGGTCCGTGGTCTTCGACGCTCTTGAGCCTTCAGCAGGCTGCTCCGATTCGCGCGTCGAGCAACGCCTTCCCCATAGCCCTCACTCCGCCTTCTTCTGCTTTCCCAAGCGACTTCTGCTCGCACTTCGGCCGTCATTTCCCCCCCGCGGTGCATCCTGCACGCTTGAACGCTGTCTGCACGGAAGCTCCCCTAGGGCTGCGAGCCCAATGTCTCGTCCCTTTCCCTCCAACGCGCGATCTCCTCCTGGAGGCCCCCTGCAAGGGGCCCCCCGAGAAGAGGCGCTTCCTCAGTGTCGAGTCGAACTCTACAAAGCCCCCACGGAAGCCGAGGGCCCCCCCATCAAGGGGGCCCAGACGGAAGCGCTTCCTCAGACGTCCGCTTACTTGCATGCTCGGGTGCAGCTGTCTCCGCAGAGCCCTTCTCTGCAGGCGCTGCTCAGAGCGGGAGGCGGGCAGGAGGGCCCAGCTGGAGGGCGCACATGGCCCTACGACTCTGTCTCGCATGCCTCTCTCCTTAGCCTTTCAACGCAGCCCGTGATACAGCACTTGGCGCGTCAGCTTAGGGCTGGCCGCTGCGTGGCCTTTCCCACGGAAACGGTGTATGGCTTGGGAGCCGTCACCTCAAATCCCGAAGCTGTGGCTCATATCTTCGCCCTTAAGAGGAGGCCCCCCTCGGACCCCCTCATATGCCACGTGCTGTCTTGCGAGCAAGCGCTGGAGCAGGTGGTGGACTTGGAGCTCCAAGAAGCCTCCTCGGCTCCCCCCCCGCCCCCCACCTGCACTCCCTCTCGCTCCTCAGGCTTCCAGGCTGCGCAGGGGGCTGCACAGGGAAAAGGGGCCCTCAAGAAAGTCTTCGAGGCTCTCGCAGAGGCCTTCTGGCCAGGGCCCCTCAGTATCATTGCGAGGCAGCGCCGTCCAGCAGGGGATCTGAAGTCTAGAGAGGGCCCCTCCCATGTCGGAGTTGTAGACAGTGTTACAGCAGGGACGGGCTTCGTTGCTGTGCGCGTTCCTTACCATCCTTTGGCACTTGCCCTATTAGCGGCCGTGGGGGCCCCTGTGGCAGCTCCCTCTGCAAATCGTTTCGGAAGAATCTCTCCGACGCGAGCCTCCCACGTCTACAAACAGTTTCAGCAGGAGCAGGAGCAGGAGCAGGAGCAGGAGCAGGAGCAGCAGCAGCAGCAGAACGAGCAGAACGACGACGTGTATGTGTTGCCCGTTCTAGACGGCGGCCAGTGCTGTGCAGTCGGGATCGAGTCAACTGTGGTAAAGCTGAGTCTGCTTGAGGGGCCCTCGGAAGAAGGCCTCCCACGAGTGGAAATCAGGGTTCTCCGGAGGGGGCTTATTTGCCAGCAGATGATTTATGAGGCGCTCACGAGGGCTGCAGCCGCGACAGCAGCAGCCGCCGAAGGGGGCCCCTCTTTCGCCTTCCCGCACTGTTGCGTGGTCGTCGCGCCTGCCATCAACTACGCGCAGGTCCACAGGGGGGCGCTCCCGGGGGGGGGGCCCCAGGATGAGCCTGAGGAGCGTCGAGCCACCGAGGAGGCCCCTGCTGAGGGAGCTGCTGGGCTAACTCGGGGATTTTTAGAGACAGCAGACGTAGAAGGCGACGGGGAAAGGCCTCAAGAGAGCCCTGGCCTCTGTCTCACGCATTACGCCCCATGCGTGCCCTCTTTCCTCCTTGTGAGCGCCTCTCGTTGTTTCGCTCTCTTGGATACTGCAGGGATGCCCACTGTCGGGGAAAGGCCCCCTCTCGGCTACAGTTCACGGCTGTGTGTGCTGATCGATGGCGATGGCGCCCTTGCGTCGCTCTCACAGCACTTTGCGCAGTACATTTCTCTACACACCAAGGGTTTGCCTTGTCTAGGCGGTCCTGGGCAGCAGCAGGATAGCAGAGCTTGTCAGCTCGCGGCAGCGGCTGCTGCCAGAGAGGTCTTTGCTGCCCTTCACGCCGCGGAAGAAGCGGCTCTGCAGCAGCAGCAAAACTCAGAAAAGCAGGTTGTAGTGCTGCTGCACGCTGCGCCGCTTGTTCAGTGGGGAGAAGAGGGACTTGCGGTGTTTGACCGCCTTTTCAGGTAGTCAGACGGCGAAGAAATTAAATGGGCCCTTTTCTCTAAGAGTCACGAGAGAACCCCGCGTGAGGCGCTCATGGCTTGTGACTGTTGCTAAGGATGGAGAGAGGGAAGTGAGACATTTCTGTGTGTGTCTGCGGCTCAGGGCAGCATCAGGACGTACTGTGGAGCCTCTGGCGTATGTGGGAGGCCCCTCTCCGGAATTTCTGTTTGGAGCCGCGTCGTAGGAAGTGTCATTCGCCCTGTAGGGGCCCCTGCTCGCACCCCGCACGTGGGTTGTTTGGAGTTTTAGCCTATTCAGCAGGCTGACTCAGAGGTTGCAACACAGCAACTCTCCATCGACGCTTTTTCTGCACGGCCACTGCTGCTGCGAGGGCTGCAGTTTCAGCGGCAGCAGCAGTCTGCTGAAACTAGGGGCCCTTTGCCAGTAAGGCCCACTTAAAAGTTCGGACGCAGGTTTTAAGTTTGTCTTTCTCCGAAGAAGAGGCCCACAGAGGGGCCCCCTTCAGGAGGATTCATTTTGGGGAGGCCTTTCTGGCTGGCTCTCCTAGAGAGTGGTCGCAGCTGACACTTTTAACGCCTTCGCAAGGGCCCGCTACCCAGTGGAAAAAATCCCATTAAACGCTGCCCCTCCTTACCGCTTTCCGTAAGCACGACAAGACGTAACTTCTACTTCCAGAGGATCGGCAGCACGGGACCACCCGAAGGGGGGCTAGTAACTAGATCAAGCTGCCAAATTTCCCTAGGGTGCAGTAGTACTACTCTCTGTAGCTTCTGGGCACCCCCAGGCCGGTTTCTAGAGAGCCTTAGCGTTCCGTTCAAAAAATTGTGGGGGCCCTCTCCAATACGTCCGCGACGTACCAGGCGCAAAAGGAGGCAGCGCCAGAAACGAATTCCGCGATGGTGCCCATGTCGTCTTGGGGGTCCCCAAGGGCCTCTGGGGGCCCTCCGGGGGCCTGTAGAGGCTCCCTCTGAATGAACACGATTCGCTTCAAGTTGCCAGCACCTCCTGCCCGTATGTATGCGACAGCAAAGATGTCGCTCAAGTCAGCCTCTGTGATTTGGCCTCTGGAGGCTCTCAAACGGGATCGGCCCCCATATGGTTCGGGGCCCCCCAACTCCCCCGCCAGCGGGGGCAGCACTCTCCAGCCCAAGGGCCCCTCAGGGGCCCCCTCCTCAGTTTCCGCTGCTGCCGCGTATCTCCAGCCACCGCCCAAGGGGGTGAGGCGGGGAGCCCGCCTCGAGCCGCTGCGCCTTATGGCAACGTCTTCAAGGGGCTCCTGCTCTGCCGTCTCAAAGGGCCCTTCGGGGGGATCAAGGGCCCCCGCCGGACCGATTTCGCTCTGCACCTGAAAGCCTAAGGTAAAGCGCTGTAACGCAGGCATTTGATTTAGGATGCGCTGCAAACCCCGAACGCCTAGGGCGGTGAAGTCGGGAAGGACCTGCAAACGGAAGAAACAGAATCGCCCTCAGGCCACACGCGGATAAGTTGCACACAGCGAAAACACTGCGAAAACACTGAGAGGCGGGCGCCTCCTCGAGACACATCCACGGCACAGCAGGTGTCCGGGTGCTACGCACGTTGACACAGTGTCACACCTATATGTGCATATATAGAGAAAGAGGTACATGCATGCATATATATATATATGCATGTATGAATGCATGTATTTCACAGGCCCCAGAAAATAGAGGCGCTCCCTTTCAACTTCCCTGCACGCACAGGAGGGGCCCCTCAGAGTGCGCCTAAGAGACTAAGTAGTTAACAACACCCCTGATGTCGGTCTCGCGGTGGCGGTGTACCTTCCAAGACCAGTGGTCTTTGGGCAGGGGGAAGTATGTGACCTCCAGCTTTTGAACATGCGCGAACTCGCAGTTGCAGAAGACGTGCAGCCACTCGAGAGTTTGGGAGCCCAAAAGGCAGAGAACAATGAGGCGGGGGAAGGAGAGGGGCCTCAAGGAGAAGGGCCGGTGAGCTGGCGATCTGTCGGACAGAGGCGATTCGGGTGAGGAGATGGAGAGTGTCTTGAGCGAGGCGCAGTTCCGCGCAACAACGGCTGCGACTTCTTTGAGGGTGAGGCCCCCCTTTTGGCAAAAGGCGGCGGCGGGAACCTTCAAGTGCTGCAGCCGCTGCAGCTGCAGCAAGGCGTGCTGCCTCTCTCGCTTCCCCAGACGCAGCCAGGGGCCCTCCAGATGAATCGATGTGGCAAAGGCGAAGGCTCCATAGCAGCCGAAAACCGCCTCCCTCCAGACAGCACATACGCCTGCCACTCGCAGGGTCTCTTCTGGCAGCAAGAATCTAAAGACACTGTGCAGGCAGCCGATGGGGAAGTCAAGGAAGAAATCGGAAGGCAGACGCCGAGGCTCTATCCGTAATAAGGGCTCCCCCGCCTTCGAGGCGGCCCCCCCCTCTTGGCTCCCCACAGCCTGCAGCTCCTCTCCAGAAGGCTGACCACTCGCCTGGCCGTCTGTGCGCAGCGAGAATCTGCGCGTTAGAGCCGTCAGGAAGCGATGCGCCGCATCAGGAACAGGCAAAAATGCAGCAGCAGCAGCCGAGATGCTGCTTGCCTCTGGAAGAAAAGAAGGGGCTGCCTGAGACGTCCTCTCAGGGGTACACCCCTCCGGTGAGACCCCCCCCTGTTCAGAGTCTAGCGCCTCAAGAGAGGCCCCCCTGCTAGAGTCAGAAGACAAAGAAGTATGGTCCGAAAGCCTTTCTGCCGCCAGAAAATACTCTGCCGTGCTCCTGCTGCTGCGACTCCTGTTACTGCCAGTGCTTGCAGCACTGCTGGATGGCCTCCTGTCTCCTCCCCTTTGGTTGGGGGGGCCCTCTCCGAGCGAGCTTTCTACTGCGAACTGCTGCATGGTTCGCCTTTCCCGTATTGCCCTACTGCTGCCGCCGCGGCGCCTACTCTTCCTGCTGGCGCCTTTGCGTCTTGAGGCCTTTCTGCCCACGACGTTCGACGGCAGGCTCCGACTAGCCTCGTCCAGTCCCTTGCACTTGGTACTTTTAGCTTCTCCTAGCAAGCCGCGTTGTTGTTGCTGGGAACGCTGCAGAGGCCGCTGCTGCCGCTGGAGGGCTGCGGGGGTACCGACGACTGGCCCGACCCCCTCGGAAGACGCCGATCTTAGGCCCTCGTTCAAGCTCTCTGAAAGAGAAGGGATGGAAGAAGAGTCTTCTTGAGAATTCGACTGCCGAGGCAGCTGACGCGGCTGCCCCTGCTGCCACTTGTGTAAGGGCACGCAGTCAGTGCCCTCCCTCCGCGCTTGCCAAGACTTCCTAGGGGCCCTCTCTGCGTGCCTGCGCGTGTTGTTATGTTGACTTGTGACTTTGGGGGCTTCCCGAAAAGGCGATCCACAGCTTGCTGCACTGGGAGCCGATGTGCAAGACGCATAATCGTAAGAAGAAGGGGGGAGAAAGCCCCTCCTTGGAGGCGCTCGGAGCCCTTTAGCCCCTCGCACTCGGTCTTCAGGGGGAGTGGAGGAGCTCGAGGATCTTGAGGACGCGACTGTGCTGCGACTTTTAAGATCCAGAGCAGCTGAGAGGTGACGCAGCAATCTGCCCTCGACAGGGCTGCTGCTGCCGATGAAACCGGCAGTGCTGCTGCTCTCGCGGCTGCTGCTCTCGCTGCTGCTCTCGCTGGCTGTTCGTGAAGCCGCAGCTTCAAAGTTGTCGCTGGAATCGCTCGTCACCGTCGGGGCCATAGACGCCTCTACGGCCACCAAGTATCCCTTGATCGCGCTTTCCGATGGACGACGAGCGCCTTCTGCTCGAGCTTCTCCAGCAGCAACTACAGCAGCAGCCTCTGGCTGTGGCCGGTTTGAGACTATGCCAGGCTGGGCAAAAGGGGAAACAGGGGGCCCTGGGCGCCCACCCTGCGACGGCATCCCCAGTGTTGCCCGATCGGTGCCCAGAGCCGCTCGCGTAAAGCTAGTTCTTTTCGCGTCAATGTGCGGGTTCAGCTCTATGTAACGGCAGAGAAAATGGCAGTTTTCAAGCTCTTCTTGCCAGTGCGTCAAAGATTGCAGTTCATTCAGACGGCAACAACAGAGAGGCATACGGGGTGAGCCTCCTGTTCAGATAGCAGAAACGCAAAGAAGATCGCGGCTTCCGAGTCGGCTGGACCAGTGGAGTGGCTTCAGGGCGGCTGAAAATGTGGGTGTGCGTTCGGGCAAGTCGAAGCAGAACCATCCACGAAACAGAAAGAAAAATCTCTTCACGCTATGGTGAGGGAAAATGAGCAGCTATGATCATCGGTACTAATGTGGATCCGAGATGAAAAAAGAGAAACTGAATGAGTCGAGTGGCCGCCGGCCCTACGAGGAAAGCAGGCGTATAATGAGCCTCCAGAAGGCCATAGCAAAGTTCATCAGCACTAAAACTATATTTGCAGAGCATAATAATGGCTTAGCAGCTCAATTTCCCATTTTGTTCTCCGTGGCAACAGAGCGGGCCCCGCTAGCACAGAGAAGCCCTGTGGGTGGTTTGTTACCGTCCACGAGGAAAAGGGACCCACAAAAAGCAAACAAATTGGACGAACTGATTTTTTTGTAGGGCAATGTGTTATCCGTTGAGAAAAAGCCGCCTTTCACGTTACTGAAGAAAGTATTCGGGGTCGCCAGTTCCTCGACTTACAGGCATTCGTAGGACCAGCAAGAACGGGGGGACAATCTAGTAGAATGAGGGGTGTGTGTGCGTTTTATGCTGCAGGTCATGAAAAGTGAACTGCTTCATGTAATCGCTTTGATCCATTGCTATTGTGCTATCACGCGGTTGATCGACAAAAGCCCGCAGCTGCCTGCAAGTCTCCCTGGTTGAATAAAAGAGAGCGAAAACCGAGCAGGGCGCAAACAGGCTCTTCCTGCAAGAGAGTAGCCTGAAAACTCCGTCTTATAGCTTACTTATGAGCGCACTGGCTTTGTTAAAGGTGCCTGCACGCATTTCGCTGTTGCCCCCAATACAACCTCCCTGAGGGGTTGTTGGGGTACCAGGAAACTACAAGGGAAGCACCAACCAAAAATATGAACGCCTTTCACCTAAAGAATGGCATCTAAACTTGATAAAGCATGCACTATGGTATGCCAGGAGAGAGTTTGTTCGCCATGCATGAACAAGTGATATCAAAGGGTCGAAGATCTTTCGATGTGTCCGGAATACTGTCCGGCGACCAATGGGGTCCACAGATTCGAAAAAGGAGTCGCAAGGGCTTGGGGGACATACGGAGGCAGATATTTGACTAATGATGCGTTCTCGGTTAGTACATGCAGGGAAGCAAGTTCAAATAAGTGCTGGAATATGCTAAGTTGCACACATTATGTCCCCAAGGGTCTAGTTCTCTCCAGTACAATTTGTACCAGCAAAAACAAAATAAACACGAACAGACGTGTTTAATTTGCGCAAGTGGTGCATAAAGAGTGTAAGCAGTCAAATATTCAAATCTCGCTGCGGAGTGGAGGGTCAACCATTCCGATTTAGGAAAAAGATGTATACCGCTAAAAGCTCATTCATTACCTGAACTGTGCTCGAGTTGGACTGTTGCAAAGCTGCCTCTTTATGTTCCCTACAAGCCCGAACCATAGTTGCCACAAAACAGTATGTATTCGCGTTCAAATTTTTCGTTTTTTTGCCTTCGGTACACGCTAATGACAAGACCTAGCATTGAAATGCATGCTTTGCTCCTGCAACTCTGTTGAAGTGGCGAGCTATTTCAGTTCTGTTAATGTGGCAATCACAAGTGCTCCTTTTGGACGCGAGTCAAAGAGTGCGTCTTGAGTAATTGAACCGCTGCCTTTTTCTGCACGGACATTTCTGCGCTTCATAGGTTTCAATATTGCCTGATTGATCGAAACTGAATTCAGAAACGAACGGCGAATGTATATATAACTGTATTAATGCTCACGCTTTCTCCTTTGATTTCCTGGAATGTGTATGCAAGGAGGCGAGGGGGAGGGGGGTGAATAAAAGCAACAAACGGGAACTAAAGTGTATATGCATCCTACTGCAGAAAGATCCTTCCTCATCACAGTAACGACGCCGTTTCTCTGTTCCCAGAGGTCAGGTATCCCTATATTCCAATTGTACATGATCCAGTCTTTTTGGCTGATCCTGGTAAATTTACGAACCTCTACAAAATACCGCTTTTGGCTGTCGAACGCGATTTGGGGTATCTTCTTCAGATCCGAAATTCTAGATTCAAAAGACGATTGTACAGAAGGAATAAAACAAGTCAGACTCTGTGGAAACGCACTATCCGAAAAAATGTGCACTCTGCATCTTTTTGGCACCTGGAGCATCCATGATGATGATAAGTGTGTCCTTGAGAAAAGCAAACGCAAATCGTGAATTTGTCAGTATCTGAGTACCTTCGCGCGGCGTCTGCCATCGACTCTAATCTGTGCGCTTCCTCCAACAAATCGTCGCCTTCGCAGCCTGCCTACATTGGTTCATCATGTCCCTGTTTGAGTGTTGTTTGTTCAATTGATTTCGCAGATTCAGCAAGCTCACGGTAATAGTGTTTAGGTGCAAATCGAAAGCTGCAGTATCCGCTGTGCGCAATCAAGAGTCAAGATTCCACGATTTCCAAGTACGACAATACAAAAGCTAAGGAATAACAACACCCTACCTCTAATGGCATCGCCTTTCACCAAAGTGATCCAGCCAAAGTCTTTGGTCCCTTTGAACCACTCCCCGCCTGAAACGTAACGAACAGCTGCTTAGACGATTGATAGAGTTGAATGCTTATGCTGGCCGCACCGCTGCAAAACCTGCGAAGGAAGTCTCCCATCATTCCCTATCTAAAATATTCCATATACAATCACCCCACCAGTTGGCGCCGGTCTGCGGCATTAGATCATCTTGGAAAGTTGTAGGGATCGGCGAACCAATATGTTTACTAGAACCAGAAGAGACGAAAGTGCATTCCGGAGCTTCAGAGCAAGCAGCTCGAGCGTCGTTTGCATCTTTGTACTCGGACTATATTAGAATGTAAACGCGTCAGTTATGCCGTCGCAGTTAAGAAAAAACCTGTAAAATTCCCTACGCTGTCCGCCGCAGTCGCTTTTAGGATGTTGCTGCCTTCACAGAATCTGCGCGTGTTTGGAATCACCAAGTAATCTTCAATAGGATACTGGTAATCTGGGGGGAGAGGATCTATCCAGGAGTTGTGTTCTTCTGTATTGCCTGCTTCCTGTGAAGAAACTTCCCTAGGTTCAGGTGACAGGGGTTTCGTTGATGAGCCAAGAGAGGCGGAAAGAAAACGGGGCCGAAAACATGGTGGTCCTGCTGGTTTCGCTGGAAACCGGCGGAAAGGTGGATTGTTGAAGTTCGTTGACAGATGAACTGAATTGTGCACCTTGCCATCACTAGCTATGGATATGCACCGGGCTACACCAGCCGCGGCAAACCAACACGCGAAAAGCAATGCATAGTTCATAATGGGATGCACGCAAGAAGTAGTCTCCGGCATGTTAAAATCGGTGCCCAGAGGTAAGAGGCGGGCAAATGAACAGCACAGCTTTGGTGCATGTACACCCGAGTGGTATGCACCTAGCTTCACGTCCATGATGACTGAAGTATACTTTCGCACTGCCGCGTCATTTTCCTGCCACTAACATATGATCTACAGCAATGGCTTTGTTGCCACTTTTTGTTGTAAGCAATCTTAATTGCAAATCCGCGATCGCCCTTTACAGTCAGTATGAGTTATGCAAACTGGCCCTTCTCAGCTCCAGTGAAACGAGGGCATCTCATGCTCACACTTCACGTAGAACTCGTGTACTGGCCTGGCATTAACAAGTGTTCGTGAGAACCAAGACAGCGCAGTAAAGTAAAACATCCGTTGCGCGTACGGGACACTCCCTTCAGGAGCCCAGGCCAGCATTGCCCTGTGAAAGAACACGTCAGGGCAAACAGCAAGGGGTCCAATCAGCGAGTATTTGCAAACACAGTTTCAGACACTTCTAAATGCCTAATTCTGCAAAAATAATGTCATAATAGCACAAGGAGCTCATTGCAAATGCAATGAGTTGCACCACGCCCCTCTATGTTGTCATGCCAGCTCTCCTGGCAGCATCGAAAAGTAGCTTTATAGATACACCAAGAAGCGGACTTATTATTGTGTATGGGTGGAAACGTGGGTAATTTGCAACAGGGCGCTGCTGGCAGTGAGCATGATACGAATATACCGTTGAGAGCACCGTGCGTAGGAGTAAAATTCAGGGTCCTCATGAATACTGGAGGCTACTTTACATTCTATGATGCTGAAGTATGGGCTGTTCACTTGTACTGGATCCGCCATTACGAGCATGTTAGGAAATAGTCAGCTGTATCCTTATGCTTCTAAACCGTGTCTAGTCCGGGGTGCAACTCTCGGTATTCAAATTGGCTGTACGGGCAAGACTAAACAAGATAGCTGGCGGATACAGAAGAGTACCCCTTAAGCGATTCAATCCAATCTACAGATATGAAGAAACCACCTAGAAACGCCAAGATCCTCTTTTTGCGACTGCAGGGATGGACGGGGAGTAAATTGCCCATACTGACCATTCCGGTGTATTCGACCTCAGGTCCATTCGGAAGATAAAAAGGGAAGCCCCCTCTTTCTTAGCCAAAGACAGCACGCGTTCTACTCTGTCTGCTCGACTGCACCCGTCAAATGGAAGGGAAGTCTTCGGAGATATCAAACCTGAAAAAACGTGGCAATGAGGTCTGAAAAGCCTAGAGTACAACATTGAGGAATCAAAGCGTGAGCACACGATGAAGTCGCGGTTTTAAACAAAGAGTGATACAGGGATAACACATGTTGATTCTACACTGCGTTTTATTCAGTCAGTACTTGCTCTCTCGTACTGGTTTCGTTGTCGACCGTAAATTGAATGATGCTGTCCTTGCATTTGCCTTGAACTATATGCTCCACGACAGCTTGCGCTTCCTTTGAAAGACCAAAAGAAACTTTGGGGTTTCCTTTACTTTCCCCTGGATTGCTTGATACCTCGTGGGTTTGCGGCTGCATTGCAGTGTGTCGGCAGCGCCTGGCGGGTGTCCAGCCTGAGGGGTTAGCGAAATTAGAGGAAGCGTTCGTCCGAATTCCGTATTAGACATGAAGTGAGCATCGAGGCACAACGCCGCAACCACGCGCACTTGGACAATCCCATGCGCAGTCCACAATATCAGGAAGCGGGCAGCCTGCTGGTCTTTCGGTGTTTTGAAGCACGCTGTACAGTCTGTGAGGGGCACAAGTGTAGACTGAAGAAGTTGATAGCAATAGATGCAGCTTCTGTAGGCATTGCTAAAAAAACAATGAAGAAACGACGAAGCAATGAAGGCATTACCTAGCTACGTTTTCTTGACTGCTTTGGGGCTGGCCGATCAGAGAATGGTATGTGCAACCGCCCCCCCCCTTCCGGAAACAATGAACAACACCGTAACGAGCCATGCAAATTAGGTAATGCGTACTTCTCCAATAACTATGCTGACGGGTATACATGGCCAGGGCCACGGCAGTGAAGAGAGGAACCCTCTGTGCGCCTTTCTTGAGCAACGTCATGTGTGGCAGGCAGCGGCCTTTTCTACGCTTTGATAGTCGCATCATCCTCGAATAATTGCCCGTTATAAAACAAATTGGGTTTATCTTCTAACCCCGCATTGTGCGAGAGGAAGCAGATGTATTTGCAAGAGCACAGCGATGAGGCGCGGGGGGACTTGCACTGCCTCCTGAGCGATGCCTTGTACTAGGGGACTCGTACCACGCCGACTTTTATTATCGTTGCACGAAAGATTTGGTCCTTAATCTTTCCTATGGCTGCGTAATACTTAAGGTAAGCAATATGTCTGTATCCCCTCGATTATTGCTGGGTCCCCGGTTAAGTTTGGGTAATCCCCCGGTTCACCCTGTGCTCTTCATCCGCCCTCACTTTCAAAAAAATGTACGCTTAGACGTAGCTTCTCTTTCGACTTGCCGTTTCACCTTGCTTCGAGCACTGCAACGCTCCGTCTACCATTTCTGTAGGCAAGTACTTACCTACAGAATAAAAACATAGCAAGTCATCGAGCGACTCCCAGGAGGCGTCTTCCCCCTACCCACGCCTTTCAGGGTTCACAATGACGGAATGGTGACAACTAAGCAGCGGGTAGCTCCACCCTCTAAGTACTCCGAGCAGGCATTCCCAGTTACACATAGCATCCAGGGCAAGCGCACACAATGCTGCATCTTCTTGTACCAACCTCCCTAGCAGGACTCTGCAATGAAGCAGACATATGAGCGGATACACCAGTTGGTTATTTCTTCACTATTCCTTAGTTTGATAAAACTGATGTACTATTAAGTGCGCAAACCAATTCGGCTCTTTTGTCAACTCGGGCTCACAATGCGTCTGTAGATATGCTCTGTAGCGGGCTAAGCTACATTAAAACACTTATTAGTGCACTAGTCTTTCTACGCAAAGCGTATAACTAGTAAGTAGCTAATTGATTGTCTTCCAATGTAACCCTTCGTTCTAGAGCACAGCAATATCGAAAGAAAGCACAGGGTTGGATGCATGTGCGTGCGTGCCTGATGGGCTGTGCAACTAACTTTGATTGCTCTGAGGGCTGTAGGTGTGCAGCTACGCACCCTACTTGTTTCTCCCCTCATGTTGAGAGCCCTATAGAGACGCAAGCACAGAAGACTACTGAGCTCTGCAATATGAAGAGCTCAGAAGCTTTCTATTAGGTTAATACTAAGTATGGATATGAGTGTCTTCCTACGGAGGCCTGAGCCTTTGATGGAGCCTTTTATTTAGTGTCGATGCATAGTTCGGTGCAGCGATTTACGCTAATCCACTAGATGTGGATAAATTGGGTGGCGGGTTTCCCCACAACACATCCAGCTTTTGTCTAGTTAGCTGGCCATTCAAATTATCGTTTCTTTTGGCAGTCTGGGTATAAGAGTCTTTAGCAACGAAAGTAGCGGTGGCACACGGACTACTGGGAATGCAGAGGTCGGGCTGCAAGCTGATTTATACGCAGTAGCTTCCCATGAGCAATGAGGTTATGCCGTCAAGAAAAGCCTGTTGGCCATTACGATGGGCATTTAACAAAAACTTCATCATCCGGTTGGATGTGTACCTCGCCTTGTACTCTCCAGACAAATAGGAGCGAGTCGTTCTTGCCGCATGCTTATTAGACATAAGACGCTTCAATGCTAGCCTCGATTCATAGAGAAACAGTCGTGTGCTTGACGGCGCTGGTACGGTTCAAGCGTTTAAACAAATTAAAACTCATCAGCTGATGCCGAGATTGGCTAAAAAGCAAGCTCTGGAAGATTTGAGACACCATAAAAAAGCGCGATGCATTAAATGGTATGCAAACTTTGAATCGCAGAAGGCACAACGTAGAGGACCAGCTGCTTTATCAGTGGTATGTCAGGTGTACCAATGTCTCAAGTCAGGTCATCGCAAAGTGGACAGCCCCTCAGTGATTCAGCAGCCGACCGGTGGGGGTATAGCAAAAGATGAATGACTCGAGGCCTTAGGGACAAATGAGCACTAAACCTGCATCTTTGACAGGATAGCGAGAACCAATTCGAAAACTTCAAACTATGCATGTTGGAGCGGAGTTAGCTGGCCGGAGTCTACAGTCTAAAGTGAATACGAAACGAGAAATCCGAGGGAAGCTGTGTTCCAAAGCAGCCCCAGACAGCTCCTCAACAACGCACCTGTTTCTATTGTGGGAAGAGGTTCATAGAGTCGGGAACTGCAAGAGAACGCAGATTGCTGAAGAGCTTGAACAGCAGGACTGAGCCAAGTGGGAGTAGACTGCTTGACGACATAACTTTGCGCATCAGGGAAACGGGGAGTTCACCACGGAGGCTGCTGCATAATGAAGAAGGCTACAGGGGAGAGAGCCCCAGTTGAAGGGCCATCATGGGTCAGTTTCGCGCAGATACAAATTCACCTTAATCACCCCAAAGTGCTACCGCTGCTTGCTTTTGGATATGAGCTGGAGCAATCATTTTGAGGGGACTGTGCAAACGTCCGATCTGAGTGTTCACTCGCTAGCGCAGATAGTAAGAGACTTGCTGACAACAGCAGAACAAAAATAATGGCGGGGCTCAGGCAGTAAAATGCCAATTTGAATAGGAATCTAGAGTCAGCAGCGTGGCTTGTTTTGTATTATGAACCCGCATATCATGACGTAATTTTTAGGTATGCCATGGGGGACCGAAGGAAAGGAGCGCATGCGATCATTGCCTCGCGCTGTGGAAGTGTGCTGAAAAGGGCTAAACGGATTTAAATTGCGGTTGTCTCAACAGCCCTCATTCTATCAGTCGTGAGCCTGATAGAGTGAGTAACTCAGCAAGGAGAGGTGGAGCGTCCACGCGGGCTGCTCAGCAGGGCAAAAAGACAAGGGGATTCTGAGCATGCGTCCCATTTTAGTGGCACAGCAACCGGCTCTTTATCAGAAACATCGACTGTACGGTTTGCTTAGAAATAGCAGGAATGGACAAATATCAAGGGGAAGCTCGTGTCTGTGCTAAATAATGCCAGGCTGCCGCTGGGCTGGTCCGTTCGGGTCGTCCACCACATCGTATCGGATATCCCCGTGTTAGCCCCTAACTATGTTACGTGACATCGTAAGCCACTACAGCATAGATATTTGCTTAAGCGGCAAGCGAATGAATTGTTGAAAAAGGACAGAGTGCAGAAATCCACCATCACTTTTGGCCACAACCCGCGTTGGCACCGTAAAAGACTAAATGTGGCTCACGTGCCTCAAATTCAAGCCCCCGAAGGTGTGGAGCATACGTTTCTGATGCATCATATTGTCGAATTATTTGGCAAGCCAAACGGATCAACGATATATTCCACATTCGACTATTAGGCGCTTTCTTACAAGTTCCCATACACCTCACTGGCAAGCACAACATTCCACACACCCCGTCACAAATTCGAAAACACTTATATGCCGCTTGCACTTGCTATTCCTCCAGTTATGCGGCAATAGCAAATTTGACAGAGTTTTGAGCGTATCAAGAAGGGCTGAGAGGCTGTCGACAGTGACGGTGTCTCAGTCTACTGCCGAAACGCTCAAGAGAACCTCCAACGCCAAGGGCGAGAGCTTCAGGTGCTGTGAGATAAGAAGACATGCAAGTGGTCGCTTCTTGCGGGGGCAATTGTGCTTCTGAGATTCTGTTTTTAGCTGCAGATACTGAGCCCGAACCGGTGGCATTTGCAGCTACTAAGGCGTGGCCATTGCCTTTTGCCCATGCGAACAGCTGGCTTCTGCACGCCAATGCATGCGCAACGATGAGCGAATACGATTACCGAATTTTGCTAAGTGGCAGTCTGATTTCAAGTCTGTAGATTAAGTGGTCATGGATTGGCAGGCATGACAAGGGCACCGGACGGAGAAGTTTGCAAGCAGGTGGCTAGGTCCATTTGCAGTCCTCTCACGAATCATTGCTCATTCCCACTTTATCAATTTTCCTGACTGTTTGGGGCGTAACACTGCTAGCAATATATTTGGCTTTCGTAACATGTTGCGAAACTCTCAAAATGATTCGTGGACTTTGTACGTAGTCGACTGACCAGTAGAGGCGAAAAGAGATAGTAAAAAGTCGTAGAAGTGTTGGATCCGATAACCGATAACCGCCGAGGACGCTACACGCTAGATTAGAGTGATCTAAGGTCGGGAATGCCAGCTTCAGTGATTGACACGGGAGCAGTTGCTGGTTTTGCGGGTTTGCGGCAGAAATTGCGCCTAGATTGATCAACAACTCTAGTCGCCATGGAAGGTATTTCCTGTGATCCTTGGTGATTTGGTTTCCACAACCCATGCCCTGCCAGAAAAAAACTCCTTTGCCTAGGGGTAGTGCTTTAGGACCTGCTGGTAATTACTGTTCAGGTGTTGTCTACATTAAGATATATGCGCAGGCAAGGTATGTTGTCCTAGTATTCTTTTGTATACCTCTTCGCGGTGGTATAAGAGGGCTTAGCCCGCTTCGCACTACACCACTTATATTTAACTACAAAAATAGTAATGAATTGATTAGCTGGTCTGTCTGTTTGCATATCTTTTAAAGAGCGGTGTACTCTTGGCTCGAGGAAGAAGGCACAACATCGTGTGGGTGTGCTTTCAAAGCTATGCGCACCTAGTTGCGAAAATTTAGACTAGTTAGAGGGTGCAGCCACGCGAATCCTAGCAGGCCCTCTCCCACTATGTCGGGAACTCTGAAGGGCGTGGGCATGGGAATGGGGAAGCATTTCGGGGAGGGGGGGAAACTCTATAAAAATCCACAAAGTTTAAACTCAGTTTCGAATAAAGTATGCCCCTACGGAGACGTAAAAATGGAGCGTGTACAATGGCCGTCTACATCTGCATACATGTAGATATCTACATATATACCTACACATGTATTTCACGATGCGTGCAGGCACATTGGTAGCCATGCGCATGCGCAGATGCAAGCCATTACATGAACGTATGTGGGAAAAGTGCAGTATCTGCCTCTTTTGAAGCGTCAACGTTTGCTGTATTGCTTTCTTTTTCTCGCTTTCCGTAAGCCGAACTTTTTTCGTTCGACTCGCCTTGAATCGACTGTCAAGAAGGATCCCCTTTTGAGAACGGGGCGCAAATGCGGCTGCTGCCTACACAGCTCACGCGCGACTGCCAGCATTATGGCTCCAGACTGACCACCAAGACCTCCGCCCTTTGCCTGATCAGGAGGCAACACAGCTTCACAGGATGTCTGGAATTTGCGAGCCGAGTGACCCCACCACGAGGAAAAATACTGCGAGGCTGATCAGAAAAAACAAAGCCCTGAGTAAGGAGTATATGTGCTACAGGCAAAAGCAAAGCGTTTTTCGCTGCTCGCCTGCAGCGTGCATGCGCAGAAAAGATGAAGGGCGGTGCTGTACGTGTACTCCGCGCCCTTCATGCGCATGTTCTCACCGTTTTCATACGTGCACACCATGAAAATCCCATTCCCCCCGTAATAAATCAGAAGCGGCGGCATCCACACAAGCCGTTCGCAACACGAGTAACGGCCAAAGAGGAAATTTAGGGTTTCTATGAGTGCTGCTGTGGCTGGGCACCCCTAAAACGCACTTGCGCCTCAATGTCGAATCGATTCTCCGAATTGACTTCTACGAGGGGGGCCCTGCAGTTCAGGAGCCAGAACTCGTTGCCTTGAAAGTATTCGCCACCATCCCTTCCATTAACTGTTAAACGGCCGCTGCCGCTAAGCAGACGCACACGAGCATATGACCTAAACAACACGCAGAGGTAGGTACAAGAAAAAGAAAACGCGGTGGACGCACAAAGAGATGCAAGCGCTCGAGCACGCAGAAAATATATGCCTAAGATAGAGTGGAGCTTCATTCTAAATGATTCCAGTGCAACATGCGTCTGAGAGTGCTGCAGGAGGCGCTTCTAACAGGCGTGGCTGCTGCCTGCGCGTCTACCACAGGGGCCCTGGGAGGCGCATAAAAGTGCGTGCAGAAGATCCTGGTGCTTCGCCGTTTAGCTTAATGTTTGTAAATATGAAGAGTCGGCTTAGCGTGCGATTGCGCCGCTCGCAGTTGACTCCCTCGTCTCAGTCGTGCATCACAGCTCACTGTCCACTACTGCCAGAAGCAGCAGGAGCAGAGGTGACAGCACCCACGGGGTAAGACTCACTGTTTCCGTGTTCCCCATGAAAAGTCTCTTTGCTTAGCTCTCGATAAAGCCTCCTTCGGATTTCCATGGGGGCCCTCGAGGCCCCCTCCAATCCGCAAGAATGACTCCCCGTTCGCAAGACCTTCCATCGCCGAGTTCTCTTCCTCGCCCTCCCTCGGAAAGGCGAATAAAGGGTGTGTCATGGGGTTTTGGATTGCTGCTGACAAGCGACGTGGCTCGAAGGATTCGCTGCCAGATGTTCGAAGCTGCATGCTAGAGGGGGGCCCCGGGAAATGCCTCGAGTTGGGCCCGAAGGAGGCAGGTAAGAGGGGGGCGCTCAAGAAGGCGCTCCGAGGTGGCAGCCGATAGGAAGGCCGCAGAGAGGGTAAGAATTCGGATTCAAAGATCAGGAGGTGCGCCGCTGTATTCTCCGTTATAAAGCAACCGCAGACCAAACACAGCAGCTCACAGTAGAGAAAACGGGAGAGGCCCCTGCGAGGTGGGGCCTTCGACGGCCTCTTCATGGCACTAGAGACTCTGGAAGACACAGACAGACCCCATACTGAGACTTGGGGGAGGGGAGAAGGGTTCAGTGGCTCGAGGCTGGACAAAACGCGGGGCCCCCTGGTAAAGACAGGCTAGCTGCTGAGGGGCCCCTACCTAGTCCATAGCTTCCTACCAGGGTGGCATAGGCAAAAAAATATGTTGGAAACAGTCGTTGTTGTTGACGAACACAGGGATATAAAGAACAGGGGCACTGGATGTCGCTTCTGTTGGGGCCCCGGATGGGGGGCCCCCCTACGAAGGCCCTCGACGTGCGCCAAGTATTTCGGGTTATTTTGTTTTGTCCGTATGTTCAATGCAACTATTTGGCTTGTAAATCAACAGTTTTGCGTAATTTCGTCCTGTTTCCTTGTTTTTGTTCCGGCCAATCGAGCAGCAGCACGCGCTGATCCGACAACCAAGACATAACACCCCACGATTTGGGGGGCCCCCATGTCTGGGGCCCCCTGTGCTGAGGACCTCGAGGGCCACAAAGAGCCCATGGCGCCTATAGGTTCTTCTGCAGCATGCTGGGCTCCCTCCGGAGTTGCACATCCATATATTAGGAGATATTTCGCCCAAACTTTGAAGCCTATCGTTGTAGGCGCTAAGGCCGGCACCACCCCTCGAATATCTCACGCTTCAACTTCCCGCGGCTTCTAGCCTGTCTGCGCTTGAGAGGGCTTTCTAGTGCGCCTGCTCTGCCTGAGCTCCGTTCTTCCGCAGCCTCCAAGAAGGGGGCCCTCCCGGCCTGGGTCCTGCATACAAAAAGCGGCCCTCTGTAGGAGCCGCTGTTAGTTGGGGGCCCCTGAGGAATGCCCTGCAGCGGCAGGGTACGGGGCCCCCCTTGGTCCTTCACTTTGCTCTTGCTGAGAGTCGCTCTCCTTTTGCTGGGGGCTCTCTCCCTTGAGGCGTTCGCTATGGGAGGATGCACCGCTCCCGCAAGGCAGGGCCCCCCCCAACGGATAGCGGGGGAACGGTTTTTGAGGCCCCTAAGGCCAGTCTGGACCGCTCGGCAAGCCCTCTCGACGTGCTTTCAGTGCATTCTGCCAAGCAGCGACTGTACCAGCCCTCACCGTTACCGTTACCACCAGCAGCGCAGCTACACGCTGTTCCGCCGCAGCAGCGCTGGCAGCCGTGACAGCGAAAACAGCCCACGAAAGTACCCCCTACCCCTATCGGCATCCGACTTAGGGGTCTCCTCAGGGGCCCCACTGGTTTCGAGCGTCTTCCTCTCCCGCCTTGCCCGCCTGGGGAGGCCCCTGGCTAAGCGCCTCCTGCCGCAGCTTTCCTTCAGCAACCCCCTCATGCTGCCTGAGGGAGTCGGTATGACCGCACTTATGCAGTTCGTGGAGAAGCAGAAGGTCCTACACAAGGACCATGTCATCCTTACCCAAGTAAGGCAAGAACGACGCGCTGGAGGGCCCCTTCCCCCTGCCTCCAGGCTCCCCTGGAGCAGACTGCCGCTACCTGCCTCCGGTTGATACTGCCGCCGGCGCTGCTCCCTTCTGGCCCTCTTTCCCCTTCCACGCCTTCGCTTTTTGCTTCTCTTTTGCGCCGCTTCTCGTTCCGCCGTCCGCACTCTGCTCCCTACGGCCATACGTGCGAAGCGCCACCTCAGGGCTCCTCTCGCTAGCGCACAGGCCTCTGTTCTCGACGCTGCGCAGGTTGGTGACTTCTACGAGGCTTACGGCGTGGATGCGGTTATGCTCGTCGAATTCTGTGGACTTAACCCCATGGGGGGGAAGCCAAAGGCGGGGTGCCCTAAAGGGAGCGTTCAGGCAGTGCTGGACTGCTTGACAGCCGAGGTACAAGACCCCGCTCCGTAGAATTCAGTGCGACGTAGACACAGAGAGAGGGAGAAATCTCACAAGCAAAGAGGCCGCCACACTTTCAGAATTGCTGTCGATATTCGTGCTGCGTCTTTCGACGCGGTGCGGCGTCATTCCAGCAGCCAGCCAGCGACACAAGGCCTACGCCTCGATGATAGAGAAAAAGCGAGACAAAAAACAGCGAGAACGCTAGACATACATACATACGCACACACACATATACATACACTTAATATACATACATATATATACATACCTACATATACGTACACTTAATATACATACACTTAATATACATACATACATATACATACATACACATATATTCACACATCCATATACATATATATATCTGTATGCCCATGTGCCACAGGCGCACATTGGAGAGCCTATCTCTTCGTGTGTTTTACAGCGCTATCTATTTTGGGAGCTGTCTTATGTGTCTGTCGTGCCCTTCTCTGTGGAGGGCTTTTCTCCTGGGGTGCTCTGAATTCCCCCCTGGCGCGCGTTGTCTGCTCTCCTCAGGGGTTGACTGTTAATGTATACGAAGAGCTGCCAGTGCCCCCTGGCCTCGGCTCAAGGGCCTTGTTGCTACGCACGCTGAAAACACGCGTGTTAACGCAGGTGGTGTCTCCTGCAGCGCCTCTCTTTCTCCCATCGCACCTGTCGCTATTCCAAGGCGAGATCGGTAAGCGGCCTGTAAGCCTGTGCAGCTCTCTCTCCCTTCGCCTCCGTTCTTTTCCCGATATAGAACGCAGATGCGGTCCGCTATACGCCGATGTACATCCTCCATCACATGGCCTTCCGTCACTCCTGCCCGCCCATATCCTGGTCGCACATGGGGGCAGCATCATCTGCATTACTTTGCGTCTGCGAGGGAATGCGCGTCTAAAAAGGGCTGCTGCTTTCCTTCCTCGCGTGCCTGTTGCGCAGGAGCCAACACCAGCGACTCCCTGCCCATCTTTTCTCTCTACTTCTCGCCGTCTCTGGGGTTCTGCTGCGGCGAGATATACGTGGAAGAGAGGCGGATGCACGTGGAGGGAGGCCTCACTGCTGAAGGGGCACGCACGAAGATTGATGCAGCGCTTGCGGCAACAGGAAGCGTTCCTGCCTCGAGTGGCATGCTCTGCGGAAGCAGCGACAGTGGCGGCAGAAGCAGCAGCAGCAGCAGGGGAGAGCTGTACGTACACCTGGTGCCCCGGGGTGGCGCTGCCAAACAAAAAGCGCTGGACATGTCAAGAAGCCTTCTTCCCGGAATGTACAAGAAGATAATCAAGGTATGCGCACCCCATTTAACCTCCTTCATGGCAGCCACGCTTCTAGAGAAAGAGAGAGAGAGAGACAGAGAGAGAGAGAGACAGAGACAACAGCTGCATGTGGCAACAAACACGCGCACAGAGAGCAGCTCGCGTGCATCTGCATGCGACGTGCATGCACCCCCGCGTTCCGTGCAACTCTCTCCCTGCGATCGTCTCCCGTTCCACGCAGATGTATGCATGCAGCACCTGCCGCTTCTCCCGGGTGCTCTCCGTGGTGTTGCAGCTGCTGCTGGTGCCTCCTTCCTCTTTCTTTACGAATGCACAAATGCCTCCCGTTGTGCATCTCACCGTCTGGCAGCCTCTTGCCTGCCTGCCTGCGTGTCTGCGTGTCTGCTTCTCCTTGTCTTTTCTGAAGGGGGCAATTTCCTCAGGCAGCTTCCACCGGGCAGTTCTCCGGGAAGTTGCATCTTCGCTCAGCCTTTCGCCACAGGAGTTCGCTGTGTCTTCGAGCGCAAGGAGCTATCGAGGCTACTGGGGAGCTCCTGGGAGAGCTCCCCACCCCCTCCCCACGGCAACAGCCTCTCAACTAGGGCTCTTAAGCTCAGTGGAGCATCACTCGCAGTCTGCAGCGTCTATTTCTGCCTCCTTGGTGCCTCCTCTTCATAAGGCCGTCTTGCCACCCAATGCGCCTGCAGGAGCTGCCAGGTCCTGCCTGCTCGCCAATGCTGCTGCTGTCTTGTTGCTGCTGTCTTGTTGCTGCTTTCTTGTTGCTGCTTTCTTGTTGCTGCTGTCTTGTTGCTGCTGTCTTGATGCTGCTGTCTTGATGCTGCTGTCTTGTTGCTGCTTTCTTGTTGCTGCTTTCTTGTTGCTGCTTTCTTGATGTTACTTTCTTGTTGCTGCTGTCTTGATGTTACTTTCTTGTTGCTGCTGTCTTGATGTTACTTTCTTGTTGCTGCTTTCTTGTTGCTGCAACAAAATGTCAGAAATGCCACAGTGCCTTCTCTTCGTGAGGAGGCCGTACAAGGGCATGCCAACTCATGGCTTCGCTCACTTGACAAACAGCACTTCACAGCGAGGCATCGATGGTGGATTTTTCCGTTTTTTGCTCTCTCCTCTCTGTATGTATGAGACTCGGAGAGAGTCTGGACTGGGCTGCCTCTTTCGTGCATCCTCGAGCGCCGGTTGTTACATACTTCTCTCCGCTGTGGCTGCTGCTGCCTTTGACTTCTGCGCACTGGCAGCCTCGTTTTCTTGCGGCCTCTTTCTCAGATTCCTACAGAGGCTGCTGCTGCTGCCGCCTCCGCCGGCCGTCGCTGATGCCATGCAGCAGCTGCTAAAACAGCTGCTGCTTCTCAGCGTCACTCCCTCGAAGCCCTATGCGTCGAAGAACTCCGAGCAGAGAGATGCGCCGCCTCTGCAGGCGGAGCATGCGGAGATGCAACAGCAGGAGCAGCTGCTGATGCCGTCTGGAAAGATTCCGCATATTGGGAAGGTTGCGCAGCTCATCTCGACACGCAAGGTATCGATGCAGCCGAGACGCGACGCGCTTGTGATGCCAAAGCGCGCAGCTTTCCCCCTCCTGCTGTTGATACATGCGTGTCTTTGTTTCTTCTTCCTCTCAGCGCCTAGGCAGATGTGTACAACGCATGTAGGAGGTCGAGTGGCTTGTAATTAATGCAACCTCAGGCGAATAGAGTGCTGTTTGCGGAGTTGCTGGGCCTGCTGCACCCCGCGGCTTACTGCCTTGAGGCCTATCCGCAGCAGCTTCTCCAGCCGCTTTTTCTGCTGCTGCAACACCAGACGCAGCAGCGAATCGAGCAAGACACTCTGCGGCGCGAAGTGAAGGAGGCGGCTCAACGCATTTCGCGAGTGAGATCCACGAAAACACGCAGCCCTAATTGCGCTCCACGGTTCTTCCTGGAGCTGGTGACAAAGGCACTCACAGTGCCTAAAAGCAACCCGCTGGCCTCTCGCCGTCGCGACACTCCAGAACGCAGCGCTTGACAGTCTCCTGCCTGCCTTAGGTCATTTACCAAGATCCCGAGGCTCATGATCGAGCAGCAGACGCGATGGCACTTGCTGCTGCTGCCGCTGCGGCTGCCGCTCGGCGCGTGGAGGCGGGGCACACTCTAGACGGATCCGGGGAGGCTGCTGCAGCTTCTGCTGCCGCGGCAGCGGCAGCCGCAGCTAGCTCGGCTGCAACGCAGTGCCGTAGAGCAGCAGCAGCTGCGAGTCACGAAGCTGAGTCCAGCACTGGAGGCATCCTCACAGCCCTTGAAGAATTCTATCAGCGATCCGTGAGCGGCATGCAGACTGGGGTCTGAGAGGCTATATCGGCTGGATCTGGGAAGACGGCGCTGTATCGGTGGCGTCTTTCTACACGGATGAAGGAGTGCCTTTCTTCTCTCTTTTCAAGCAGAGCTGAACTCTCTCTCGAACATTGTGTTGCTTCCTAAGTTGTGTCGAGCTCTCTGCCTCGGCACTCCCTCGGTGCTGCTTGCCACCCCCCTAGTCCCCCTGCTCGCCTCTGCATCATATATGGCCATCCCTTTCGGGTTGATTTCTCCCTCACGCTGCTTCTGTTCATCATCCTCAGGAGTCTTTTCGGTGCCATGTCCAGCCGGAACTGGTTGCGGCGCCTCTCATCCGCGTTGCTTTAGCGGCAGACGATCTCCTTGTCGCCGTGCTCAGAGATTTTACGGGGGTGTCTCTTCCCTCCCTCCCGCCTCTGGCGGGAGTTTTGACGGGCCGAGTCACAGCGCAAGAGGTCTTGCAGGAGGCCGTACAGTCGAGCCTCCAGGGGAGCAATTCGGAAACTTTCTTAGACCCCACAGAGCATGCAGCCGTCAAAGCGGCTCCGAAGGAGGCCCCTGAGGAGGCTCCTACGGCATCGCCACTGGAGCTGAAGGGAATTTCTGTCGCAAAGGGTTTGCATTTAGTTTTAGTGCTGCGGGATCAGCGGCAGCGGCAGCTGCGGGAGCTGCAGCAGCAGCAGCCGCGGCTCATGGCGGCGCTGCAACGGTGGCTCACCGCAGACGCGTTAAACGACATTGTTTACTTGAAGAAACACAAGCCTCCCCTTGCAGGCGTCGCTGCAGCAGCAGGTAGAGCAGTTCCAGCGGCAGCAGCTGCAGCTGCTGCCGCCGAGGAAGAAGGGAAAGGAGGAGAAGGAGGAGGAGTCGCAGCGGGAGCAGCCAAAGGGAAGACAGGCCGAACACCGAAGGCAGCAAGCAAAGAAGCAGTGGAGCTCACAGTGCCTTCCAATGCTCCAGAGGCTCCTAAGGTACGACATGCGCCTGCCTCCTTAAGAGAGAGATCTGCTTGCTCCCCCGCCTTTGTACAGACAAGCCACGTTGGGCTTGAGAAGGAAGCTGGGAAAGCTGGGAAAGATGGAGAGGTGGAATTGTTTGAAGGCTAGGCGTGTAGGCAAAGGCGCATACCCCAAGCAGAGAGCGGCACAGAGCGCCTGCAGCTCTCGAGCAGCTTCTGCCCTATGATGCTGTCCGCATGGCGTGGTGGCAATTTGGCTTGCAGGATCGGAATCGTCGTGTGCTGACAGGCTGCTGGAGCACCCCTGCAGTCATGGCAGCCGTTCGGCAGTACACTGCAAGCTGCGCAGCTGCAACGGCGGAAGTTCGAAAGCAGATAGAAAGCCTCAGCGCCTCTCTGCAGCCGCTTTTGCCCGCCATTATCCAGGCAGCCCATCTCACCTCCATTCTGCAGGTGCGATGCATGTCTTGAAGTGTGGGGGCGGAACGCAGCGAGCAGCAGAAGCCGTGAGGGGGAAGCTGCACTCCCCTTTCGCACGCACTCTCTGCCCCTCGCCACGCGCTACAGTCTAGGGTTCAGCTGGCTGTAGCATGCTCGGGTGTGGACTTCTTGTCTCTCAGGCAGCTGGGCACCATGCTGCATTTGCCTGCAGCAACGGTTGGAATTTGCCGGAGTTGCGTAATGACGGGGGCATGGCTCTGCAAGTTCGAGATCTGACACCCTACTACCTCCCTCGCAGCAACCTCAGCAGCACTGGCAGCAGCTCTTCCAGCAACGCCAGCCTTGCTACCGATTCTGTGGACACACAAAGTGCTCTTGAGCCCCTTCACGCTTCCAGAGGCGCGTCTAGCGTCTCCTTCGATTTGAATGGCTTGTTTCTACTGACGGGGGAAAACATGGCTGGCAAGAGCACTCTGTGCAGGTCCACGCTTGCCCTGACGCTTCTAGCGAATGCAGGTGTGCTTCCACACACACACACAAACACACACATACACATATACATACACATACACATACACACATACACACACGCATACATATACACACTTACATATACACACATACACACACATACACATACACACACGCACATACACACATACATATACACACATACATATACACACATACATACACATACATATACACACATATACACACATACAAACACATACATATACACACACATACATATACACACATACATATACACACATACACACACATACATATACACACGTACATACACACACGTACATACACACACATACATATACACACATACACACACATACATATACACACATACATATACACACATACAAACACATACATATACACACTTACATATACACATATACACACATACATATACACACATACATATACACACATACACACACATACATATACACACATACACACACGCACATATACACACAAAAGCTAAATGATTAAGCGCGGCATTTTACGCGGGGTCTTGAGTCCCAATAAGGGTTGTGCAGCCTTTGCGTGAAGACTGAGGTGTACGGAAACAATTTGCTGATGGCACGTTTCTTCTTTCTCACGCTTGCTTGCACAGCGCTTTCCTGTGCGAGCCAGCGTCCCTCTCTGCCCCGTCCCTCGCAAATGCCGGTTTGCGTTTCTGTCTATCTGTGTCTCTCTCCTGCACTAGGATCTCGGCATGGCCGCTGCATGCTTGCGCTCTTGGCATGCGCTGGTGTTCGCTCACTCTTGCGCGCAGGTCTGTTCTGCCCCTGTGGGAGCGGCACGAAGGTGCCTCGGTACTCTGCCTTCCTGTCCTCTTCCTGCATTGCGCACGATTCGCCTTTAGAGAACAAGTCCTTCTTCGTGTTCGAGTCTCAGCAGCTCAAAGCTGTTCTCCAACAGACTCTGGATAGCACAAGTCCTCATGGAAATCCTGCTGGAGCCGTGGGCTGCCCTAAGGAGGAATTATCAGAGACACACGCGGAGGGAGAGAACAAGGCTACTGCAGAGCGTGGGAGCAGCACTACAGCCAATACACACGGAGTAACTCCATCAAACTCGAAGACTGCCGAGCAGGGAGAAGCACGGAAGAGCATCGGAGAAGCAGGACGCTTTGCGCGGAGCTTCCTTATCTTAGATGAGCCCTGCAAAGGCACTGCCCCCAACTGCGGAGCAGGTGCTGTCGATAAGAGATGCACTTTTCTTCAACGCACAACTGTTGTTTCTTCCTCTCCTCTTCTGTGCACAGAACTCAGTGGCTCGCTCGCGACTGCTGCTTATTCTCTTCTCCGGCGTGTTCGTGTGTGTGTGTATATATGCGTATGTGTGTTTTTGTGTGTTTTTGTGTGCATCTGTGTGTATGTGTGTTTTTGTGTGCATCTGTGTGTATGTGTGTTTTTGTGGGCATCTGTGTGTATATGCGTGTGCATGTGTGTGTTTGTGTGTGTATATGCGTGTTTTTGTGTGCATCTGTGTGTATGTGTGTTTTTGTGTGCATCTGTGTGTATGTGTGTTTTTGTGTGCATCTGTGTGTATGTGTGTTTTTGTGTGCATCTGTGTGTATGTGTGTTTTTGTGTGCATCTGTGTGTATATGCGTGTGCATGTGTGTGTTTGTGTGTGTATATGCGTGTGTGGTGTGTGCGTCTTGGCTTTCAGCGCTGTTGGGGTCTGTCTTAGAGTCCTTGGCTGACGTAAGGGCCCAGGGTATTATTTCGACGCACCTTCACCAGCAACTCTCAGCCCTCCCTCTCTCGCTGCCTCCCGCAGCTGTGTCGTTCAAGCAAATGAAGATCTGTCGGAGGCAGAAGGCTTCAGGGAAAACAGAACACAAGAAGCGGCCGCTGAAGCAGGAGGAGGATGCGGCACCAAAAAACGCAGCAGAGGAGCACGATGCAGCCTGGTTAGATAATACATCGGACTGCGATCTTTTCGCGAACGAGGATGAATGGGATTATGAACTGGCGGACGGCATTTGCAGTGATTCGAATGCGCTGCATGCGGCAGAAAAGGCCGGCATCCCCCAAACGGTTCTCCAGAGGGCGAAGGCACTCAGACGGTATTTCCACCCAGACGCTGAGCACACTGAAGAGCAAGCCGCACGGCAACGCCTCGCGCAGCGGCCAGGAGAGCGGAGCAAACGAGGAAAGCAGCAGGCTAGCAGCTCAGCTGCTGCAGTGGCTGTCGACGCAGCTTCTGGAGTCTGGGGTGATGCCTCTGCAGCCCCTCAAGGGAGCCTCTCTCCAGTGGTGCATGAACGGGCTACGTCCGCTCTTCACGTGCAGCGCAAGCTGGAAAGTCTGCGGGAGTTGCTTATTGACGTGTACAGCAATAATTGCAGGAGCAGCAGCATGAGCCCGCAGGTGCTGCTGCTGCCTCCCTTTCCCCAGCAACTGGACCCTCCTCCGGCGTGGGCTAGTTCCGCTTGCGTCTACGTGCTTGTTGCGTTAGAGAGGACGACAGCTGCACTTATTGGCGAGTGTCATGCTCAGCACATTGGTGCTGATGCAGCTAGACGTTTGGATTCAGTCAGCTCGCAGCAAGCCGCTCTTGCACGCTTCGAGCAATTTGAAACACCTGGGGAAATCGCAGCGAGGGCCAGGGAGGGGCCTCCTAAGACCCCCACGACTCCACCCCTGTTCGGATCATATCGCGTGTATGTCGGAGAGAGCGAACGTGTCTGCGAACGCTTGAAGCGCCACCGTGCAGCTTCTCAGTGGTCATCCGCTTTGGCCTTGGTGCTGAGAACCCCAGGTAAAAGCGAGGCCCGAAAAATTGAAACGGAGACGATCAGGAGGCTCATCGGAGACTCTGAAATTCGTCTCATGTCAATAAAGGACGGCAACAGGAGGTAGTGCGAAAGGCATACCAGGAGAGCAATGGCCTTTGACGCAACAGCACGCTCCGGCAAGGCGGCGAAGAGGCATTAATGAGAGACGTGTGCTTCATCTCGAAAAGAGTGCGCTGATTGCTGAAAACGCCATTGCAGGGGGTCCAGAGTTTCATGATTTTTGGCGTCATGTTGTATACGGTAGTTTTGCATGCCAGAGGTGAGGAGACCAAGCTCCGCTAGCTCACGCGTTTGCATCAGGCGTCGTGTAGCACTCCTCAACCTCTCGTGCAAAGAGTGACGGATGAAGTTACCCACGGATATTCCCAAGAAAATCCTCGTGTCTTGAAGGTACAGTGCCCATTGCATGCCTACCCTTTGGTTGCCTCAGTCCGCTTCCGGGTACTCCGGCGCTTTAGCGCCTCCGTTGCTGAAGCCTTTAGCCAGAAACCGCAGGCAGGCATTAGGTGCGAGGAACGATCCGAGTGGGCAGAGCGGCTAGCGTGGGAGCCTTTTTAGTCGCCCACACTTATCCTTTTGAGGAGATGTAATGCAGCATGGCAATAACCTGCGTGGTTTGCCAGAACGCCATACAGAGACGGGAGAGGCCCGCAACACCAGGGGCGCTAGTTTTAAGCTTTTAGATTCATTACAGAGAATTTCTGTTGTACTGAAAACCGATGGATTTGGCCGCTACATTACGAATACGAGGGGGCCGCACAGCCCAACAACAGCAAGCATGCGCACAAGAGAGTGCAGACAAACGGGCGTGAGGGCTGATGTCGAAGGGTTGCTGCTAGCGTAGCGAAGGGCTAATTGTGTTTCGCCATACTAATAGGTGTCCCTTCCGTTCAGCCAGGGCATCTGGTCTGTCCCTCGAAATTTCGCGTAACCATGCGAGCTATTTAAATTAATGAATGTTGTCAGGTTCGGTGGCTCTTTGCCAAGCAAGAGCAACACTGCTCATTGCAATAAATGCCACTCAAGACCGCAGGGGGCGGCTCCTGTTGCGCCCCAGATCCACGCGGACGCGCAAATACAGGATTTCTTTTCCTTCTTCCTGCGCCTTGATAAGTCTGTGGGTAATTTTGATTCACTCTCTACAGTGCACGCAGGCATAAGAATGTGCACCCACAACGAAAGTTCTTTACATATCACTCTTGCAGATCACGAACACCCGACCCGCTCATGCGACCTTGCGCCGCCTGCAGTCCACGAAGGGAATACAGCCCCCAAGACTGCCGAAGCACTGAGCGAGAGAGCTCCTCGCCGAGGTAGGTGTCGGACTTACGTAGAAGAACGTGAGGACTGCAGCTATCAGCGACGGAACGCCCGCACAAACCATCATCGGAGCCAAGCCCCAGGTTGTCAGCACGGCTTTCATACAGTAGATGCCAGCAACGGCCCCTACTTTTCCCATGGCTGCAGATATGCCCGAGTACGTCGAACGCACGGAAGGAGGAAACATGACAGACGGGAGAATGAAGGTTGTAATGCTTGCTCCCCAGTTGATGTAGAAGTTGACTACCGCCAGAAGCACCAATTGAGCCCATGAATGCCCTGCCAGCGCGTGTGACGTCGCAGCCAACAGAAATGCCGAGCCCGCCAGCCCGATGAACCCCCAGAACTGCAGCCATTTAACCCCCATTTGTCTCAGCACGAGGATTCCCATGTAGCAACCAGGGATACCAATGACGTTAAGGACAATGTTGTGCCAAATAACTTCGAAAACAGAACTGCCATCCCCCCAAATCATCTGGGTTATCTCGGGCTGAACAAGAAGAATTCCATAGGCCGTCACGTCATACAACAACCAGCACACCCCTGTGCCCAACAGCTGACGCCAATAAGATCCCCTGACAAACACGTGCAGCAATTTCGCCGCAAAGTCCCTCTCCACGAACTCCTTGGAGTCTTGCATGCGCCACGCTGGTAGCCACACGAGGAAAGCAGGGACCGCCCCGAAGCACAGCAAGACACGGAACGTGATCTCAACCGACTGGTCCGTTGCCCACCACAGCAACAGCGCCAAAATATAGGGAAACGAAATACCAGGAACGTTCATAGAATATGCCCATGACACCCGCAAGCACCGGTCGTCAACCTTTTCAGAGCACGAGCCCTCGGCTGCCGTTACTGCGCTAAGAGGATACACACCACCAGATCCTACACCAAGAATGAAGCGAAAGACCCCCAATACAACAGTCACCGACAGCGCTGTGCCCCAAGAGAAAACGGCAGAACTGAAGGCGCCGAATGCAACAAGGAAGAGCGTGAGCACCATTGCGAGCCGGCGGCCTATAAGGTCTCCCAAATAGCCCATAACGCACATGCCTACAATTGCACCGGCATAAGACAGCATCTTAATCGTGCCATTTCCGACAATGGACTCCAGAGTTTGCCTGTACATTGGGTCCTGATTCATGATGTAAAGAGCAATCGACGTGACCACGAAGTTGTAGTTGCTTGAAAACACCGCCAGACACGGCACCAACAGACTATGACCCTTCTCCTTGACATCACTTGTACTTGAAATGATGCTCATGCTTTGCGGTTGAACATCGGTGTTCTCGCGCACGACCTCCCCATCCCCGCTTGCATCCTGTGATAACTTGCCAGTCTCCGCCCAGGTGGCAGCATCAGCTGCCTGATTCTCTGGTGTCATCTTCATAACAAAATCAATGGTGTCAGGAAGTGCCTCGAATGATGCGGGGGGATCGGTCTCCGCCGGAGTGGTGCTCCTGGATGCTTCTGCTGCTCGGCAGCAGCCGTCTTGAGTCTTCTGGGCAATGTGCGCGCCAAACTCCTGGAGAGTTGCGATCTGCTTCTGGCTTGAGTCAGACCCCAAGAGGATGGGTGACGGACAAGACACGAACTGATGGGTTTGCGAAGCAGAAGACGACGGGGGGGAGAACAAGGGCTTTGTACCCTGTAGAGCGTTGCTAATGTCTGACTCCCTGTGGGGTTCCTCCTTGTCGATCGCACCTACACTCTCATAAGATGCATTGAAATGTTGAGGGGAGGCCGATAAGTGGGGCGACCAAGGCCCTGAGGGCGGAAGGGTCATTGGACATGCAGCGTGAATCAGGTGCTCTCCCCCGGTACGCTAGACACGCGACTGGTTAGGCGATGGAGCAAGCTGTCGAGCCACTGATTCATGAAAACACAGAGAGAAAGTGCAAAGACGAAGTTCCAAACACCCAATGAGGCAAGTCAAGACATGGACACGTTGTTTTATGGGGAATAGTGTTGAGGACCAACAGACGCACCCACACAACGAACGAACTGGACAAAGAGTGCTCCGGCCCCCACAAATTTAATCTCAACTTCGATTTCCTGAATTCTTTTCCCTACATTTGTTGCTTGAACTGCTGTCTTTGATCAGATGATAACAACGAAACTTCCCTGCGGCCAGCAACAGCCCCTCTCTCGCTCCCTCAAGTACTGAAGCAGTAGGGCCTGGAGTGATATTCTAATTTGACGAGAGGCACCTTTTATCATTTGCGTACACCATTCAGTGTTACACGGGGGGGGGCACAAGAAACGCGTTCAGTTTCGTTTTCCCGGCGTGCCGGTGTTCACCGTAGGGGCTGGCAGCAGCACAGTCTCGGAGGACACTGGGCTGAATGCGATTCTTCATTTAATTGCCACTAACTTCTCCTTTACACATTTTATTACATATCTTAATTTTCGGCGCTACTGGAGGAAGGTGTCATAACAACGCTCAGACACAGCAGCAGGAAGGGCAAGACAAAAGCGCGAGGAATTTTACCATTGCCACCAGAGTCGCAGTAGAGGCTCTATTTTCCTGCAAACCCTTTTACCACATTATATGCGTCCACAATATACTGCGGGAGTAAGTTGCCTAGCTTTTGAAGGGCTCGGTGTTGCTCATAAGAGGAACTAGCCAGGCTAGCTATAGTGGAAGCCTCTTTCTGGCGCTGTTGGCGACTTGCCCCAACGCATATACACCTAGGCTTCAACTTACCGTCTATCAAAGCCGTCGCTACAATTTGCAATTACAGGCCGCCCCGCCAAAAGTATGGTGACAAGCGCCACGAGGTGCCTATGGGTAGCGGCTACCCATACGCACCTCCTTAGAAACTAGTTATGCAAAATCAATAATCCCGAAAAAAAATGGATGGCTAATTTAGTCGCTTTTAGGTCATGATTATTGTAGAGTGCTTTCAGCTAGGCGCAACGCTGATGATGTGTGCGTATGCGCTAGATGCTGTGTGCGCGTGCGCTAGATGCTGTGTGCTAGGGTCCACCTAACTCCTAAATCAATATAAACAAAACAGAGAGTTACTGTTTGTTTCCCATACGCAATATGTATTCCCCATCCCTACGCAGCTCGGAGTTCCCTATATTAGGAAAGAGGGGGAGATATCTTGGCGGGCAAAGCTACACCTAAACTTTTTCTACTACACGAGTTATATCGAACAGAAAAGTAGTAAAGAGATACAGCTTGACCAGATGATTTTCCTTTTGTATACCTTATCTTTTGCAGACTACTTTTAGCTCAATACAAGAAAACGAACTGCAGCGTGTGTGTGTGTGTGTGTTTGCAGGGGCACAGAGGGAAAAGGTAAGTAAGCGAGAAGGCTAGTTTCAGCTAGTTGACAGTACTCATTGTGATTACAGGGTGTAGTTCCGCGCCCTCTAGGTGCCCCTGTCCCCTTTTGTTCAAAATTTCAGGGGGAGCATGGTGGGGAACATGGGAATCCCTCTAGAATATACTCAATGACTTTCAATTAGGCTTATGTTAAGTCTGGATCTTTGCATCTCTCCACAGAGATGTTTGCCAAAGCTCTTACAGCTAGGACGAGAGTGGCCGCACCTTGTAAGAACTCTTGGCATCTGCGGCATCCAGGGCACACGTGCACATCATTACGGTAGCATCTCTTCTCGTATCATGCGAAATCAGTACTCTGCACTACATATGGTATACGAATAGAGGCACCAATTAGCCAATCTATTTTTCTTTGTTAAATATGTTTGGTGTATTAGAAAGTGCTTGAGTAAACTTAGGCCTTATGACCTCTCCCCTCATGTCGAGATCTCTGTTGGGCAGAGGCAACGAGAAAAGAACTTCTGAATTCACTTAGTAACTTTTAATTAAGTTTGTAATTAGTCTGGAGTGAAGGGCTTACATGGACCGTTACATTGCACCTCATGATTCAACTTTACCCGTTCCCTGCTCCGCCGATGCCGGTGGAGGCAGTAGGATGGACCAAAAAATTTTGAGAACAGTTGTTCAAATTCTATTAAGCCACTTGGTAATTCGAAAGCTAGATTTCTTCGGCGAAAGTCTGATAGGAAATGCCTTGTGGGAGTGGAACTTGCCGTCCAATGCCTGTTGGGGCAATATATTGAAAAGTACGCTCCTAGAATAGGTCTCCGGAGGGTGGCAATCAATTCCAGACAAAGCAACGCAGAACGCTTTTTTAAGGATTACCAAGAGAGTCCCTGCCTTCTTCCAGCCGCGCTCCTCAGAAGTCCCGACATGCGAGGAGACGGATAGCTACGGTGGGCATACCTGCACCCTTTGAGCATTTTGATCACACAATAATGGTTACGCAAAGCATCTCACACTCACGCACACATGCACACACACACACACATGCGCACACGATAGTGCGTCTTCTTGTACCGAACTAACAGTACGATGCAGGAAAACCAACTAGTCAGTTTTTCACAAATTTACATTTGAATGTGAATAATGTAGCCGTAAGTGTAAGTGTAGCATAGCCTGCTACTTCTGCTCCTCTCTTGGCCTCCCGGTGCCAGTCTACAATACATGCACTCGTGTTCCAGATTTGCCAGTTGAGACTCTCATTGCCTATGGGACAGTAAAGTACTTCCCGCCCCTCTGCAGCTCCCCGCGGAAACAAGAATGCAAAAAAAAGCAAATAGAGAAGGCAAGCGTTTCATCCACAATTCAAAAGAAAGCGAAGAGAAGAGCGTTGTACCTACTAGCCAGAACCAGTGGCTCCGCGATGGCTTGCTGTCGTCGCAACGCTTAAACTTTCAAACCTCCCGCTACGATGAAACAAAAGACCTGTAAAATATATGGAGGAAATTTACTTACACATTAGTCCGGCACTCCCTCAGCCCCTCGTAGAGCAACCTCTACACGCAGGTACGCCCAGTTCGTACAACTTAGTCGGCCTAAAAACCACACAGCCATAAAGTATGTAGGTACAACATGCCTGAGGGTGCCTGCGCAAATATCGTAGTGTAGATAGCACTTTGAAATGACACCTATGAGTTTAAGCAATACCCATACATGGAAGTAACTATTTTAGGCAGGCCATATGGAGGAAAGAAAATTATCAAGGGTCGAGGGAACTACCGTCCATGGCAACTAGTGTTGTTAATCAAACAAGGAGCGATCTCTGCCGCACATGAGAAGCCCGCAATGGCCCCTCTGATAAACACTGACTCTCTCTCTCCACCCGATTTTATTAGCCTACCCACGATCCAGGAATTCTACGGTTCCTTTGAATCGTCAGCCTCCACTCATATCGCTTGCTTGCGCAGCAACTTTATATTAGTTGGCAGCCTTAAAACGCCCTTATGAAGCCAATATTGATATTTCTGTGGCGCCTTCAACTTTTATAATCGAGAGGATAAGTAACTATTTACTTGCAGGAGGATAGCAAGTTGTCCATGTTGCCTGCCACAAATCTCCGTCTAGGGCACCTCGTGAAGCCTTCCAATCAAGCAGTACCAGATCTTTGGGCTTGAAACACGCAGCTGCGCGCCTCTATCTGGTTTGTTCCTTGTTGCTTCGAGCATTGTGCATACATTCACATGCAGTAGTCGGCTATCCTCTGTGCGAAAAGGCCACGCCTTGAGTGCTGGAGTTTTTGCTGGTTCGGGTTGAGATTCCTCACCAGAAATACGGAATACGAGAAGTTCGTGTTTTAAAGCAGCTGACGTGGGCGCCAGAAATGCTATAGATGATGTCAAGCGTTCCAACTGCACACTGAGACGTTTTCAATGTAGATAGGTATCAAGCCCTCATTGATAGGCTTACAACAGCCCTGATCTAGCTATAATTTGCCGTTCTGCTGTGACTTTAGCCAATCCAGTCGGCAGAGAGAAATCGTTCTCATGGGCTTTGAGTTAAAGCATATGCATCGCCATCCATACTCTCTCGGCACCAACAGGGGGTTACGCTTCATAACGATACTCAATTCCTGCACTCTGCTGTTTTGCTACAACTCATTCCCATGGCGTGGGGCCTTTGACATCGCGAAGTAGCTTAAAGCTGACCCGGTAATGCTCAACACGCGAAGAACAGAAGGGGGCCAGCCAGCTGGTAGCTCGTAGTTATTTTACACATCCGCGGACTTTTTCGTAAAATTCACCCAACTGTGTATTTCGTTTGCCCAAAAGGTCCAATCGGCTTTCCTAATAGAAAAGCGGCTTGGGTGCCCCTACGACGGGATATATGCTCACATTCGTCCTCTTGTACAGCGCTGCTGGGCACCTACATGGAGACTCCACGTCACCTTTTTGAGACACCAACTGTACGTTGGTCACCATAAATTAAAGAAATGTGGCTCGGCACACCACACGTTGCATCCTTCCAAGGCTTCCCTGCACATTTCTGCAGTTCACAACTGTCCGAGGGTGTGAGACTTACATTAGTTCACATATGGAGTGCTGAAGATTTCTGGAACAAAGAAATCGCACACCCTGGTGCTAGAGCTTTTTTTTTGATTCGAAGTGGCAGTGGGCTGCCACAGCGTTGCTGATTGCTGCGTTCTGCAGCCCTTCAGCTAATCTGAGCCTCAGGGACTCTGCTAACGAGTGAACTGGCATGTTGCACTTTTGCGGATACTTCTCCGATAATAGATCCAGCCCCTACTCAGTATCAAGTAACGAAGGAGTTCTCGGAATTTATTGTGAACTTGAATACGCGCAGATTTGACCCTTGGTGGATCCCCAGCTGCGGGTCTATTCTCTGGAGCCTCCTTCACTGCACAGCAGCCTCCATGGTTAAACCTTTTCTCTTCTCGCTCATTTTTGCTCACCAAGCATCTTGCTTTCACTTAGAATAATCTTATCATTCAAGATGTCTACCTTTTTATGTGCGCTTGCAGTTCCGAATCATATGATCCATTCCCCACAGTAAAAACATGTGCGCTGCTGAGGACCTCTCTACGGCCGCGCAGGAGAGCCAGTTCCCCTGATTTTCCCCTCTTTGTTCACTTAAAACTGTAGGTTAGGGCGATTCGATACGGCGCCGACATCCATGTATCCTAAATTCTACAGCCAGCTCTTCTTTTCCAAATCTAGGACTCTGGAGTGGAGCTTATATGCTCCTGCAGCCTTGAGATGGCCATCGTTTGCTCGAGCCCCACCTGTCTTCTTTTTCTCTATTGCTTAATGACTGCCCACCCTGCGACCACTTGACGTGACGCTTACGGTAGGCATGATTAATACAACTGACAAATAGGCCAGTCGTCTACGCTGTGGCCTTTGCGAGCCAATGTTTCATATTTTCCCATCTGTCGACCCATTGACAAGTTCCCCTACTTAAGCTCTCACTTTTTCCAAAGCTTACTGTTGAGTCGATCTCAACATTAGCTGATGAATCAGGGTTTCTGTAAATGCTTGGAGCTTACTTATCCCTGCAGGCACACGAAGTTTTTTTCGTGAACACAGCGACTATCAAAATGCTTCCTTCTCCAGTAAATACGCCCGCGAGATGCACTCGTTTCTCTTTATCTAGAGCGCACAAAGCGGTGTACCTCTCCAGCTGGCCGATGATATATTTGAGCACTTGGCCATCCTTGCGGACTTTACACTTTTCTGGAAGGCATCTCATCGACATATCCATATGCACTTTCATCTAATAAGTCATGCCCTTTTACCTGCTGTAGTGCTACTGCGTTTACAATAGCTTGCAGGCCGGCCTCTGCCGTCTCAGCGAGCGTTGTGCCGCCACCCACTCCCTTCACCAAGAGGGGTTTATTCGCAGCCCGCTCTCAAAAAAATTGGATCTTAAAATAACCAACTAGCTAAATCGAGACGGGAAGACTGCTGCAGGAAGACCTCACACTCCACTGCATCTACAGGCAGTGGATAAGGGGTAGGAGGCGCAGCGAAACATGCAGTGGTATCATCTGATACGCTCAATCTAAGGCTGTTTTCTTAGGGAAAGACTTTAATCCGGACTCAACATCACCACAATAGAATATCATGAAACTCTATCCAGAAAACCTTTCATGGCTTTGCTGTTCGTGCCCTTCAAAGTCCCTGACAGCAGGGTTGGGGGACAGCTAGGGCGCTTGTTGCTGCAGCCTCTCAGCAGTACGAGGATTTACGGCTAGTAGATAGGACAGTACAAAAGCACTCAACGACCACCCCTCAGGGAAACAGTGGCTATTTTTAACTAACGCACATCCTTGGCATAGATCATGGTCGACTCAATCCCTGACGCCCAGTGTCTTTTCAAACGCTTAGTAAAGTTCAATAGGGATGGGCGAGTCAGTCATACTGATGGTCGCATCGTATATCTGGGCTGGCCATAGATGGGAAGTTTGTGCTGCGATCGCTGCACTCAACTGGCGCCCGTTTTAAGTACCTAATGAACGGGCGGCTGTTTAATCTTGAAATACTTAACTGGATGATTTTGTAGGGATTTCTTTGGACGCCTATGCTGTATGGACGTTGCAGCACCCTCGAAGTACTTCGAACAAACAAGCCAGTGTTGCACACAGCATCTAGCGCGAAGGTACAATTCGGGGAGACTCTATCTGAAGATGATAACACATAGTAAAAGCCAAACTAAATGGTCAATTTCTTCACCAACTCGTAGTTGAATATAAATTGGTGTACTAGCAAATGCCTCAGTTAGACAAAGCCCACTAAAAACCTCGAGTTTTGCTTGTTGCAGAACAGGGCAAGTAAAGAGCTCAATTTTAGGATATCGAAGGCCCTGCATCACTGTGCTAAGTTGCTGCTTGGGATTATATGCTGTTGTGTGGAGCATTTAGAGGATGCAGCTCCTTGCATTCCAACGAAACTCTGAGGGGTGAGAGCTGGGAGAAGAGATATCTACTGAGGAATAACACTGATAGCCACTCCTTCAGGCGTAGAAGGGTCTAAGGGCCTTTTTCGGAAGCTGCCATCGGCGTTCTGCAATGGTCGTTCCCTGTCGTTCATGGGCCAGTTGCGGCGCGTGCAGAACCTGCCGCTCAGTAAAGATGCATCGGGTCACACGTTTCCTGCCAGGACTTGTCAAGCTTGTAGAGCTGAGCTCTTTGAGTGCAGTGATCTATGCTTTTAGTGCGGATGCGCCGACTTTGGCATGGGTTTACTCAGGTTGCCTGCTGCCCTGAGAGCTCGTGGTTTGAAGCGCTTGCTGGTGATGTCCGCAGTTGCTTCATAGGAGTATTTTGTACATTGATATTGTATTTTGCGTCTTTTGCGGTGGTGCGCAGCAGCTCAGCCGGCATGGAGAGCCTAGCTGGCTGCGTACCTCTCCTTGCCAGTGCTGCCAGGAAGGAAGCACACTCGATGCAAGGGGTGAGGAGATCTTTCACGAGAGGCAAACTAGAATATTGCTTTACACGTTCAAGCAGTGTGTTTAACACTAGCAGGTCTGCTTGACAGGGATCCAGGGAAGTGTTCCACGCCCCCCTGGCCGCTTGTGGCCAATGCTGGCTCTCTTACTGCGTGGCTGCCTCTTTGGTGCGCAGCCAGTGGTGGTGGACGGTGGTAAGTTCCCAAACTCCTTGCCAGCTGCCTTGAGAAGGCCCCATAAAAGCACGCTAGCCTTTGTGATAGACGCTTTCTCTAGAGATCCGTTGCAGATCAAGCGTCCCTGTGGTGCACTCGTCCCTGCAAGGCCTTCCCTCCGCCTATCTGCTGTGTTCGTTGATCCGGTCAAGGATATGGGGAATGGTATAAGATTCTCTGCTTATTGCCACGCCTGCAATCAGGGGTCTAAGGTCTAGGAAGATGGTTTCGTTGCACATTGCAGCTGGCGGCGATTCCTGCTTGGCTACAACCCCTGTAGTGACCGCCCGCTGGTGTTGTTGAGAGGCACGACGCGGAGGGCAAGAGGACTTTTCCGCGCAAGTCTTCACGCATTTTCGCGGAAAAAGGATAAGTGTGAGGAAGGAGAGAAGTAGACAAAGGAAAACAAGAAGTGATGGTTTAGAGGATAAATGGGTCAGAGCCATTGTTGCCACCTTCCGTATTTCACAATCGTCGACGGAGAGCGCGTTCCTCGTTTGCCAGGCCCTCCCGCCGAGAGGCTTTCTACGCCGTTCTTCACATACCAAATGAGCTATTTTTCATATTTGCAGCCTAATTTGCTTTTCAGGCCTCGGCGGTGCCGCAAAAGAAACAGCAGCAACGCTGTTCGCCCTCCTCACACGGACACCGTTCCCCAGAGGGAGCGACCGCCGAGGGAGTCTCCGCCCAATCCAGCCGGCAGCTCTTTCTCCTTCTACAGTTCCTTATCCACCTCAAGATTGTCCTTCGTCGGTGTGTCGTATAGAGCAAGTAGGCGTACCTCCTGGTATCCCAGGCCGACTGAAGAGTATCTGCAGGGGCGGCACTACACGCACGCACTGGAACGCACAGCAGCAGTCCACGCTAGGCGTTCCCCGTGAATCCCTGGCCGTCGACTCTGAGGAAAATTTCAGGGCCTTCGTGATGGCCGACCCCTTAGAGGATCCCAGATCTGGCGGCTCACGAGAGAGGGGCAGGCACGCTTCCCGCCCATCGAGTCCGAGGCGGGATAAAGGAGGGTATCCACAGCCGCGTGCAGGGAACCCGTATGGACCTGCTAGCGTTTCCGACGCGTGACGGGCTCCGTCCGTGGCTCGGGTTGGAAGGCGGCTCATAGCGTTTCGATGAACACGACGCATCACTTCGGGTGGGTAGGGAGAGGGGGCCGCGCCGTTGCCCCTCTGTTCAACTTTTTGCAGTCCTTTCTTCCGGATACGCGGCATCCGGCGGCATCCCAGGCGACGCCGTATGGCGTCAATCGCTATGTTCTGCTGCTCGTCTACCTCTTCCTGGTGGTGTTGATGGGCAGCGACTATCTAGGATGGGGACCTCTGAGCTCCATGCTCTACAGATCCCGAGCGTTTTACTGGCTTTGCAGTGAAGACGAAATACTCTCCGCCACTTCTCAGAGCTCGCCGGGAAAACCCATCTGCATTCCGCAACGCCAAGCGATCCAAACCCTCTTCTCGGGGTCCTATGCCACATACTTCATTGCCAACGCACTCGCAGGGTTCCTCGTAGATTTTGCAGGTCCGAAGGTGACCGCTTTACTGGGCGCTACGCTGAGTGCGTGCGGGTGGCTAATGTTAGGCGCTTCCTGCGAAACCTTCAGGGTCCTCCTCCCCTCCTTCCTGATGATTGGAGGGGGAGCGGGCATGATTTACCTTCCGCTCCTATGCATTGTGAATCTCTTTCCCGGAAGCTTCGGCATTGTGCTGACGCTCATGGGAGCCTCGTTATCCCTCAGTCTCTCGGTGCCCTCGCTTCTGAACTCTATGCACAGGTCAGGCGTCAGTCTGTCCTTTGTGTGCTGGATGTATGCCGTCGTTGGACCACTTATGGGGATCCTAGTCATCAGCCTCTTCGTCCCCTTGGAAGGCTTCATAGACGTTGACTTGTTTGTCCTCGTGCGGACAGGGCAGCCCTCCCAACCCTCTTGCAGTCTTCCCGAGGCCCTTCAGCAGCAACAGCAGCGAGAGCCACAGCAGCTAGAGCAGCAGGATCCCCAGCAGCCAGAGCCACAGCAGCAGCAGCAGCTGGAGCAGCTAGAGCAACAGCAGCCACAGCAGTTCGAGCAGCAGCAGCAACAGAGGCCGAGAGTCTCGCTAAGGGGGAGTTGTCGGAGAGGCAATGTGTACTCGTGCGGCTACCAGAGCCTTCGCTCTGAATATCCTGCGGGCTGCAAGACTTCGGGGGACCAAAGATGCCCCGCGGTAGCGCTCAGCACGGTGACAGACGACGATTATTTTAAGCCCTTCAGGGTCGAAGCGTGGTCCTTCGTGTACTTTGCAGTTTGTGGGTACTTCACCCTGTGCAGCCTCTCTATGCTGTACTACCAGAAGGCAGCGCCTGTTATTCTCACGGAACCCGGACAAATGGCTCTGGAAATCGCGTCCCCCCTCTCCACGATCCCTTGCATCATTCTCGGGCGCGTGTAAGTTCTGTCAGAAAAAAAGGCCCCCCAAACTCTAATTTATGCGCACCCTAGGAGGCCTTGCCCGCCTATGGCCTGCACACGCCCTGTTTCATTGGCTAGAAGGGTAGACACCACACGCATATATATATATACACGCATACACGCACGTATACACACATAGACGCACACGCATATATATATATATATATATACATACACGCATATATATACACACACGCATGTATACACACATACACGCATGTATACACACATACACACGCATATACACACACACACGCATATAAATATATATACACGCATACATATACACACAGACGCACATACACATACACACACATAGGGGTTGGATTGGCTTAAAGGTCTAGCGCTCTGGTCACTCTGCAGTAGCACACACACCCAGTGTGTGTGCATCCAAACTCCCCCCACAAACAAAAGCCTCTATGAAGGCCGGGCATGTTCTGAGGGCTCAAAGTCGAGCGCACTTTGCGGCTTCTGTGGCTGTCCTTTCGCGCGCGCTTCAGGACTGACTACATCCCGATAGTGTACGTCATGATGTTTGTTAATTTCACAGGCGCAGTGAGTTTCTTGTTGGCTGCGTACCCGATTGGGGACGCAAGCATCATCTCGGTCTGTTTCTTCTCGGTGTATATTGCCATCTTCACCTCTCAAGTGTTTATTTACATCAAGTCTCTCTTCACGTCCATCCACTTTGGCAAGCTCGCAGGGATTGCTTGCATGCTCGGCGGCATCATCTCCGTGTCTATTGAAAGGGTCTACTGCCAACTGACGGAGAAACACTTCAAGGGCAACTACTCGCCTTCCCTGTGGGCTCACTTTGGAATTCTCGTCTGTGCCTACTTCTTGTTGATTCCCATGGCGAGGGCCGCCTCCAGAAGGCAGAAAGAAATGAGCTCTCAGAGGGAGCTGGTCACTCAGCCTACCACTAGAGCCATCCCAGATTACGCTTCCTAATACCTTTGTATCGTAACGCTCCTCCCCGTCCACTGGCGGGGAGGAAGTCTCCTTGCGGAACACCGACCAATACACACATCGTTCACAGGGTCTCTTTTTCCAGGGGGATCCCCCTCTCACCCTGCACTTTCTAGGCTAAAATGCTCGTTTTTTTTCACTCTTGGCGAATTTCGAATCGCGGCCACGGTCTTCGGAAGTGCATCTAAGCGTCTGCTCCACAGACAAGCGCTCTGCTCTCACACAGGACTCTTTTGTGTGGGCCTGGAGCAACGTCTCGCCCGCTTGCCGCAACCGACCGGACTGTACTCACTGCAGGCTGACGGCTATTACTTCCGCCCGTCTACTTGTGGAGGGCGGCTTCTCAACCTACCTGTTAATGCCTTTGCACGTTCTTACTATGCCTTGTAGGAACTTCTTCTCTGTTACGTACAATTTCTGCTGGTCTTCTTTAGGCGCATGCCGAAAATGCGCTACAGCACTTAGCACAGCCTTCCTGACCACCCTTCTTCCTAATGCATATTCCAGTTCTTTCATCCTCTCTTGTGTCGTTATACATTATGGGTCGCAGTGTCACTGTTCTTCAGCGCCATTTTCAGGAGGACCAACCTGCCACGGCTTGCATGATGGCATTTTCGAGTTTTCGCACTGTCCCTCGTTCTAGGGTTCCTAATTTAAGGTCAACAGGCCGAAGCCTCCCTCCTATTCGGTAGATTCGGGGCAGTTGCCATGAATGTGCAGCGGCTGTCACTTAGGGTGTTACTTCCAGCCTCTGTTCCTCCCTCAGCGTACCCGCTGCGCAGTCTTCGTGCTGCTCGCCTTCCCATAGCACGGTGAGTGCGTCTGTTCATTTCTTCCGGTTGTAACATTTGCCTCGGTCGGTGCCTTTTCCTTTGCACTGGGGTAGGTAACACACAGGCAGGAGCCCTCGGGGACGGGATCGAGCGATCCAGGTCGAAGGGAATTTCAGGGGTGCGTTTTGTCTCCCCGCTTTCACCCATTGTCTCTTTCCCCATTATTTCTTGTATGTAATTTAGAATCATTCCAGGGCTTCTTCGCTTTCAGGAGGAAACCCGTAGCCCGCATTTCCTGCACACAGGACCCCCGTGGTTCAATACTATGCCTAGGTTCTTGGACTTGAGGGGCTTACGCAAGCATGCTACGACCGAAAAGCGGGGGAGCGTGCTCAAATGTGAAGAGACACAAAACAAATGTGAAGGTGGTTGGGAGGGAGTGGCAGTCAGGGCCAACGGCAACGAGAAAGACTGGTAGTCGTGTGAAGCAAGTGTGGCAAACTGACAAGCATACATGCAGACAAAGGCAGGAGAGCAGGAGTAGACTAAAGAGGACGGAGAAAAAGGGGAAACTGGTCTTTACTGTGGGATCTGGCAAGAGAAATCTAGTGCGAGCAGCATAAGGTGTGTGGGTGCGCGGAGGCTGTGTGGCATGACCACCGTATCCAGAGCCAGAGAGTGAGCACTCTACAACGAATGTAGTATTTGGGTTGGAAGAGGTTTCTACTTGCTCGTCGAAGGCGAGCGGGGCCTAGTATTTAGAGTAGCCCAGGCCACTGTTTCTTGCAGTAGTACAGCCAATAAGGAGCTCTTCGGATCGGAACCGCCGGGGTCCTCGTTCTCTGTGTAAGGAAAGGGCTATGGGTTTCTGTCTCATAGGGAAAGAGTCTTGTGTGTTTAGTTTCCATTTTTTTCCCTCAATGTCGACAGCAAATGTCCCGCCCTGAGTTCCAACAGTGGAAGCAACAAACGAGGAGCATTTGACAGGTGCAACGGCCTCAAAGGTAAATAAGCAGTTCAGACCTTTGGATTTAGCGTTAGTGCTTCACAACATTTAGTAGTAGGTAGGGCAGGAAGGTAAATTGCTCCATTGAGCAGTACAGGCATACTTGTGGCCACTCTGACCGACACGCAAGAAGCGTAGCCAGCAAAGGGGCCAACAAAAGCGGTATGAGAGCACAGAGCAGAGAAAACCATGACCTACGAAAAAATACAAGGGTTTTGAGAAAAGGGGACAGAAGGAGACGAACAGGGTTAAAAGGGGGGAAAAGGACAGGTCAGAGTTGGTGGAATGGGAGAGAGAGAGGGGAAGGGAGGGTTAAGAGAAGCAACGAGAGGCAAAGAACGCGTAAGAGGCAGCACGACGAAAACCTAAAGGAGCTAAGCAAGCATAAAGGAATGAAGAAAGGGGAGAGAGCGCTCGTTTTCTCAGCCGTCCGGGTGCTCCTGTCACCGTGCTGGTTTAGCCCCACAGTCGGAGTTTGCACTGCCTCCTGTCTTTGCTCATCCTATCTCGTGTTATGACGAGCAATGTGGTCGAATCGGCGAGCTATTTGCTCATTTATTCCCTATTCTTATGAGACTTTGTGCCTTTAAGCGCCATACAGACACGGAATCAGTGTTTTGTCTCTCCTGTGTATCTCTCTCCCTCAAACTACCCTTGCGACCGCGGCCGACACAGGTAGCGCGAGCGTTCAAATCCAACACCTTCCATCTCAAACCATTAGCTCTACTGCATGTAAGTTAAAAGTGATATTTTATTGGGGCTTCCTTAGCAGGTATTTTTCTTTCCTTAGAATTCCATGTATTCCATATCTCACCGATTTCTATTACCCCACTCTTGAAGGACCAGCACCGAGCCAATGGTTCCAGTACGCTCAGGTGAACACAAACCATAGTCCAAGTTATGCCTTTCCTTTTAGCGCTTTTTCCAAAACTTGTGTTGCTTACTGCCGCCTCATTAGGGTACCTAGACCCCAATTTGCCCTCTTATCCTTGCTGTGTCACAGCTGTGTACTGGCATCAGCGAGCACCTCACCTTATCTCCCATATACCCTTGCGTCCCAGCTTTCTTGCACCACCGTCCCTCTAAGCACTTTAACTGACACTGTGGAGGCTCCCCAACGACGCTCCGCGGACCGTCTGCTGTGGCTTGCAAGCGCACCCGATGGCGCACTTGTACAGGTAGAAGCAGCAACAACAGCAAAGGCAATAGCAGCCAAAGGACCAGGCGTCACGGCAGAGGCAGAAACTAATTTGAGCTCTTTTGCATGTCCGTTTGCAAGCTGAGATGAGGGGAGGGGGAATGAAGAAGCAGCAGAAACAGCAGCAGCAAGAGGTATAGCCGTAAATACCGCCCGTGGGGGCCCTCCCGGCATATATCTGCCCGCTTCTCAGTAACAACAGCAGCAGCAGTAGCTGCTTTCGTTGTGTCAATACACTGTTCTGGCCCCTGTTACACAGGTACAAGCAACCGCAGCACTACAAAAGGAAAAACCCGAAGCAGGAGAGCCTGTGGTAGAAGTGATTCCGATGCTTTCGCGCTGAATGACCGTCTCCACCCCAGGCGGCTCCAACGCAGCGCAGGAAAAGGCATCTGCACCAACGGCAACTGTAACAGAAGGAGGCTGCTCAGCTACCTCCCAGAGACAAGATGTCTTCTGTAGGAGCTATGCCTGACGCGCGTCTGAAGCCTATTCTGCCGTTCGAGCAGGTTGCGCAGCAACACCAGCAAGGCGATTTATGCAGCCGAATGCAGAGGCAAAACGATCCTTCATTTTGGTCTGCAGAGGTTCAAGAGCTACTCCCGGAACAACGACCCAAAGCACCACAGCAGCTGCACCATCACCATCAGGCAGAGACTCAAGCGGTGCGCTTGCCTATTCACCAGCAGCTTCAGGGGGCAGCGGATGCACAAGCGCAGAGTCAGACGTTCATGCCGCAAAAGCTTCACCTGATAGAACTTGCAGCTGTCGAGGCTTCCAAAGGCAGGGATGCCTTGCAGTCTGCCGCTGCACACACACCCCAAGAACCGTCAAGGGATCTCCAGAAGTGCATGAGCCTTGATGGGGGCATCCTGATCGCGGATTCTAGCCTCGAGCTGCAGCAGCAGAAGCATCAGTCTAGGCAGCGCCGAAGATTAAATCGCAGAGGATACCCTCCTCCCCTCTCCCCAGCCAAGAGGCAGCCGGACGATGGCTCGGGTAAGATCCGTGCAAAAGCGCCAGTCGCAGCAGCAGCAGCAGCAGCATCCAGCTGCTGCATAAAGCAGCAGAAAGTTCAGCACATGCCGTCTATATCGCCAAGTGCTGCCTCGCAGTTGCCGATCGCCGAGACTTCCAAGTCTGGTCCTTTCAGTGCTGCGGCTGCAGAGAAGCAAGGCAAACAACAACAGCAGCAGCTGTTGCTCAGGCAGCTGCCCGTGCGGCTTGCGCTCCTGCAGCAACAACAGCGGCAGCAGAAGCAACAGTCGCAGCAGCTGCACCCTCAGACGCCAGAGGCCACGCAGTTGCAAGAGCTGTTGCAGCTGCAGGCACGACGCCCCCAACAGATCAAATCCACACAGAACCAGCCGCTGCAGCAGCACCAGCAGACTCCTATACTCCCCTGCGGAAACCTCAAGAAGAGGCCTATAACCCGCTGGAAAAAGCCCTCTCCATTCGGTCTAAGGGTAGACTTCCCAGTGAATCCCCTGTTGCAGCCTCTGCTGCTAGACACGTGAGGCCGCTGTTCTTGCTGCTGCTGCTGACTGTTGCGTGTTTAAGCTGTCGCCTAGTTGCAGCCTCTCTACGCCCTGCTAGCTGCCCTAGCTGCTCTGCATGCGTAGGCTGCAGCACCCCTTCCGCTGTGTGTTCTGTCGGCTGCTCCTGCTCCTGGGGTTGGTTTTCAGAAATCCTTTCCTTGACTCCCGGCCCACTTATAAGGGCAGCACTCGGCTCTACGAAGTGCATGTACAGCGGAAAGGGGGGGACCTGCTGGGGGAGGATGAGCAGCAGCTGCAGCTCGAACAGGAGCAGCAGCAGCAGCGATTGCTGCACAAGCGCGAAAAGCAGCTGCCGAGTGGCACTCCCAACGGACTTCTTCCAGGGGTTTCCGGCTACGGCAGTGGCTGCAGCGATGCTCCCGAAGAGTTCGGCAGAGCTCTGCTGCAGCCGCAGCAAGCCTCTAGCTCCGGCAGTAGAGGTCTTCAGAGCTATGCGTGTTGCTGCTGGGTGAGCAACAGCCGTATGCAGCAGGGCCTTACCGGAGAAGGCAGCACTCTTGCGACAGCCGCAGCTGCACAGGATCTCCGACAGCAACAAGGGGAAGAGCTCCAGCAGGCAGCCTCCGCGCGCCTTCCCTGCCAGTGCCAACGGCGGCATCAGCAGCGCCAGCAAAAGCAACTTGACGTCTCTCTCAAACTCTTGCCAGCACCCGAGGCTCCTCTCGCCTCGGCCTGCTGCTGCTGCGCAAAGCCAAACGAAGAGGCCCTCTTGCAGCAGCAGCAGCTGGTGCTGCTGCAAGAGCCTTCCTGCCTGGAGCAGCTGCGTCTCATCTCCCACACAGACGCATTGCTGCAGCAGCAAGGAGAAACAACTGCTGCTGCAGCCGCTGCTGCGGCTGCAGCAGCGGCTGCAGCAGGGACTGTCCTCTCCCCAGTCGCCAGAACCGAATACGTGGAAACTCCTACCGGCACCTGGCGCAATATTCCTGCTCCGTTGTGTGGCTACAAAGGCAGCAGCAGTAGCAGCAGCAACCCTTCAGACAATACCCCGCTTACCAGCGCTTCTCTTCTAGAGATGCTGCAGCAGCTGCCAACCCCCACCCCCCCCCCAGGGCAGCAGCCTTCCAGCAGCAGCAACACCTACCGGTGCTGCTGTACCACCCAGGATCAGGCAGCAGCAGCCTACTGCACAGCCAACGACTCTTCCCCGAACGCGCTTCTGGAAGCGATCCCTCCTCGAGAGGCCCCACATGAACAGAGGCCTCACTCGCTGCAGCAGCATTTGGAACCACTGCAGCAGCATTTGGAACCACTGCAGCAGCATTTGGAACCGCTGCAGCAGCATTTGGAACCGCTGCAGCAGCATTTGGAACCGCTGCAGCAGCATTTGGAACCGCTGCAGCAGCATTTGGAACCGCTGCAGCAGCATTTGGAACCGCTGCAGCAGCATTCGGAACCGCTGCAGCAGCAGTACATGGGGGATGACGCCTCCCGAGTGGCAATAGAAGCGCAACGCCTCGAGCAAGGCCTCCCTTCTTCTCCCTGGCGACAGCAACAACGGCAAGGGCAGTCCCTCGAGGAACGGCACACGCTGTCGCTGCCTCCGGAGGCGTGGCAGCAAGCCAGAGATCTGCATGCGTATGCGGCTGTTTCCGCCTGTATAAGGCCCCCTGAAGAGGGAGCCATACCTGCAGCACGCAGCATCGAGAACCCTTCCACTTACTGCAGCCTTCCCTCCCGCTGGAGTCAAGGAGAGGACGCCAGCCGTCACAACGAAGGGCGCATGCGAAAGCCACAAAAGAGCCTCCGGCGGAGAAGGAGTGACAGCAGCAGCCGCAGCAGCAGCAGCAGCTGGTTTAGCCCTAACAGTACATTCACGGGCCCTCTAGAAGGGCGTGTCTTTCGACGTCATGTCGAGCCTCTTTTTCTTGCAGGGGATTCTAAGGCCTGCTGGAGACTTCCAGACAAGGCAGCCGCTGCGCAGCTCCTGTGCAGCGGCAGCAGCAGGAGCAGTTATGGCTGCAGCAGCAGCAGCAAAAGCAGCATTTGGCGCACAACCATATCCAGCGTAGGCGGAGGGGGAGAGGCATGCACCGAGGTCACCCCAACTCCCGTCGCAGACGCCTCCGTAGCATCGGCTGCTTCAACTGCAGTAGCAGCAGCAACTGCGGCAGCGGCAGCAGAAACTGCAGGAGCCACTCCTGACGTTGCTGCCGAGTCTGAAGCTCTTGGCAGCGCTGCACACGGACTGCCCAGCGTGTGGAGGTGGCCTGGAGCGCTTCTCTTAGGCGAGCTTTCCCAGCTGCCCTTCGTGGAAGCAGGAGGCAGCAGAGACAGAGGAGGCGGATCCTTAGAGGAAGCGGCTGCAGAGTGGCTCTCAGGAGACGCTGAGGAAGACTCTCAGACTGGCGGAAGTCTTGCATGCACGAAGGAGGACGCTAGGGAGGGAGCGCAGAAACGCGATCACTCGCCACGCCGACGCGAGAGCCCCCCCGACAATCCAGAAACAATGCAGAGGAGGCGTCTGCAGGAGCGACACCCCCGCAGAGTGCAGCAGCTTGCTTCTCCAAGTCGGCAGGAAGCGCAGCACTGGCCGCAGCAGGAACCGTGGGAAGCTTCTGAATTGGAAGACGCAGATGTCGCAGCACGTCAAGAGTTGAGCGGGCAACGACACGCTGCGGTGATGCAGAAAAAGAAAAAGAAAGCGCTTCCTCAAGACTGCAATGCGTGTGCAGCATGCCAGGCAGACCAGCAGCAGCAAGTGCAGCCAGTGCAGCCAGTGCAAGTTCAACAGGTGGTGCGCTCAACGAAAAATGCCGCGGATGCAAAGGAGCTTCCTCAGGAACAGGACCCCGAGCAGGAGAGCCTTGTGAACCATTCGAATACGCAGAAACGCGGTAGCGACAGCAGCGCGAGCTGCGTGGATATGCTTTGCAGGACCAAGTCTCTGGGAAGCAGCGGGCTGTCGCAGCCGCCGTTGCATGAGCCGCATCAGGAGGTGCTCTTGTCGCCTCAGATACCGCTTTGTGCAGCGGATCCACGCGTCGTGGGAGCCAGCGAGGAGGCCCTTGCGATCAGAAGCCGTGCTTCGTCTTCGACGCAGCTTCGCTCTAGCGGTGAGGTGGCAGCAACGGCAGCGAGAAGTGACGCGCTGCGTCGGAGGGAGCGCCTGAAGGCGGCAAGCCCTCATATGCAGCAAGTGAAGCCGCAGCCAGAGGAGGCGCAGTCTCGGAGCTACTCTGTGGTCAAGCTCCTGACTTGCAGAGGCAGTGTTGCTGCGTTGGCAGCCACAGCAGCAGTTTCAGCAGGAGACTTAGAGGGCCAAAAACAGTGTCAGGCTGCAGCCTTGGAACCGTCCTGTGGTGTGGCGAAGTCGCCCTCCGGTGCGGCTGCTTGCGTTGGCGGACTGCGATTTATGGTGCAGACACCGCGCGCAGCTCCTGCGACTTCAGGCAGCAGACGGTCAGCGTTGTTTGAGCCTGCCAGTGAAAGACTAGGAGGCCCTCGGCAGGGGGGAGGGGGGGGCCCCTCCTCGTCTCCTGAGGAGCCGCCTCTCCCGAAAAGTCGCAAGACGTTTCAGGCGTTCCAGCCATGCAGGAGGAAAAGCGACGTGCAGGCCCTCGGAAACATGCCAAAATGTTTGCGCGGCGGGAGCAGGGAGGCTGCTCGTGGGGAAAGCCGCTGTCGCAGCTCTGCGAGCAAGAAGGCAGGCTCCTCGACACAGCCGAAAAGGTTAGCCGTCGCTGCAGCAGGAGCAGCCAGAGGGGGTGCCGCAGCCGCGTCGGGAGCCCCTTCCCAGCAGCAGCGCGCTCCGAAGCCGCAGGTGCAGCAGCAGGTGCAGCAGCAGCAGGTACAGCAGCAGGTGCAGCAGCAGGTGCAGCAGATGCAAGTGCAGCAGCAGGTGCAGCAGGTGCAGGTGCAGCAGATGCAGGTGCAGCAGCAGGTGCAGCAGGTGCAGTCGCACCATGTGCACGAGCACTCCATACAAACCGAGGCTGCAAAGCGGGAAGCACTCGTAGCGGCGAGAAGAGGAAAGGCAGGAGGGAAGCTTCTCCCCCCCGTTGAAAAGCTCGAGCGATGGACTGCTCCAGGTCCACTGCCAGGTGAGGCTTCAATTGGCTCCCGAGATATCCAGTCTCTTCCAGCCTCTCGAAGAGATGATGCGCAGCTGACACCCAGATGCACCAACCCTCTCTCGGATGCCACTCTGGACGGCAAGCAGCACCAGCTGGACCTGCTGCCGCAACAGGAGCTGCTAAAGCAGCAGGGAAGCTTGCGCAGCAATTCGTGCTTCTTAGGCCTCTCAGACGCGGCTGTGCTTTTGTGGAGAGCCGCCGCGCTACGCGGAGAGGGCCTCCCCACAGCGACTCCGCTTCGGACGCTTGCTGGCGTGGATTTGGAGGCCACTTATACCGTTACAGCCAACGCAGTTAGCACCACGCATGCAGCAGCACAGGAGTTCCCTGCTGCGGCGTCGTCGGCGTCTGTGAATTCGGCTCCAGCGCTAGAGGATCCAGTGCCATGTGCTCCTGTGCGCTACGGGGCAGGGGCCTTAGGGAAGGGTTCGCTCGGCATTGTGCCTCCGCTCGTTTTACAGGATACCTTGTCGCCTTCTTCAAGGGATATCGGCACCCCTAGAGGTCGCCCCGCCCTTGCTAGAGAATATGTGGATTTTCTGAGTTCCACGAGCATTATCGAGACATCGCTGCTCTCGCCTCAGCCTTCCCCGTTGCCCTCTGTCGAAACCCAGACGACGTCAGGGGTCCAAAGACACCCCAGGGTTTCCCCTTAGGCGTTCGCTCTCCTCTGGCGGCATAGGAGGAGGATCCGTTTGGACGGTAAGAGTGTGTGAGTGCCTTCGAAGGCCACAAGATCCGGAAATATGAATTCTCCTCTACCCAAAGGGGCAGAGGTGGGTGGGATTGTTGTCGACGCGCTCCTTGGTCGCAGCTTTGAGAAGCCTTACGAACCAGAGGGAAGATAGCGCAAAACAGATCTAGCAGGCGCGCTTGCTGTTAGCTCGCTGGCTAGTAGGACACATAGGGGAAGCGATGAGGCGAGACATCCCGAAAAGGTGTCAGGTTCAAGGGCCTCTTAGGAGGAGGGTCCCCGTGAAGAGGGCTGTGCCCGTAGCACGGGCTCTGTCTCAAGGGGGGCCTCTGTTTTAGCGGGGGCCCCAGGGGGCCCCGGTGTGCCGACTGGCAGCTCTTAGGTCGGGTCTCAGAGGGGCGTAGTGGCTGTCAAGTTTTCTCTAGCCCGACGCACCTCCAGCAGCGCAAATAAAGAAGGGCAGTCTCGTAAGCCGCTGATGCCCTACAGGCAGCTCTGCAGCTTCTAAGTGACATCGTAGGCACCAAAAAGCTGCTACAGGGAACGCCGCAAGGCTGCGCCGAGGCCCCAACACAGATAACACCAACCCCACCCGTGGGACTCGGTTTGAACCGGGCGCAGCGCGTGACATGGACCCTTGCACGGGCTGCTGCGGCTGCGGCAGCAACAACTGCAACGGTCCCAGTCGAAGTGGCAGTTGTTGCTGCTGAAAGTATATCGTGGCAGTAGGAGGAGCATTGTGCCCAGCGGCAGCAGCGGCGCTGCACCAATCGCCATTGCCGCACACATCCAGATTTAGGCGGCTTAACTGAGGTGTCTGGACACATCTTGGGCTTGAAGCGCCCCTGTCCTCGGCCCTTGGTTCTCTTGCCGTGTCTACGTACAAGCAGAGAGAGCCCTTTTTCACCCCACAACGAAGCAGTGGCAAATGTGCCTGCACCAACTGTCCCCAGCAGAGACAGCCGGAGCTTCAGTTGCCTCTTTGCCACAAGTAAACTAAGGCCTGCATCTCGGGCCACCCCGATTGGAGCTTGTGGCTCTAGGGATCGACCAGCTAAGGCGTGAGAGCGACCCCGAAGAAAATAGGGAACAGTGTCTGTAGGCAAGTAGCAACGAGACCCTTTCGTTTTGCTGGGGAGCATCATGAAAAGCAAACTCGTCGGAGTAAAATCTTTCGCACTGCACACCTACTGTCTTGCGCGGCAGCGAATAGAGCGAGGAGGCGCCTCTGAACAGGAGGCCCTGGCCCCCGTCCTGAGGCACCTCTCTGCAAGGGCAGTAACTGCGCCCTTGCGGCGTCGGGTAGCGAAGGAGTTTCTCTCTTCATTAAGGCCTTCAAAGCCGCTCACGCGCTGTAGCCGTCTAAACAGAACCCCCGCCTGCTAGATTACAAGCACTCGCATACGCTTTAAGGCAGGAATGCCAGCCAGCAAGGCAGGTGCGCTGCTCGCAAAGTGTCTAAGCAATCAGCGCTGTGGCCGATTCATCCATATACAGCAGATACCCATTCGCGCAGAAAGCTAGCTGCTTTAAGATCACTGGATGCACGTCGGATAGATACGCAGACATCCTAGCTACCTTGATAGGGCCAGGGGGGCACTGGCTTAAGCGTGGACTCCACCGGGGCAGATTCGCGATGCGGCCAGAGAAGGCCGAATTCAAGGCTTCGCACGTGCTACACAGATGCTGAGTATCCACACGGTCGTCTGTGCAACGCTTCAGGATATGACGTAGAGCGGGGCGGAGAGTCCAAGCTTTTTCAAAATAGTTTTAATGGGCCTATGCAGAATTAAGGAATGCACATTCTCCCGAGGCCCCGCCTGGGGAGAGGCATATTCTCTCTCGCCAAGGAGGAAAGAGGTGTGGTACCTTCGGCTCAAATTAAAGAGGCATAGGGAGAAAGCGGGAGACCACGGACCCTCCGCCAGCGGGCGTCGCATGCGCAGTAGCAGCCTTCCACACATGCGTAGGCGCAGCGTTGATGTTGCAAATGCATCGCTGGCTGACACCTGAGATCATGTGTGTGAACAGGCCTGTGGATACATGTGTTTCTACCGTCGCGCTCTCTCTCTGGCTTTGCACCCTGCGCCTACACAGTATTCGTAGCGGAGTCTCCCCCGTCCGTGCATTAACCGCGTGGTTCTCACACAGGACAAGGGTCCTATCCAGCGCGTGAGTGAATCTATCGTCGCCTGGTTGTACAAAGTGCCGGCATGGAAACAAGCACCCCTAAAAAAGCCACCCACGCCGCACCACTATTTGACGGCGAGAGTTCTTTTCCCAGATGCCCCAATACTCGGAAACGGCGCGCTGCCCTGCCAGCAAGGTGTGAGACCTAATACGGAAAAAGACGGTAACTGAATGCCAGAGATTGCGTCGAGGACCTTTCGACCGCCTCTGGTTAGCCATTTTCTCCCGCCATGTTCGGCAGGGAAGGACGGGACTGTCTGTGCCTACTCCAACTGCACCTACTCTACTACATGGACAAGTAGGGGGTTGCAAATAAAGGAAGCATTATGCCTCTGGAAAGAGGGAAGCGAGCAGGCAGAGCTTGCCAAGAGAGCAGCGCGGGTCTAGTGGGAGTTGCCGGCTACAAAAACCAAAAGGCGACACAGAGACAAGGCTCGAGAAGAAGAGGCTATTATCAGCAAGGCAGGATTATGGACCTCTTAGGGGACGGGAAGAAGACTTGGAAAGGCCATGAAAGGCGTTATCAAGCAGCAATACGACAATGCGGCATGCCGACTCTGCTACTTCCCCTCGTTGGACCGTGGCGGTGACTTTGTGGTTGCCGCAGCTCGACCTATCTCGCGCTGCAGCAATTCCAGCTGCCCCTTAGGCGGCAGTCTCTGCAGGCGCACACGCGGAAGCACGCTTACGTACTGGCACATGTACACACACAGTGTCAAGAGGACGCGTCTAGCGCCAATGACACCCGTATGGACGGGGCCTCTGAAACCCCCTAGCGCCTCTGCTGTTGCTGTCAAAAGACGTTTCCTCTAGCTGCCAATATCTGTGCGCCTCCGGTCTGTCATTAAGTGTGTCTTCTCCTCGTTGCACGTAACCAAACTGCACCCCTCCTCTTGTGGCTCGCGCGTGAGCGCTCCGCCACGCATGGAACCGGGAAGTGCGCTGTGCAGTCATACCTGCCAAACACTCCACGCCAAATGCACGACAGCGAAGCCTACAGGACAACAAACAGCAGGCCGTAGCTCCCCTAAACTGGCGAGCACCCCAGTCCCTTGCAGCCGCCGCAGCGACAGCAGGCTGACGTAAAAGCCGCGCATCCTCGACAACATCAGCTCTTTCGCAGACTCCTCAAGGATGTCAACAGAGAGCCGCTCCAAAGCATATGCCAGCCCTTGGTAGCGGTGGCCTGGCTGACGGCTACACCCTCTTGCAGCTGTGGACGGGAGCGGCTTTCTCTCAGTTTCTTCGCGACAAGCTCGCGCCCTCGGCACCGCTAGCTGTCTGTGAGGCATCCTACCAGGCTGCAACAAATACGAAAACTTACCCTTGCGCTTCAGGTGTCGATGCTTCAAAACGGAGGGGCCTAAGGGGGTGTCTGCGGCCTTTCCGTTCAGTGCCTCCTGGAGCTGAGCGTCCGCATGGCATAGCAATGCCACCTGCGCACTCAGGGGCCCCTCGTCGCACGAGGACTTCTTCTCCGGATTGGCGCACGGCGAGTAGCTCTCAGAGTTTGCCAGCTGCACCAAGACGTCGATGAGGTGTCCATCCGCGTCTGCTCGGAGGGAGGGCGTGAACCCTAGGGAGAGGAGCGCTGCGCGGTGAATGCAGATACCATCCTACCGTAGAGGAATAGACACGCCTTCTCAAAGCGCGCGTCGCGAAAAAAGCGAAAAGGACTTGCTCAAGCACAAATTGACACGGCACGCTACGCTCAAGTGCTAAGAAACGCACACGGCGAGAAGGGTCAGCCGCACGGTGTTTGCCTTTTTTGTCGGCGAGGAGAGCAAGAAGAAGAAGAAAAGCAAGGGAGAGGAAACGACGACAGACGTGCTGGAGCCTCTATCCGTAGAGTTCAAAGCTTTACCGACACGCATTAGAAGGCGCACACCAGCACCCCTTACAAGCTGGACACGCTTACTCACCTTCCCCTACAGATTCCGCAAAGTTTGATGGATGCTCCTCCAGTTGCAACGCCCAAAAGGCTTCTGAAGCCGCAATAAAGAAACACACGCCTCGACACTGGTACTTTTTCGAAGGGAGGAGCCCCACTCTACACAACACGTACAAGGCATTAGCGCCCCTTTGGCAGTTCCAACAAAAGCAACGCAGTAACAGCAGGACTGGCGGGATACAACGTGATGAATGCCATTGACAAGCGACAAAAACGCACATAGAAACATACAAAGAAACACTTAGCCGCACAACACAAGTGTGGAAATTCTCTGAGAACCCTTTAATCGCTCAGAAAGCCTCTTTCCTTCGCCTCCGCCGCTGCCTCTCCCACGCTATGCATGAAACGCCTTTCCCGGCAAGAGACTCCCCCGCAGTTCTGCTGCCTTCCCTCTGCCTATTGCATACCAAAGATTCCGGCCTTACCTCTCGTGTAGGCCTTCATGCGGCTCAGCCGAGACGACTTCAAAGCCGGGAGCGCTGCGCAGGGCAGAAATCAACGGGGAACCTTGGGGAGAAGAAGGATAAGGGAAGAGACACCAACTGCACTCTGTAACGTCCCACTGATAATACCCCTCGTGCGTGTAGTCAGTCGCAGGGACTATTTTCCGCGCTAACCGCCAATGATCTCGTCGAGTGCCGGATACAGCAGCGCGCATCTATCGTCTCCAGGGAGTCTGTCCAAGGGAAGGAGCGACAGGCAGGGCTGCGAAGAAAGATGCGAAGATCACACCTGCCACCTAGCTTTTCTACGCTAGCTGCAAGAGGGGAGCACAGTCGGCTCCCTGGCTCCAGGAAAACGGGAAGGGAGCCAGCTGAAAGCTCGGCTCTAGCCAGGAGCCTTAAGCTTTGAATTTAGCTAGCGTGAGCATGCGCCTCCCGATCGACAGCGACAACGGCCCCAATGTATCGGGGTAGGCAGTGAGAACCGCACCGTCCGCAGGCAACTCTAGGAGGCTGCGCAGGCAAGGGTAAGCACCAAAAGCAGCAAAAGCGGCAACAACCCGGCAGCAGAAGCAACAGCAGTGTCACGACACTTCGAAACGGACCTCCCAGAAGGTTGGTTCATGGAATCGTGCAACGGCGAAACTCCACACAACATCGCAGAGCTCTGAAGGCAACAAACAGCAAGCCGACAAGCGGGGAGGCACAAAGGTCCAAGCGTACAGAGGGCCTGCATCAGAGGCGCCAAGAGGCAAGGTCACACACAAGTGGAAACACGGTTCTATGTAAAGCATCAACAATCATTTAGCTACCGCACCTGGCACAGAGAATTGCTGAAGCCTTTCCAAAACGGGGAACTGTAGACTTGCGAACAAATGCGCGCTTCCCCTCAGCAGTCCTACGCCGTCCACACGCAAACACACATACATGCATGCATACAGTCCCCGTGGGCGTTAGTGGAGGGAGTGCAGACAAGCCTACTACCAACAAGCCCCTATTTGCTGCTGCCTTGATACATGGCTCTGCTTGAGGATGGCGTCTCGCCGTCCCCAAGCACCTCTCTCCAAACTGCTGTAGGCCTCGCTCTCAAAAGTTTACCAAAGGCGTAGACGATTTGGGAAAGCTGAGTGGCATTAAAAGTATCTGCTGCTTCTGCCGCCACATGCAGCAGCCGTTGCTGAAGGAGGGGGGCCCCTCCCCGAGTCAGGGCGAGCGTGGAGGCCTGGAAGGCAGAGAAAACGCAATGGGAGGAGCTGTGAACTGCCGGTGCGCATCGAGGCGACCCCTTCAAAAGACGGCTTAAGACTCCGCCTTGCTGTGCGCTGCAGCCGGAGGATCGGAAGAAAGACCCTTCAACAAGCAAGGGCCCTTTTCTCCAGTACACAAGAAAGAGAGATTCCAGAAACTCCTGGATAAAAGAAGAAAGGGAAGGCGCGGCAGCAGCATAACGCCGACGTGAGCAATGCTTCCTTCGAAGCGGGCTCACACTACGCACGACTCGAAGGCGGCAGAAAAAGCAAAGAAAGAGACAGGCCGCCACAGAAGAAAAGAAGGACAGAACAAGCAGAAGGGCAGAGGGCGTCGAATGCGAGTGCCCGTGCATCCGGAGAGAGGGAGACAGTAGGAGAGACACCCACGACACGCAGAGCCCATGGCCTGTTTGGCATTAGCCCGCATAGCCGGCAGCCTGAGAGCGGAGAAGAGGCTTGTTGTTGACGAATTTACTAGAGCTCCTCAAAGACTAGCAAGAGGAGTCTGCGCGTGCGTGCTGCTAACTCCGACGCCTTCCGTGTGGCGAGAGCTGTAGTGTGTCGCTACACGGAGGACGCTCAGGATTGAGGCTCTTCAGGCTTGCGGGTAGAGGCTCAAAGAGAGGAGGGGTGCTAGCAGGAAAACTCCCGGCGACTGACGAGGGCTGCGAGGTCTTCTGGCTGAAATCCAACGAGACGCCGTGCAATGTGCTCTGCGACAACACACAGGAAGGCGGCATATGCTCCAGCCGAACACGAAAGAAGTAGCCAGCACTAAGGTGCGCAGGAAATGCCTCAAGAGGGGAAGATGAGCGCCACGCCTCTGACATGGACGCCTCTAATATGCCCGCTGAAGCGAGCGCTGCTGCATGCAGCAGCAGTCCGCTACAGTCGAGTGTGCGGCGGGCTTGCTTTAGGCGCTTGGAAGACGGGCAGGCAACACAGCGGCTGCCTGTATGCGTAGATAGGCCTATTGATGCAGCCTAGCGGGTACTCTTCGCTTCTACTCTCGAGAGGCTTTCTTACATAGCGACGGCTGCAGAGGAATTACGATCGGTTCGGTTCCTCTAAGTTGTCTAAACCCACTAAGCAACGAGAGTCCTAATGTAGGCTGGCGCTTACGTTGCATCTTCCCCTCGAGGAAGAAGAGTGTGTGCCTTTTTTCGGAGCGGCCTAGCATAGCTGCCAAAGCCAACAAAGAGTTGCACAAGCCTGCACAGCAGCACTCAAACCCGAACGGCCCCGCTGTCTGGCAGGCAGGAAGGGTATCCGGGGAGTAGCGGAACGGCGGAAGCTGAAGTGTATATATATCACCCTGTCGCTGGCTCTAGGAGGGTGCTGCGCAATTGCATCCTTGCACTTGGGGGGTTCCTCGAAAGTGCCGATCTGTGTGGTTGGCGCATGTGCCCGCGAGCGCTTCGCCTTTCCGCCTACCCTAATCGGACGCGAATATCCATCGCTCTGCTCATTACGACGCACCTTCTGCCAAAGTGCGTGCCCGCTGCTCCCCTTACAACCCACTACAGACCCACCCCCTTTTCTTCCTCCTGTGTTTCTGGAAACGCCGCAACGGCCGCGATGCCCCCTGACAGTCCCATAATAGCTCCTGAGTTGCCCCTTTGACACCTCTTCCCTCTGCTCACCCTGATTACTCATAGCGTGAAACGTCTCCCGCGAGCGGTCGTGCAGAGCCTCTAGCAGCCTAACGGGGGCTGTCCACGTCTCTGAGACTCCAGTAGCGGATATCGACCTCCCTGAAGGAGGCCACGCTTTCCTCCTGCCGGGATGATGCATGCATCGGTTGACGGCCCACAGCAGCGTTGCCGTCTGCCGCGCGTCAAGTGTCTTTGCAGCTGCCAGCAGCACGCCTGATCACCGCCCCAAAAGCAGCAGCCAGTAGAGCAGCACCGGGAGGGCCCCTATGAACCTTTGCATGCTGCGGTCGCCTTTCTGCTGCCTCCACCCTGCCCCTCCTTCTCCCGATCCCGCTACACGCTCTCCCTCGTGCCCCCTGCCGCTAAGCGCAAGGCTATGACTGTGCCCTCTGCCGACACGCTTCAGAACCAATAAATCGAAGAACGGCAGCTCGCGCATTCCTCCTCGGCCCCCAGCCCGCGCCGTGCTAGCCTCATACCCCACATACAGGCCAAAAAGTGGACTACCGAAAAGGCAAGGCAGCAGCAGCCAGGAGAGCAGCATTTGACAGATCGCGCTGCATCAGAAAGGGTGTACAGCAGCGGCAGCCGCAGCCCCCAAGGGCATTAGAAGACGCCTCACCTTCTGCGTGCCGCATCAAAGGATCCAACGCAGCCTGCAAACACGCAAAGCGCAGCAACGCAAAACAAAAACTCCTAAGGCCCCCGCCTCCCCGCTCCAGACGCCACCCCTTCCCCCCAGCCACATTTGCCGGAGAGAGAGCACACACGGGCAACCCGCGACAGCGGGAAGCCACGCGGCGCTGCTGCAGAGACGCCGGTCTATGCGAGCCAGTGCAGGACGAAAAGACAGGCAAGCCATTGGAAAGTTTCCTGCCTCCAGACTCAGATCCTACTCCAGAGGTTGCGCCTGCCCAGATGCAACGGAGGAGGCCTGAAAAAAGGAAACAAGAGTCACCCGCAGTGTTGCACACGTAGTCTTCCGGAAAGCTTTTCCCCCTGCCTGCACTCTCCAAGCCAATGCGCTGAATGACAAGCACATCCCTGTGCTGCTCCCTCAAAGGGCCTCACCGCTCAGGCTAAGAAGCTCCCGAAGCTTCTCCGGGTGACTCTCCAGCAGCTTCAGCAGCTGCTCGAGAACAAGTGCTGCGAGGTTGTTCCCGGGGCCTCCCACCTTTGCAGCAGCAAAAGCAACGAGGGAGAGCTCTTCTGAGGCAAACGAGAAGCGCACGCATCGATCTACCGCGAGCTGCGGCGTTGCATGCGTGAATTTGGAAGTTCGCATCTAAGGCGCCTCGAGAGCCTCGGGAAAAAGAAAAAGGGGAGCAGCGCGGCGGGAGAAGGCACGGGGAAAAGCCGTTTTGACACAGCCGAAGTGCGCACGGCGACACAAGAAACACGCAAAGGACAAGCAACACAACACGGCAGTCAGTTCGCACTGAGGCAGAGGAGCTGCCAGGGCAGCAAAAGGAGAGCAACAAAGAATCCGAGCAAGATTGGACCCACTCGCCGAAAGCGCAGGAAGCCGCTGCAGGATGTGCGGCACCAGGGCTGCACAGAAAAAGCAAGCATCGCAGAGAGGCAGACAGATTATCTTGCTTCGACTCTGCATGCGGCGCTAAACAGTCCCGGAAGAGATCCTCTGAAAACACATGCCCTCTTGAGGCTTTCTAGAGATCAGGGAAACGGCCTGCGAGGGCAGCGCCTCCCCGGAAGAGCACGCCTCGGCAGACCTTGTAGCAAGACTCTTTGGCTTGCTGGCATCTTCGCTGCAACTTCGCAAGCGCTTGCCAACACAGATGAAGGCAGCTGACACAGCCGTGTCGCCTGCCGCAGCTGCAGCTGCTGTTGGTCTCCCCGAGATCGGAGGAAAGAGGGGTCAACGCGCTCCTCCTGCTGACTGGTCTGCGACGCCGCCTTTTCCTGCCAACTTTTCGCTACCCCTTTACCCTCTGGTAGCTGCTGCTGCTGCTGTAGAGGCCTCTCGAAGCCGTCAGCGGCCGCTATCCAGTCTGCCAGCTGCACGCACATTTGCGGTTTTGCTGCTCTCCGATGTACATACAGCTGGAGGAGCTGGATCGACCCATAGAGCCGCAACTGCGGCAGCTGCAGGAGCAGCGAGGGCGCGGCTGCATGCAGCAGCAGCCTGCTGCAGAGAAAGAGCTGCTCCAGCTGTAGCAGACACTGCAACAAGAGGGGCGCTGGGATCGCATCGATGCGCAAGAGCAACCACTTCTGCAGTGCCGTTGAGTCCGCCTCAGTCAGAGAGTCGGGCATCCTTCTCTGGCTGCTTCTGCTGCTGCTGTCGCTGCGGGAGCCTAGGTGCTCGTGCTGCAGAAACTTCTGCAGCTGCTGCAGGAGAAACAGGTAGCGTTCAGGTCGCATGGTGCCTTGATGCAGCCGAAAAGACTCAAGACAGTCCGATACAGTCAGCAGCAGCTCCTCCGTCTCCCCCTCCGCTGCGGCTGCCTGTCGCAAGGGCTGCTTTGTCAGCACGCGGCTCTCAGGAGTGGTGTACAGCCACTGGTGCTGCTGCTCTTCCTCAGGCCCCAGTGACGAGCTCGCAGGCGCTGCATCCCCTCCTTCTGCCTCCTCTGCTTCTTCTGAAATCAAAGACGATGCTTCGGATCGGCGTCCCCCACCGTCGCCATGGCGTGCAGCCGCACCGTCAGCAAAGGGCAAGAATGCATCGTTCCCACTGGGTGCCCCCTTCCGGCTGCCTGCAGCAGCTGCAGGGGAGCAGGCGTGAGCATGTGACACAGCACTCAAAAGCCTACAAAAAAATATAGAGAAGATCCCCCCCGGAGCGCTAGCGGAGCGGGAAGTGCAGCAGGGGACTGTATGCAAGGAATGCGAGGAGGCCCTCAACCGAGGGCGCAGGAGTTTCCTGCACGCCCACGGACTCCTGAGACCTCTCATGCCTGCTCTGCTGAGTTTTTTTAAACAGAAAAATCAAAAACAATGTGGAAGTGCACTCAAACAGGGGGCCCCAGGCCCCTGATGGGTGGGAGGCGGGGGGCGGGAGGGGGCCCTTCGCGGGTCGAATGGTAGTTGCCGTCAAGGTCTTTTCGTTCGGCCACACCTAAAAGGTCATGAGCGCTATTTTTCTATTTGAATTTTTAATGCGATGTCTTGAAAAACCTCTTTGGTCCCTTCCGTGTGTGTCGCTTTGGTCAACCAATCGCCCATGTGAACTTCATGAACTGGCACACGTGCACGCACGCCTAAAAGATCTTGGCTGTCTGCGTCTTCCTCCCACTACTGCATTGTAAATGACATTCTAGTAGACAGGGGGCAGGAAGAAAGAACAATAGCGGCAGCAGCAGCTTTGGCAGTGGGTGGCTGTCAGGTTTAAAACAGCCGCCGCGGGCTTCTACAGCCATACTTTGATTTTCGCAACACCGAAGAGTAACTAGAGACACATAGGGAGGGACTTGTCGGCAGTTGCTGCGCTTCAGACACTGTTTTAAAAAAGGCAGAAGCAGTGGTGGCTTTGTCGGATGGCCACCTGTGGGCGCCACAAAACTTTTTTGAAAGTGTCCTCCTTCGCGGGAGGCTATGATTAAGGCACGTCACGCAAAAACCGCGGGGGATATGAACGCAAGGGTCCATGCCCCGCTGAATGGTGAGGACCTCTGAAATACAATCGCAGGCGCTGTCCTCCTTCGCGGGGACGGGGTCGGGCCGTGCTGTCGCGCGTACGGAAAAAGCAATTAACTGCGTTGATAGGCAGCATTCATATAGAGGGATTCGTACTGAAGGTATACTGGTAATGACGGTGCTGACGCTTTATGTGTAGGTAGGACTGCAGCAAGTCCAGCCACGACAGCGCGGCGTTCAGCAGCGGCGGTCGATGTGTTAATTGTGGTGGGGAAGAACGTTTGCTGCGTGTGGCCGCGCTACGTATGGCAAGACGAATTTCCGGTGTCTGAACAGCTGTCCTTGCATCCGCGTAATGAACTCCCAAGCAAAAGAAGCCGGGCAGTACGGTTGCTCAGGAGGGTCTGCTTCTGCCAACGGTTCTCTGTCGAGTCCTGCCTTGCCAGTGTGCGCATCATGGATATTTTCGGTTTCTGCTGGTGGCGTGGTTAGAGATGCTGCTGCGCTCTGGGCAGACACCCAAAACTGGGGAAGGCCTGAAAGGTCTAGCATCATCAAGGAGTGCTGCAGTAGCTCCTGCAACGTCTCCCCATCTTGGTGCAGCTGCTCGCAGGTTAACCCTGCCCTCTTCACTTCCTGCAGCAGTGAACTGTCGCTTGAACTGCAGTCGGCGAGCTCCTTCTGAAGGAGATCGAGAAGCAGTCGCCTAGGCCGAAAGCCGTGTTGCGTAGCAACCCGCCTGCCAATAAGATCCCACCTGTCTGCGACAATTGTCGGTATCTTTTGGGTAGGATCGCCTCCTGGGTAGATAAAAGCTTTGTAGAGGAACTGCAGGAAGGGACAGCCGTCCTTCTTGGTGTGTGTGCATCCTAGATGCTTGCGCACGTACGCATGGCATGCCCCTACGCGCTGGGCGAAGCCACAGTGCTCAGGGCTCAATTCTGCCAGTTGTTGCCACAAGGGATGTCTCTCAAATGCGCAGCTGCCGTCGGGCAGCTTCTCCAGTAGGGGGAAAGGACTGCCGCTGCTGCTTTCCCCGTCGCTGCAGTTCTGCCACGCCGCAGCTCGGCAGTCAAAGACGAGCTGGTGCAGCGTTGAAAAGGCCTTCTCGTGGAGGGGGTAGAGTACGGAGGGCTCAAATCCGGGAGACTGCAGCAAATCTCTGCGAACTTGGCACTTGCCAGACACATACAAATCCTCGAGTCCTCCGCTGTCGCCGCTTCTGCCGCTGGCGAAGTCTGTGAATCCAAGACACGGTTCCGGTCGGGACCTTTGCTTGATGGTGTCGATGCTGAAGAGAAAACCCTTGTTCTCATAAAAAGACATGCCTTTCTCAACGCCCATGGTGTAGCGCATTTTCTCATGGTTGTAAATGTCGGTAACCGAGTCAAGAATCCAACTCGCGCGAAACCCGTGCAGCCAACAAATCCCCAAAAACATATCGAGCAGGACCTGTCCCCGCACTTCAGTCTCCTTCCCCTCTTCTTCGTTCCCCAAGAAGCTTACTCCGCACCGATGAGGCGGCCCCGTCTCAAACTCCATTCCAATTAAGCGCCGAGTTGGCATCCTGCTGCCCACGGCGCTGCTGCTGCCGATGACAGCGTCCGCGGGCCTTCGCTCGTATACTGGTTCGCAGAGAAAAGAGGAAAACCAGCCAACGAGGTGTTTGCTCAATGGGAATACGCCCTCGGAGGAGCACCGCACACGGAGGTCAAAGAACCCTCCATTTCTTGCGGGCACATCTCGCACAGTAAAATCCTCCTGACGAAACAAGGGGCTGCCAAGCCATAGGGCCCTGGCTTGTGCCGCGATACTTGCTGCCCTCTCGTCGTGGATCGGCTCCGCCGTCTCGGAATCCGAGGCTCCAGCTAGCGCCTTAAGGTCCTTAAAGTCGTAAACTGGCTGTACTGGCTTGAGCAGCAAGCCGGAAGGCAGCTGCTGCGCAGCAGCTGCCACTGCGGCCTCCTGCTCCACGGCGTACGCAGCCACGGGCCCCTGCCACAGTGGATCTTTGGGGGGGTTCTTGAGCTCTAGAAAGGCGGTGCCACTGCCATGCTGGTGGTAGTGATGAGCATGCGTCGAAGGGATAAGCCGACGGCGTGCTGCCCCAGCGTCCTGCTTTCCCAGATCAGCAGCGGGAGCTGCTGCTGCCGCTGCTGCTGCTGCCTCCAGCGCGGCTACGTCCTCAGGGGTGTGGCGCTCAAAGACGGCTCCAAGGGCGGTGACCAGTCCCATGGCTTCGGGTAGGCATCCGAGTTGCAGAGAACTCCAATACGTTTTGGTCGGAACCAAATCGAGAAAAAGAGTCGCAAAGCGCAGCACCTCCGACCGCAGCACTCCAGGATACCTGCCCATCATGTTGAAGGGAAGGCCCTTGTAATTTTTGGAGGTGACCATCTGCATCCCCCCATCGTACCACACCCTCTGGTGAGGATGCTCTCCACGCGCTGCAGCAGGACCTCCCAACAGTCGCCGCAGCAGCAGCCAAATTCCAGGCCGCCGCAGCAGATGCACCATCCGGGGGGCTTGCGCCCCTACGCGAGGCACAAGAGCTTCTAGCTGCAGCCGGAGGAGATCTATGAGACGCTGCGTGTTCACGTTCCACGGCAACTGGTGCAGCTCCTTGCTGCACATCAGCAGAGAGCCCCCCGGCGTGCAGCTGGGAACTCCGTCTCCGAGAGAACGCAGAGCTTCAAAGTCTTGTGGCCTCAATCCTAGCCGCAGCGAGCAATTGTGCGCCGTGGGAAGAGACGGACCTTCCACAAGGACTGCCTTCTGCAAGCCTGCGCGCACCGCCTCGAGGGCCTCCGTGTAGAGTGTCGCGTCCACAGGGGCCCCCCGCCACGGCAGCGCGCTCAGCGGATCGAACGGCAGCAGGTCGCCTACTGTCGCCTCGTCTCTTGGGGCTTTGTGGGGACCAACGAGGCCCTCTTCGGAAGGCGCTCCGTCTGCGGCTTCTCCCCAGAGTGGAGGATTCGGATTCACGGCAGCGACGGGCGTCGAGAACGGGAATTGCACGTAGCGGGACGGAGTTACTCTAAAGCCAAGGAGGGTGGTGAGGCTTTGAGTCGACAGTTCAGGCACGTCCTCCAGAAACGGCACGTTGGGGTGTACGTACACCTGGCGCCTGAACCCCAATGCGAGGCACAGCCCCAAGACCCCCTGAATATACGAAGCCTGGTGCACCTCGCCCGTTCGAAAGCCGCTCAGGCCAATCTTGCAGACAAGCTCGCTTTCTTCCGCTCTGCTGGTGGCCGTTGCACCTGCATGCAATGCGGGAGAGGCCTCCGTGGATGCCACGCCCGTAGGCTGAGACGGCAGCAGCTGGAAGTCTAGGGAAGCCTCTACTGCACGCTGTCCAGGGGGTGGCTGCCCGCTGCAGAGCAACGCCGAGCGGCTTTCGCCACCACTGTTGCTGCTGTGTAGGCGACAGGCGAAGTAAACCTCGACAGCGCCACCGAGGACATACCCGGGGATCTCTGTTAGGACGAATCTCGGGGTGCTAGGGGCTTCCGCTGACGATGTTACGGCCGGCTCCGCTGCCGTCGAGACCACCACTTGCTCGTGTCTCAGCTCCTTGCGATGCTGTTGAAGCTTCTGCGCCTGCTGAAGCAACCCAGCGTAGACCTTTTTCGCGGCACGGTAGGCGTCCAGGGGAAACGAAGATTCTCCGTGGCCTCTCGCTATGTTGTACAACAGCTGCAGTTCGGGGAACCGCAGCGACGGAATCCTCGCGTCGGCTGCTGCGTTCTCGTTGGACGCGCTGCAGCCATGAGCCCCCATCAGCAGGAAGACAAGGAGGGCGTGCAGCAGCAATGGCGGCTGCAGTGCAGGCACCCTTCGCGGTGCACACGCTGGCGAGGCCCGCGTGTCCATATTTGAGCCTGTTCGGGGTGCTGTGGAAGGATTTTTATGATGGTCCTGCTGCCGCGTGTGCCGGGGATGCGGGCGTTGCGGCCAGCCATCGATACACCTGAGGAGCAGCTCCCGCGGCGCAGAAGCACCGCAGTTTCTGCACGGCGGGGTGGATGGGTTATAGCAAAGGCAGGAACGCGAAGGCAGGAACGGGAAGTGTGGAATCCAGTGGATTGGGGCGGGTGTAGGTCGAGCCCTTTTGCAGCCTGGCGATGGCCTTGTTCGGAATGCGGTGCTGCTGCAGAAGTGTGGCGGCGCAGCAACAGCGGATTCCAAACAGGAGCAGCGAAAGCGGGGACAGATCTATGAAGGCCTTGAAAAACTGTGTTTATCACGGCTGCCGTAGATGGGTGCTGTGTGTAAAAAGGCAACAGTCGGCGGTGGTCGTGCTGCAGGCGGCCTCGAGGCTGCAGCACCCGCGACCACCAGATCTGGATGTGCCGTTGACGCTGTGGTTCCTGAAACAGCCTTTATCCTATAAAAATATATAGCATACATATATATGTTTCTATATTTGCTGGTAGGCACTCTCGTAGAAGGAGGGACAGTCAGTCATTGCGCTGCCGCCGCTCGAACACTCAATGCCCAGAGAACGGACTGCAGCTGCAGCGTTCGGCCAGCCGGTGGGGCTGCACCAGCAGTAGCAGCATGATGATGAGCAGGCGCTCTGTGTTGTATCTCTGCTGCTGCTGCTGCATGCGCATGCTTTTTAATCCAAGAATCCTGACGGAAATAGGTTGCATAGCGGAAAAGGCCGATTTTTCTGCTGTCAGGAGGCCTCGTGCGTTTAGTTTGCTCATCAGTTTCCTGCCGAGCAGCGGCCGCTCCAGCGCTGCTGGCACTTGTATCCAACCCCCCAAGGACGGGGGGCTGCGTGTCTAGGTGTTCGCGATCCTCCAAACAGCGGCGGCTTTGGCTGCGGCTTCGGCAGGCATGTTTTCATATGATCGGCATGCGGCTGCTGCGTGCACGGTAGCGCTTCCTTGAGGCCTTGCCTGCACGCCTTACGCATCCCTGGCGAGTTTCCAGCTCCACAGGTACTTCTGCGGCAGAATACGCTCAGGGGAGGAGCCAACGCGAAGCCTTTTCCTCTAGCAGAGACAGCGGCCGCCCTTTTGCTCGCGGATACAGCTCTTTGCGGGGCCGGAAGGCGTAGCAGCGTCTCGGAGAAGAGCGTGAGCACCCACCGGGGTTGCATCGGGAGCGCAGGAAGATGACTTCAGCAGCAACGCCTCTGGTTGTTGACCTAGGCTGCCACTCCCTGAAGGCTGGTGCCGCTGGCGAGGCCCTTCCTCGGGTTGTCACGCGATCCGTAGTAGGCGTTGCTGCGGTGAATGAGAGCAGCTTGTGCAGCTCCTCCTCCTCCGCTGCTAGTGCTGCTTCCCCATCCTCCTCTGGACAGCCACCAGCGGCAGCAGCAGCAGCGGCAGCGGCATCCGCAGCCGGCGAGCCGTTGATCCTGCAGCAGCTACTCAATCCTCTGGAAAAGACGGATCATGTGGAGGTGCTCCCCGTCCTGGACTATAAAGCCACGCGGCTGAACTCCCCGGGGACCTACGTCCCGCATAGTGCTGTAAGGCTCGCTTGTTGGGGGTGTTTGCTGCAACAACACGGGCTGTTGCATGCACTTGCGGGGAGGCGGCTGTTGCCCCCCTGCGCTTCTTGCGTGTATCAGGGTTGCAACTGGGGAGCCCCCAATGCAGGCTGCTCGAATGCCGTTCTTTTTGTTGCTCCCTTCCCTGAACTCCCCATTCTGCGTGCATGCACACATGCATTGCACATACGGAAGCATGAAGTGTCGTTCGCCGCTTGTTGCCTTGCGCACCGCTTTACAGCGTCCTGTAGAGGGCTGCCCCTCCTGCATCCTGCGTGCAAGCCCCTTTTCGCCTCTCTGCTGCATGAAAAAAGCACTGGATTCCTAGAGTGGGGTGGGGTGTTCTTCGTTTAGGGCATTGAACGGCTGCTGGAGGAAGTCGTAGGACCTCGCTGTCTAGACGCCTTAGGCTCGGAGCGGGGCTTCCTATTTGCGGAGCCGAACATTACAAATCACCAAGTTAGAGAAACTTTCGCGGAGATCGCGTTTGAGCTGCTGCAAGTGAGCTTTTAGCGGTGTCGTTTTGCTGCTTCCTCGTGCGCCTGTGGAGTAAGCATCCCGCTGGAGTTGCTGCACGCGAGTGAGTGGGGGCTTAGATTTATGGGGGTTCCAAGCAGAGGGGCATTTGTGCGGCGGTTTTCAGGCTCCCGAGGTGCTGCTCGTTCGGAAGGCAGCTCTAGCTGCCTTTGGCTGTGCGCGCACCTCCGCAGTCGTGTGCGACATGGGTCATAGCAACACCAGCGTTGCTGCTGTGCAGGAGGGCTTCGTGCTGCAGCGGTTGCAGCAGGAGATACCGCTTGGATGCATGCAGCTGCTATCCCTCACACGCCATCTGCTGCAGCAGCATCACATTCCCATTACGCCTGGCTACGCCGTTGTGCAGCCTCAGCAGTCCCCTGCGGCTGCAGGTGCGGGAGCTGAGGCTGCCGCGATCGGCATCTACTCGCAGCAGCCTCAGCAGCAGGAAAGGCAAGTTGCCTCCTGTCCACACGTGACCAAGAGCTTTCAGTCCTTTGGCGAGCAGCATGTGCTGGAAGTGCTGCTGCAGCTGTTGGGCAGGTGCAGCAGCGCTTCTTACAGTGCGGGGGCAGCAGCAGAGGCTTTGAAGAGGGCAGAAGCCACAGCAGCAGCCGAGGGGCCTTATATCCTCCCCGACGGAACCCCCTTACCGCCTGCAGTCACTGCAGCCATAGAAACGGCTATCCCCGATGCGCTTTTCTGCCCATCCCTTAGGCAGAAACACTGCGCGCTGCTGCTGCCGGAGGCCTTCTCGCCCTCCGCTGTGGCTGCCTGTGTCACGACGGGTGCCCAGCAGCAGCAGCAGCACTTGGAGTCTGCAGCCTCCGTCGGCGTGCTGGAGTGTATCCGCAACTGCGTTGAGGCGTGCCAGATTTCCGCAAGAAGGGATGTTCTTGGGGCTTTAGTGGTGGCTGGAGGGGGTTCCCAGTTCCCTGGACTTGTGAAGAAGCTCAAGGCTGAAGTAGGTCGACACGCGCAGAGCTGCTGTTTGTAGCGATGTAGCGGCATTCGCAGCGCCTCTTTTGCGGATCAGGGAGTGTGAGACTGTTGCGCTGTGTGTGCCTCTTTAGGTCGCACAAATGGGGGCAAGCACCAACGGCGGACGGACGCAAAGCAGCAGCAGCAGCAACGCGAACGGCACCTTGCGGCTAGTGTGCAGTAGGGGGGCCGTAGAACGCCACATGGCTAGCTGGATAGGGGGTTCTATCGTGGGGTGTCTGGGAACTTTCTCGCAGCTAGCGATCACAAGAAGCGACTATCAGGAGTTCGGGCCGAGGGGCTGCGTGGATCGCAAGTGCCCTTGAACTGTATGCGTTTTCGAAGTCTTTTTTGTAGATGCCGATGAGGGGAGTAGAGGGGGGGATGCGTGAGGGAGGGGGGGGATGCGTGAGGGAGGGGGAGGCCTTAGAATAAGAGCGCGGAGCTGCTCGAGGGTCGGGAGGGAGGAAGGGAGGCCTTAAAATAAGTGCGCTGGTTGATGACTATAGTGAGGAGGGGAAGCGCAAAGGGGTAGACAGACAGACTGTCCGTGAGACAGACCTACGTACAGAGGGGAATCGCAAAAAGGCAGAGAGAGAGGCAGACAGACAGACAGACGGAGGGAGGGAGGGGAAGGGAGAGCAGGGAGGCGTTATTCCCGCGCGCGTAAGCAGCACAGAGAGGGCCAGCCCTTTCAAAGAGGCATCTCCAAAGCGCGCTCACAGAGAAATTCTCAAAAGATCAAGCGCCCTTACAAGGGGAGGGAGCCTGGCAGAGTGCTCGAGGGCATGAATATATATATATATATATATATATATATATATATATATATATATATATGTCGAGCTACAGAAACGCCGTTTCCAAAGGATAAAGTATTTCGATTAATGCCACTTGAATTTAGTGTGTCGGAACGGCTTTGGCTCGCGCAAGAAGGGGTAGCGGAAGCTGCTTTGGGGGAGGGAGTTGGAGAAGAGGGTCTGCCTGCCTGCCCGCATCGGCTATCTGTAGACGGTGCATATGCCTCTCCGCCAGCTTGGTGGAGGAGGGAGGGTCTTGCGGGAGCGGCAGGGGAAACAAAAAGCCCATGGTGAAGCACCTCACTAGAGGCAAGCGGCGCAGTGGTGCGTGTAGAGGGAGAGTAGCTGCGACAGCGATGGCTGCTGAGCACCTAGAGGGGCCAGCCTGCAGCCGAGGCAGGCCAGGGGCATGCAGAGCGCTACAGTGCAGACGGGCAGCGTTTTTGCTCAAAGGAGCACACACAGAGAAGGGGAGAGAGCGGAGTGGGAGGGGGAAGGCAGGAGGGAGGCAAGGGCGGCGAAGGCAGCAAAAATTTTGAAACGCTCAAGAGTTCGGACGGGGGAGAGCCCGTCCATGAGAGAAAGAGGGGGAAAAAGGAAGGTCCTTTTTCCACGCGTGTCAAAGAGGAAAAGGAGGGGGAGGTTCGTGCCAAGTTCTGGGAGGCAAGGAGAAGATTAAGCCGCTAGCCGCACTGCGGCGTCGAGCACTTTTTTCAGCTATGAAAGCTGTTTTTACTGCCCCCTCGGCGAGATTTTTCTGGCTGGCGGCTTACAGTGCGGCTGCGCAAGCCGCTAGCGCGCTAATTTGGGGTGCAGTAAGCGGGAGGAGGATAACAGGGGGGGACAGAAAGGCGAGAAGGCCTCTGTGAGGGGTGTCGCGCGCGCGTGTGCAGCTCCTTACAGCCTTCAGGAAGCCTGCTACGACCAGCGTAGCGTGAAGCAAACTGTCCAGGATAGCTGCAACCCGCGAACAAGACAAGCAGCATAATTCGCTCAGGAGTCACGACGTGCTGTCTGACTCCCACACCCATTCGGAGTAAGCCCTCTCTACGGATGGTAACAGCCCCACCCCATAGCCACCACCCCTCGCAGCGGCTCTGGCAGCAGTTCGACGGGCAGCAACTCGCGTTCGACATACACAAAATATCCCCAGTGTTGGCATGATCGCCTCCGTTGCCGCGCCGAAGAAGTCCATAAGGAAGGGGTATGCCTTGGCAGCTCTTAGCCACAAGACGGAAGCTCCTACCTGGCATACCAGGAAGGGCAGCACGTATATAAAGCCTGTCAGCTGAAGGCAGCCGAAGAGAGAGCCTAGCAAGAGTCCCACGCATTGCTTGATCCAGAAAAGGGCCTCCTGGCAGTCCCACTGCAACACACGTGTGTACAGCCGCAGGCAGACAGCACACAAAAAGCGGTGCTGGTGGTGGTGGTAGTAGAGGATGGAGGATGGTGGTAGTAGAGGATAGAGGATGGTGGTGGTAGAGGATGGTGGTGGTAGAGGATGGAGGATGGTGGTGGGAGTGGTAGAGGATGGTGGTGGTAGAGGATGGAGGATGGTGGTGGGAGTGGTAGAGGATGGTGGTGGTAGAGGATGGTGGTGGTGGAGGATGGAGGATGGCAAAACACAGAAGGGCGTTGCCTGCGTCTCACGGGCCAGACACTACAGCTACAGCCTTTTGAAGCACACCACGGGGGGAGACGATTTTTAGGAGCTGTTTTACCTTATCCCATGAAAACTTATGGGGGCTGAGGAGGCGAACGGCAAGCGGTCGTTGGGCCTGCTGCTGCTTCTTGTCTCCTGGTGCTGCTGTTGCCTTAGACATTTTTGCTGAAGCGCACTTGCGGCAATGCCTGCCGCTTCTGCTGGGGCTGAGAAGAGAGACTGATGCTCTGGCTGCGGCTGCTCTTGCCGACACTTCCTCTCTGCAACACCTCCCGCGCCGCGTGCTTGTAATGGTGGTCGGTCCCAACTCACGACACCACCTGCCCCTATATGTACACACACTGCCCCTTCCCTTCCCTGGCGTTAATTAAGGCCGAGTAGGGTTTTTCGGCGCAGTCGTAAAAAGCGGCTGCACCTGGCGTAGGGGAGCTGCAGTTTTGCATGCGGTGTATGTGCCCTGCCGAGCACTGACTGCGGCGCCTGCCGCTCTCCGAATAATTGAATCTACGGATATAGATATATGCCTATGCTTGCCGTCTAATGGCAAATTGCTGTAAACTGACGCAAAGAAAAGGCCAGTGCCAGCCACACGCCTCCTGCTTGCGCTGGTGCTTCCTTGGAGGAGGCTGCATGTAGGTGTCGGCAGCAGTCCCGTTGGCTCTTGCTGCTCCGTAAGCGAAGCAGCAAGACCGTCTGCTTGACAACGAGGCTGCTACTACTACTAAGAAGAACCTAACAGCTCCGACTCCTTCTGCATCAGAAGGCTGGAGGTGTGTTCTCCCATGTAGTTGCCGCAATCCGAAGTATCGGAAGATCAGCCTCCCACCGCCACGTGCAGCAACACCAAGAGCAAGAACAGGAAGAACAGCAGGAGCAGCTCCGGCGATTGTTGCTCCCGTCTTAACTTTTCCCTCGGATGCACTTCGCGCCGCAGGCTTGAGCGAAGCCGAAGCAGCCGCGGCTGTCTCGAGGTTATCATAGCGCTAGTGGCTTTGCGATGCCATGCGTTCTTCCTTCTTCTTTGAAATCTTGATGGCGTCCCTATGGCGCAAGATCCCTGCCCCTGCTGCTGTTGCGGCTGGTGCTGCAGTGCGTCTCTCCAAGTAGCAGCCGCATCGGGGGAGTGTGAAGGACAGGAGAGCGATGGCGGTTCCTTGCGAGGCTGCCATGCATGCAGTTACTGCCACAGCTGCTGCCGCAGCGCACAGACTGGTGCTGCCATATGTGCGCTCAGCAGCTGAACTGCTGTATCGAGAAGACACTTTGTTGCTGCTTAGTAGGGGCCTCGATTCAGACAGTGTGCTACTCGAGCTCCTTGCCTTGCTACAGCAGCGCACCCCAAGCAACAGCAGCAGTAGTAGCAGCAGCAGTGGCAGCAGCAGTATTAGCAGCAGCAGTATTAGCAGCAGCAGTATTAGCAGCAGCAGCAGTAGCAGCAGTAGTGTCTGCTCGGCACAGAATGCGCAGCCGGAGGACGACACGGAGAGTGCCTCGAAGGCAGATTTAGCTGAGCAAAAGTGGCAGGCTTCTCAGCAGCAGCAGCAGCAGCAGCAGCAGACAACACCTGTGTACAGTGTAGCGTGGCCTCGTCTCGTTTTAGTATTGGGACTGACTCCAGCTGAGCATGCAGCGGTTCGGACGCTGCAGCAGTGGCGACATCGACAGCAGCGCCGTCTGTTGCAGGTAGCACTTGCTGTGGCTGAGGCAAAGCGGACTTGCATGAGCAGCTCTGCTGCTTCTGACGCGGTGACAGAGGCTGAAGCAGCTGCCGCAGCAGCAGCATCCCTAGACGCTCTGGCAGAGCAACAGCGGGCGGAGGAACTGCGGCTTGCCTGCAGCAGCAGTGCAGCAGCAGCAGCGGCAGTTACGACGTGGCAACAGCGGCAGCAGATCTACATTGGGGGTGGCTGCTTTTGCTGCCCTGCTGCAGTTGCTGCTGCCGATCTGTTGACAGGCAGACTGCCTCCCGAGGTTGTAGACTGCATTATATTTGCTCATGCCGAGCGGTGAGTGAGGCATTCCCGCGCGAGCGCAGACACGAGGTCTGCGACACGACCAGCAAGCCACTGCAGTGACAGCACTGGGGGGTGCTGCATGCAGTGTGCCCTCTGTCTCTCTGGTAGCCTCGCGTTCGCTGCTGGTGCTGCTGCTCGTGTGGCTTGTTGCAGCATCAGCGGGGGGTTCAACGAGGCCTTCGTCTCTCGGGTGTACAGACAGCGCAACCGGCTGGGCGGCCTCAAGGCTATCAGCGACCGTCCCCACCACTTTGCGAGCAGCAGCAGCGGCGGCAGCAGCAATCTCACGCAGACGCTGAAGCTTCTGCAGCTGAAGAAGGTTCGATGCATGCACCGCATGCACCAGGATGTTCGGATGACACTCGAGGTGCGACGCCAGCTGTGGGTTCGGGGGTGGACTGCTGCTGCTGCTAGCCAAGCCTGAAGGAGGGGTCCTTGTAGGGGTGGTGACGATGTGGTATTGGTGGGAGCACCACAAGTGCAGTCGTAGGCGAGTTGTTGTGGCGGTAGAGGGGTGGTAGTGGGTGGGTGTGTTTGTGGTGGTCGTGGCAGTAATCTGACTGGGTGACTGTGCATCTCCGGTTGTGAGTGCGTAATGCCTGCCTGTTGTTCAGGGGCCTTCTCAGCCGCAAACGTGCGAGCTGTCTCTGCCTCCCTCCTCGCTGCAGTTGGAAATCCAGCAGGCGCTTCTGTTGCTGCTGCACCGAGGTTTGGAGCAGCTGAAGAAGTGTCGTCACGTCTTCTTGCAAGACTGGGATGTGTCGTGTCTCTTTCGGGGTCGAGGCGCTCCCCCTATAGCCTTTGATGATCCACAGCAGCAGCAACAGCAGCAGCAGCAACAGCAGCAACAGCAGCAACAGCAGCAGAATCGGATGGCTGGAGGGGGAGGAGGAGCAGGGGGTTCTCTGAGGAGAGCACTGAGTTCGGTGTGGCATCAATTAGATGCTAAAACGCAGGCCCTTGTTGACGTGAGCTGCTGCCGCTGCAAACTGCTTGTGTTGGAGTTGCGAAGGCTTTCCCGCAGAGCACGAGGGAGCTGAAAGAGACATATATTCATAGCAGCGCGTCTTAAATAGGGTTATGCTGCCGTGTGAGGATCTGTTGTCGTGTTACTGGTGTGCGCCAGTGTGTGCTGTGCCTATTAGCGCCGCTTGCGGCGTGTTGTGATGCTGTGATTTGCATCTTCTGCTATACCGACGTGTTGCTGCTTTATGGATGCTTTTGCAGGATTTGAGTGAATTGCGCCGCTTGGCGTTCTTGCTGTGGAGGCTGAATTCTGTCTCTTTTCTTTCGTATGTCGAATCCTTGATGAGCAGTAAAGTGATTGACGACGCTTGGTCTCATACCACCGAAATGCAAGTTGTCTTGAGACGCGCAAGGCAAAGGTCAGTTCTCGCTGCCGCGTCTTTGCATGCTCTGAGCGGAGGGAAGGGGGAGGGGGGGAGGAAGGGGTGGTGGTGGTAGTCTGCCTGGCTGCTGCTGCAATGTGTACAATCCCTTCCTGCCGACATTGCGTTTCTTTCTGCCAAAAGCCTCGTCTTTCGCTCGCTCTCGGACGGCTGCCTTTGCAGCTGCTGCAAGGTGTAGTGTATACGATCAAGTGTGTGCCGCTTTGAAGCCTTTGCAGCTGCTGCAAGGTGTAGTGTATACGAACAAGTATGTGCCGCTTTGAGGCTTTCGCGCCTGTTGCAGGGTGTACACGATTAAGCGGATGCCAGTTCGAGGCCTTGCGGCTGCTGCGGATGCGGTTCGTGACGACACCTCGGAGATGGTTGTGGTAGGCGAACTGAAGGATGGCAAGGAGGGTGGCATGTTGAAGCGACAGCGAACGGATGCTGATGAGTTTCAGGAAGAAGCAGCCGCTTTCGTTTCAGGGGCAGCATCACGACAAACGCCGCAGCAGCAGTTTGAGCGGCGCGCAGTTTTAACTCTGGAGGCTCCTCCTGCTTTAGAGTGGATGCAGCGATTCGTGTGGAATTGTCAGGTTGATGACGAGATTTACGCTGCGCTGATACAGGAGCAGCAGCTGCACTTGCAGCAGCCTGCTCTTGCTGCAGCAAACACTTCACAGCAGCTGCAGCCTGTAGGGGTGGTGTCTAAGACACCTGATTCAGCGGCATCTGAATGCGTTCACGTAGTTAGCAACAGCAGCAGCAGCAATGAAAGCAGCAGCAGTGAAAGCAGCGATGAGAGCACCAGCTGCAGTGAAAGCAGCGATGAGAGCAGCAGCAGCAGCACCGGTGAAAGCCATAAGGATACGCTTGAGCACCCATGCGAAGCCGTGTCAGCAGCTACGTTGGATGCGTCTGCGGCAGCAGCATCCACAGAAGCGTCTCCTCGCAAGACGCATCGACTGCGACGGCCAGTGTATCGCATTCTTGTCCTCGTGTCAGACAGTGGCACTTGCTGCACGGTGAAGCTGGCGTTGCTCTTAGGCACTCAGCAGCTGCTGCTGCGGTGTCTCAGCAGCTACGTTCGAGGCCTTGCGGCTTGTGGAGGGGCCTCTTCGAGTGCTTTTGGGGGTGTCTCGACAGCTGCGACTGCACAGTCGGGATATGTGCGCGTTGACAGCAGCGGCAGCAGCCTCAACAGTGGGCGTAGAGCAGAGCAGCAGCTGCTGCTGCAGGCTCTGAGAGCAGAGCAGATCTCGAGTCAACCTGAAGAGGGTTCGCCAGCAGCTGCCGCTTTTGCTGCTGCTGGCGATCCTGAAGGTCTAAGTGATGCGGCACTCAGCAGAGCACTGCGCTGGACGACGCGAAAACTTCGGTGTGTGATTTGTCTGCCCCTGACATCGCAGCTGTTTCTACTATTCCTCCTCCTGCTCCTTCTATTGCTATTGCACCTTCTATTGCTATTGCTATTACTCCTGCTATTGCACCTTCTCTTGCTATTGCTCCTGCTATTGCTATTACTCCTGCTATTGATCCTGCTATTGCTATTGCTCCTGCTATTGCTATTGCTCCTGCTATTGCTATTGCTCCAGCTACTTAAGCCATCGGATGGCTTTTGCAGCGGCTCTTGCCCTCTGCAGCCTTCAGAGTTCATTTGCAAACGGCCGTCCCCCCTGTGGAACATAGGCGACGACCTTTTTCGTGGATCGATCCGCTGCTTGTGCTCCTTGTGCTGCGCGTGCTGCCGCGGTTCCTCCTCTGTGCAGGGTGCAACCAAAGGTTCTCGTGTTGAGCGCTGCAGAAGGCAGCACAGCAGTGTCGCTTGCGCTGCAGCGGCACCAGCCGCATGCCGTGGTGTTGTTTCCTCCGCTTTTGCAGTGTATCCGCCTTCTTGAGGGATACTGCGCTGCTGCGATGCAGCAGCAGCAGCAGGCCCGTACTTTGCTGAGCACCGCTGCAGCCGCCGCAGTGTCTGCTCCTCCCTCGGCGGCACACGTTTCTGCGCCAACAGCGCTCACGACTTGCAACTCGAAAGCTGCAACTGCTGCTCCCTTTATCCAGACAGAAGACAACTCCGCTGGAGGGCCTGCAGTGGCAGCAACATTCCCCCCCGTCAAGACGCGACTTCGCCAGCTGCTTGCGTCTCTCCAGCAGCAGCGCCTTGTAGGCTCCCAGCTTCGCGTGTTTCTGCTCGCTGCAGCAGACAGCTTGTTGCTGCAGCAGTACGTGGACTCTGTGCAGGAGGAAGGAGCAGCTTGGCGCCACATAGACCTTGCGGCACGCCACCTGCTGCTGCCCACAGATGACTTGCTGCTGCTGACGCCGCATCGCATGCAGCGGGAGCAGCTGCTGCAGCAGCTGCTCCCGTGGGGGCCTGAACGGCTGCGCAGTGCGCTGCACGTTGCGGCAGAACTGCATGCGCGCAGCGGCAGCAGTGGCAGCAGCGGCAGCAGCGGCAAGACGGCAGCGGAAGTGCAGGCTGCAAAAGCGTCTCTTTTACTGCAGCTGCGTGCTGTGGGTGTAGAGCCAGCGCAGGCGTTGAACACTTGGCGCGGGGGGGGCGTTGCAGCAGCAGCAGCGGCAGCTGCTGCTGCCGCTGAAAGCGCAGGAAGAGAACTCCTTCCCATGGTTGTGGTAGACGCCAGAGAGATGCGCTGTTCTCTCCCCTACGAGCTTTTCTGCAAACAAGTTCACGTCTATCCAACCACCATCACCGTGGGCGACTACGTGCTAACGCGGTAAGCGGCTAAGACAAATAGCGTCTACTTTCTACTGCCGCTGCTGCCGAGGGAACCAAAAAAGAAAGATAATGTTCCTCCTCTTGCTGCTGCTGCTGCTACACCTCCTGTTGCTGCTGCTGCTGCCACACCTGCTGCTGCTGCGACGCCTCCTGTTGTTGCTGCTGCTGCGACACCTCCTGTTGTTGCTGCGGCTGCGACGCCTCCTGCTGCTGCGACGCCTCCTGTTGCTGCTGCCGCTGCGGTGTACAGGGATATCTGCGTCGAGCGAAAAGCCGTGTCTGACTTGGTGCAGTCTCTCAATTCTGGACGGCTCTACTATCAGGTGCGAAGGCTGCTTTGGCTGCTGCGGCTGCTTCGGCTGTGATGTGGAATGCATGCACATGAGTAGCTGGCGAGAGCATTGGTTGAGAGCAAGTGGAGACGGCCTTGCTGCGCGTAGCTAGCTCCTGTTGCGGCTGCGAGAGCTGCTGCTGCCTGAGACGCTGCGGGGTTGCGACTGCTACAGGCTCGTCTTTTAGCTAGACACTACGCTTCTCCTTGTCTGCTCATTGACTTTGGAGGTTCCCCCTTAGACCTTAGCGCAGCTGCAAGGGCCTGCTTTCCGAGCAGCAGCAGCAGCAACAGCCTCATCAGCGGCAACAGGCACTCTAGAGACGTGCTGCACCCCATATGGATGAAGTCAGTCAGCTCTCTCCACGCTGCTGCTGTGTGTGCTTCCTGCGGCTGCCTGGCTTGCCTCTTTTTTTCGTCTGGTTGCTGCTATGCTGTGCGCCTGCGAGCTGCAGGGAGGCGTTGGTGCTTCTGCCGTGGCAGTGGTGTCTCGTTTGCTACTGCCTTTTTCAGGAGGCATTTTGGCCTTCTTTGTGCTGCTGCAGGTTGCTGCTCTTGTTGCTGCACTTTCCAACCCTTCGCCTTCTGTGGACGCCTCATGCAGCATTTGCTGCGAGCCTGTTTGTGGCAATGAAGGTGCGTGTGCAGTCGATCCACGATCCCAGCGTACCCAGCAGCAGCAAACGCGATACAATGTCGCCCACGCATCCATTGCGATGGAATGTGCCCACAGGTTGGAAGGGAACAGCCCAACCTTCAGAGGATTGCGGAGATCGACCGTCTGGTTCTTGCCGGGGAGGGAGCAGATTCCCAGCAGCAGCAGCAGCAGCAGCAGCAGCTTCCGCCGGCCCCTCCGACGCCCCCTGCCTTGAAAGATGCGCCGATCAGCGGTGCTGCTGCTGATGCAGTGCAGCCATCAGCGAACAACGGGAGCGGCAGCAAAGAGGAAGAAAGCAAACAACAAGATGCTGCAGCACACCCTGCAGCAGAACCTCCTGGTGGCCCTTCTGTGGATTCCAGAAACGCCGCAGTCCGCATACTGCCAGCATCGGCTGCAACGAACGTAGTTGCCGTAGATCTGCTGAGGCGCCTCCCTGGGATTACTCCGCTGAACATCAACATGGCTGTTTCACGCGTAAGGCTGCGTGCTGGGCTGCCACAGCCACTGGGCAAGCAGCGGCGAGATGAATCGCTGGACTGTCTCTTTCCTGCTTAGCTTCGGCCTGGAGCCAGCAGAAGATGCAGCAGCACCCGCAGCGGCTGTGTGTGTGTGCTAAGTGAATGTGTGTTTTCTTCAGGTACGGTGTCTGCATGACTTGGCGGCGATGAGCGAAGGCGAACTGCAACAGCTTCTTGGCAGGTCAGGCTGTCCCTGCTGCCAGTGGTGTTTTTGCCTGCTGTTTCCTGTCAGGCGAGCGCATGTCTCTGAACTTTGTGGTTGCTGCTGGCGCTGCGCTGCAGGGAAGAGGGGCAGCACCTCCACGCTTTCCTGAGCACTGCCATTGTAGTGGATGCCCTAGACGCTGTTTGACGCAAACTCGCGTCCCTTCTTACTTAGCGCTTCACTTCGCGCTTTCCGCTGCGTGAATGAGGCGATCCCGCTGCCGATCTGGCCTTTGCTGCTGTTGCTTCCTGAATTGCTGCTGCCACCGAAACAGCTGCTGCCGCTGTCGGTGCTGAGCCGTGGCACTGGTGCATCCGCTGGTGGTAGGACGAGTTGAGAGAGGGGCACGCGCTGAGAGTGCGCAATGCAAAATGCGGCGCATGCGCAGCAGAGAGGGGCCTTTAGGTAGATAGTTTCTTGCATTCGGGCCTGTCTCTTTGTTTCAGCCGGCAAGTCGGTTGCAAACAACAGACGGTAGGTGTGCAGAGCATCTGCAAAGAGAGCAGCCTAAGGGCTTACTCGCTCTATTTGCAACAGTGGATCTCAGGCCATCAGAAGAGCCCAGCGACTGAGGGCAGCCGCTTCCCTGTTCATCCCTGGTGTTATTTGGGGATGCTGTGTAGTTGTATATTTCACAACTATGCATCCAAATCTGGATGCATGCGCGCCGCACGGGGTTGAGCATCGCAGTATAGCCCGCGATGGGATCTGGCCGTGCGTCAGTGGCTTCGAGTACAGAGCCTTGGCGCCTAATCTGAACGGCTCAACAAGCCGAATTTCTGGATACGGAGAACTCAAATGTATGAGACTGCGAACGCCAAGATGAGGGCTTCAAGGGGCAGAGTACGCAAGCATCTGATAGCCACCTGGGTTGGGAGGGCCGCTCTGGCGCGTGAAAACTTGAGAGACTGCTCCAGAAACTAGTTTCGAACTGACGTCTACAGGATGCGGAAGCATAGTAATCGATTTTTAAAAATATGCCTGTAGGGTTGGACGCTGTAAAGGTCCTAGTGGCCTGTACAGCCCAGAAAAAAGTTGCAAAACGCTGCGCCAAAAAGGGACTTGCCCAGAAGTCAACCGAAGCAAGGAAACTTTGGGAAGCAAAGGGCCTACACGACTCAGAAGAGTCTGCGGCCTGGCCTCACAGAGACTGCTGTGTCGAAGGAAGGGCCTCTAGTAGTGGCGAAAAGAGAGCACTGCGCAGGGAAAACAAGGCTAAAAGAACCCGAAGAAGGTCTCTCTTGCGTGCTTGCAGGGAAGCGCTTAGATGCCATGAGACTGCCTTTGAGGAGCTGAGTCAACAAGTTTCTTCCTTAGACCACAGGACCCTCGAAGCCGCCCTCTGATTACATGGCCGTATCCCCAGGAAATTCCCTGGCCACAGTCGTCAGCGAGGGAGTAAAACGTGCAGGAGGATCTACTTCTCCACAGAGCAATCAACAGCTATACAGGGACGGAAAGACCCCAGGCGACGTACTGGGGAGGCGTGCTGCGGCTCCCTGAGACAAGAGCTTTGCTCGCAGTCGTATGAGCAACTCCCAGAGAGCAGCAGCAGTCACCGCTTCTAGGAGCCATTTGTGAAGACCCCCAAGCAGCTCCTAGTCAACGGTGGTTAATCAAGACACCGGTGCAGAAGAATCTAGAGAACAAAAATCCCTAAAAACCCTACAAAACCTGTGGGCTGCTCGTGTGGGGAGCAACAGCCTATAAGATACGGCTGCGTCTAGCGTCTTACTGACACACTGCAGCACCCGCATCGGCAAAAGCATCACCGGTATGGGAAAGAGCAGAAGCAGAATCAGGCGCACTTCGCACAGGAAGCCGACACAGCGGGCTCCACGTTTCCTTGCATTTGAGAAGTCAAAAGGTAGTGACTGAGGCCCAATATATCGAAGATGAGACATATTTTTGGATTTGATGTTGGCAAATGCAGCAGCAACGGCAGCGGGAGCCCCTCAAAAGCCGCTCCAGGCACTGTCGCAGCGTCAGCAATAGTGGGTGGGAGCTGCCACCAGACCAGCACACATATATCGATGCGCCTCGATTCCGCCTTCGACGTCTTTGAAGGCGCTTCTTTACAGTGAGGCCCCTGCAGCGCTCCGGCCGACGCGCAGAGTGAGGGTGAAGGAGGCCCTAGCCGGCGGCTTTGCAGAAGAATCTGCAGCACTTGGACCGGCTGCTGCTGGTGCCCCGAAAAGAAAAATAATCTCTGCCAACTCTCGCACTGTAGACGCGAAGACAGAAACTTCCTGGAAGTTCAGACTTGCGTGTTGTTCCCGCAGGATATACATAGGAAGGGGCCGTACGACCTGATAGAGAAGGGGGAATAGAGGCGCTTTAGTCCCCTCTGGCTGTGTGCCCTGCTCTTCCTTCTAAACGCCGTTTGTAGCTGCCTTTCTTGCTGCCAGTACTGCCTAGTCATTGTTCGCTTTAATGCTGTCTCCATGATCTCTGAATCATTCTGTGTCCCTACGTTCGGCTGCGTCTAGCCCCCAGACTCTGTGCTGGTTGGCAATGCCTTTTGTCTACCCTCGTTTGTTGGCTGTATCGTTGTTTTACCCTGTGGCTGCCTGCTTTTGCTTTCGATTCTCTTAACGCCTACTTGTTCCGCTCAAGGCGGCAAATAAGACCTCGACCAGTCGTGTGTCTCCCCGTCTCCCCGCTTTCGTCCTCCAGCCGCAGCCTCTGCCCGCTGTCCCTCCTTAGGGGTCGCTCTTCCTGCATGGCGTGCTATGCGTCCCCGAAACCCCTATGTTACTCCACTGCCATGAGCTTACATCAGTGGCTCTTCTCGTTCCCACCTTTTTCCCAAGTTCTATGACTAGGTGACCCTACTTCGGGCAATCCTGTTCTCGCGTTCCTTACTAGTTGCTGCTGCCGTTGCAAATGGCGGCACTGGCAACCCACCTGGAGGCCCTCGATGCCGAAGCAGCAGCAAAAGCGACTGCACTGAAAAGGCAGCATACAGAAGGAGGGGCTGCTACTAAGGCGAACGCTAGATGCGCCAACGGAGGGGGAAAGCGGCCGGCATAATAGCTTCTTCTGCATCAAAGTCAGAGCAAAGAGGTGCCCTGGCAAGCAAGGCAAACATCCTTTTGGGGGCAACTGCTGGTACAGCTGGCGGAAGAGCTGCAGCAACAGCAGCACCACTCTCAAGGCGTAGCTCTTTACCATGCATCCATCTGCGACTCCTGCTGCCGCCTCTGTAGGGACTCAGCAAACTGGATGTTGTTGTAGCTGCCGTTACACCTCAACCTGCTGCGCCCCTTGTCCTGACGATAGAGTCGCGTTCAAAGCGCTGAACGGCTTAGCGTCGAGGCATTCCAGTACCCCACACGTCTCGGTGCGTCGGTCTGTCCACAACAACAGCATCAACCGCAATGAAGCCTCAACAGACGCAGCTGCGAACAAGGTCGCCCACTGCCACAGCTGGCCCTGCAGCGCCATCAGTAAGACCTAGAGCTATAGCAGCAAGCGCGGCAGCAGGCAGAAAAGACGCACGTGTCCGCTCAGACACTGCTGCGTCGGCACGAGAGAAAGCGCAGCAGCAAAACGAGGTCAGCAACCACGCAAAGATGACCGCACCAGCCTGCTTTGCTTATGTGTGAGCTGAGCACGCCCGCGAACATTCCGTAGAAGAAGACGAAACTCAAGCCGGAGGCGATCCAGCAATAAAAATGCACTAGATTCCCCTTCCCTATACACTTCGATGTCCATGGGCAGTGATGGTCGTGGCCCTCTATGCAGACAGCGCAATCCTCGCAGTGGGAAAACTCTTCACGAGTCCATACCCCGCAGTCTTCGCAAAACTCCAACGGTTCATCCTCGCCGCCAGGTTGCTGCTGCTGAACGTGGTGCTGGTACCTCTGCAGGGCGCTAATTTTAGTTCTGCTTCCAGGAGCACGACCTGAATCGCCTTCGCTGCTGCTGCTGTCCACGTTGCTGCCGCTGCTGACAGTAAGTACGCTCTCCGTCTCCCACGAGTCGCTGCTGCTGCTGCTACATCTGCGGCGGAGAGGGGGAGAAGCCCCGTGCTGCTGCACCGATCGCAAGATAATAACAGGTGCTGGCAGGGATATTGAAGGCCCCTTTGAAGAAGGCGAGACGCCATCCTCAACAGAAACGCGAGGAAAGCCCTCACTTGCCCTCGAAATGTGACCGTTCGCAACGGCTGTCTTTGCGGAGATTGCTGAGGCCACTGATGCACGCCGGCTTGCTTCTGC